ATCTTCGCGGAATTCGAAGCCGATATGAAGAGCTCAGATTACTTTATCGACGTGCGCAAAGTACGGCAGCAGGCCATTGAACGTTCTGCTGGCATCGTGATTGAGGACCGCGACGAAGACCTGGTGCACGGATGGACGTTGAGTGTACCCACTGCTGTTAATCAGGTCAAGACTGCTACATTCGAGGAAGCAGTCCTCTTACTAACGGAAAAGGCCTTGTACTTCTGCCGTCTCGATTGGGGAACAGAAAAAGTACGCGAGTTTGAGCGCATTCCGCTGGAGAACGTGCAAGGCCTCATGCGAGGTGTCTACGTTACATCCACACTAGCGCAACGACACACCGACACAGACAAGAACGTTGGTTTCATCATAAGATATCGAGCCGACACCAAGGGCGAGCTAGTACGGCGCAATACAAGGGCTCTAGATTCTGGAGCTGCCAGCGACGAGCAGCAAAAGGACGACGCCAAGAAGAATGAGAAGCAGGATGCTGCGGGCCGCTTCCTAGCGTTCAAGGCGCTCCCACCCGGAAGCAGCGTTCCGTCCTCCCCTGGCGACAACCCCGACAATGAAGGCGAGGTCGTCAAATCAGTATGCGATGAGATTGTGAGGATCGCCAACGAGATGAAGAAGGGCGGCAGGGATGAAGACAGGACGCTGAAGGTAGAAGAAAAGGATATAATCAGTCTTGTGGACGCGAAGAAAAGTACCGGCTATCTGGAACAGTTTGAGTATTCCCTAAAGAAGCTTGTTTGGGGCTAAGCCCGGTCTGATACTGGCCGTATATAATGTCTTGTCGTTTCTCATTGCATCTTGTTCAGGGAGCAGTACATAAACCTTTGAAAAGATGCGTACCATGCAATGCAGTCATCCTGTAGATAGTCACTTTTCCACCATACAGCGTGTCTGAATCGTCGACTCGCCTTAATCTGGGTATAATGTCCTACATCCCTATACTTCCCGATGCCTTCGGACGGTCACATCAAGAACAGCGGAGCCCAGCAACCAGCACGGCGGATCCACGGCGCTTCCAAGTCCCGGTGACTGAAGTGCGTGTGGGGACAATGCGGGTGGCTGCTGGCTACCTGGCAAGCCTGTGAGAGCTATATCGGGAAATGCATCCGCTTTGCCTGCGCTGCGCTGCATGTCGAGAGTGCTGGGCGATGTAATACTGGAGGCTTCAGAGCGGTGCACAAAGATATATGAGGAAGTCGCGTTACAAGCAAGCCAGCTGGGGAAGTAACGAACCTACTGGTAAGCATCGACCCAGCTTCCTCTCCGCACTCAAACATCTCCTTTCTCCATCCAGCCTCCCCTCCTTGAGCGCTGCGACTCCACTCTTCCACGCGATCAGGCGTTTTCTCCGTTGGGCATGTTTAATCATCAGTGGACCCGCACCGCATCTTTCTCGGTGAAACGTTCTACGCTATGTCATCGGCACATGCAGCGAAGGACACGACCACGACAGCTTAATCGGTCTCATCGCCCCGTAGCGATGGTCACGGCCCACCTAGAGCCTCACCTCGTATAGATGGGGTGAACGGGGTGCGCCGGCGCGTCAACCGACATGCCAATCGCATACCAAAGGATGTGTCAGCAGAACGCCTGACCACGGCCCAAATTGCCATGCCCTCTCAACGACTTATTGAAGCTTGACAGCTACAGGCTTGCTCGGCACTCGGCTGCAAGCTTAAGCTTTCCACTCGACGGGAGGCGCATGATACGACCACGCTAGCGGCGGCACGGTTGCAAGAGTAAAAGCGGGCCGACGTCAGCGTCTCGGGCGATGACTGGCTGCATGCCGTTCTTGATTGCGGTGCGTGACGTCAACTGTGGAAACTCCATACCGTGCTCTGAGCGCGAATTGCACATCGCAAAGGGCCCACCAGGGACGAAAATTTCTGCTTCATGGGGTGCCCTTGGGGTGCGAAATTGTGGGTGTCTGGAGTCTGGAGGAAAAAATGGAGAGAGACATTGTGCGGAGTGTGGAGGGCTCGCATCTCCGGGTCGATGAGATGGCTGCAACCATCAGCATCCATTGTGGTACGGCCAGACCAGGAAAGGTGAAGATGTCGATGATCGCAGCTCCGAGTTCCGTGGCGCCATGGAAAGCAGAAAGCTTCATTCGCCTTGTCGCAAACCCGTTCCCGTCGTCTCGGCATCAATTGTCCCAAGATTGCGACTCAAAACACAAGCACTAAGCCGACGGATCGTGTCAGGCTTGTCATTTCTTCACTCCGCTGCAGGGCTCCACATCATGCTCACACCAATCAGCGCGTCGTTCTTCGGAGACTATACCAAGCCAGGAAGCACATCAGAGTGTTTTCCGACCGACGAGGAGGATGACCGTTACCTGGAACCGTGAAAGGTCCGCTGCGGGGCTCCCACGTTGTTCCTGGCTCCCCTGGCCCAAACTGCGCGTATGGTATCAAGCCGAGGGAAGCATGGCATATAAACCCTTTTCGCACCCCGAACGCCAGGCTTGTTGTTCTCCTGTAATCACACACCTGCCAACCTCCGGGTTTCTTCTATATATCCATCTGTAGGGTGATTGGCAGGACAAGACACCACCATGGGTTACCAGATCGGCAATATCTACGGCATCACCGCTATTGCGGTCATTGGCGGTGGATTGTTTGGTTTCGACATCAGTTCCATGAGCGCTATGTACGTACTTGCCATGGCCATCAGAGACTGATGCTAACATTCGCAGTTTGCCAACTCAACAATACCGCTGCTACTTCAACCAGGGACCTAAGGGACCTCCCTTCACAGGCCCTGAGGATGATTGCTCTGGTCCTACGGCCGATGTGCAAGGAGGCATCACTGCAGCGTGAGTCAGCTCTAACACCATGCCACCTCATACAAGGAAATACCTGAACATCCTGGAGCCTACATCGTCGCTGGATCTTGCGATTTGCTTGTCTTATCGTAGTGTAGTCTGCAGACCCGTTCAGCTGTTATCTTTTCTGAGGTGGTGCCTTACATCTTCAGCGACTGACTTGATATAGCATGCCTGGTGGCTCTTTCGTCGGTGCTCTCGTCTCTGGTTACCTTACGGATAAGCTCGGACGTCGCAGGGCTATTCAAATCGGTTGCGCCATCTGGATCATTGGTTCCATCATCTCCTGCGCCGCTCAAAACATCGGCATGCTCATCGTCGGTCGCTTCATCAACGGTCTCTCTGTCGGTATCTGCTCCGCTCAGGTCCCTGTCTACGTCTCTGAACTCGCTCCTCCCTCCCGCCGCGGTCGTGTTGTAGGATCCCAGCAATGGTAAGTTCTGGCTTTTCGAAATGTGTGTGAGACATATTCTGACTTCAAACGCCAGGGCTATAACATGGGGTATCTTAATCATGTATTACATCTCCTACGGCTGCAGCTTCATGGACGGTGAGAAGGCTTTCCGTGTTCCATGGGGTCTGCAGATGATTCCTGCTGTCATCCTTGGTATTGGGCTTATGTTCCTGCCGGAATCCCCTCGTTGGCTCGCCCGTCACGACAGATGGGAGGAGACACAGGCCGTTCTTACCCTGGTTCACGGCAAGGGTGACCCTAACAGTCCCTTCGTGAAGCTTGAGCTCGACGAGATTCGTCAGATGATCGAATTTGAACGCCAGAACGCCGACGTTTCCTTTATGGAGCTGTTCAAGCCCAACATGCTCAACCGCGTTCACATTGGTGTCTTTACCCAGGTCTGGTCGCAGCTAACGGGGATGAACGTCATGATGTATTACATCACATACGTGTTCGGAATGGCAGGTCTTACCGGCAACATCAACCTAGTCGCCAGTTCCATTCAGTACGTCATCAACGTTTTGATGACCGTTCCTGCTCTTCTCTTCATGGACCGTTGGGGTCGCCGCCCCATGTTTGTCATTGGCGCCGTCCTTATGATGACCTGGATGTTCGCCAACGCCGGGCTCATGGCAACTTACGGCAACCCAGCTCCAGAAGGCGGTCTCGGTGGCATCGCCGAACAATCTTGGGAGATTACTGGTGCACCTGCAAAGGCTGTGATTGCTTGCACATACCTCTTTGTCGCTTCTTACGCGCCAACCTGGGGCCCTGCTTCTTGGGTTTACCCGCCTGAGATCTTCCCTCTCCGCATTCGTGGAAAGGCTGTTGCCGTCGCTACCTCGTCCAACTGGTATGTACACACCTTCTTATCATGCTCGAGATCAACAGATACTAACCCCACTCCAGGATCTTCAACTTCGCCCTCTCCTACTTCGTTCCACCCGCCTTCGTCAACATCCAATGGCGCGTCTACATCATCTTCGGTGTCTTCTGTCTCGCCATGGCTATCCACACTTTCTTCCTGTTCCCCGAGACGGCTGGAAAGACGCTCGAGGATGTTGAGGAGATGTTCATGACTGGAGCTCCCGCCTGGAAGACCAGGGTCGAATACAGCAACACTCGCCGTGCTGAGCGTGGCGAGCTTGACAACGAGAAGGGTCTTGAGCACAGCCCCGTTAGGGTTGAGAACGCCGAGGCCAAGGCTTAGGCTGGATTGTAAAGATAATTGTCGATGGTAGATGTGTCAGACTCGTATAGGTGACAAGCAGCCAATTTGGCTTGCTCCAATTGCACACGTACTTTGGTACCATGTTCTCCACGATCACACATGCCTGTCGTGATGTAAGATACATACTATGATGATATACGTCCTTGGAGGACATGCTTAGTTCATTGCAGCGTTTTGGGTATTTGAACAGAATACACGGCGCATTTGTAAGATCTGAGTGGACGCGGTGGAGTAGCTACTGACGACGATTCTTTTTGAGTTGAACCCAACGCTAGGGGTACCCCATGGGTATACACGCGTTCGTTCTACTCAGCACCACATTCAAGAAAAATCCTGAACACCCTGGAGCCTACATTACCGTTAGGTTAACTACTTTGCATCTTTTCATGGGTATATTAGCAATGGCCTGGGAGACGCGCTAATGGCCGTAGCCGGGGAACAGAACATTTTGACGAAGTATCAATGCTGACGGATTAAATCTATGCCTCCCGGTCGTCACCACATGCGCGGCTTATCCGGAACAGTGATATTGATTTGTTCAACCGTGGTATCTATGTATATAAACCCCATACTCTCCTTCAGCTCGACAACGTCATAGCCAGCGCATTCCTCACGCTTAGCAGACGGCATGTGTCTTGCCAGACTTGGCCTGTAGACTGTGGTCCTCGTCGAAGTGGTCTGTCGCCTTCTTCTTATAGATGGGGCTGACAATGGTTGAGCGACGACGCATAGCAAAAGCATGTTGCTTGTGTTCCTCAATCTTCTTCGCATCGAGCTTATCCAGCGTCTGCAGCGCAAGCTTGAAGTCGGCAAGCAGTGCATCGCAACGAGACTTGGTGAAGTCCTCGCGCACGACCACACGTAGCATCTTCATCTTCTCTGAGTGAGGAGCCATGGTGTATGCGGGGACGACCCATCCGCGCTCGCGGAGTTGATGAGCACTGTTTTCGTTGGTTACAACTACAGAGAAAGCTGGGTGCACACTTACATTGCGAACTCATCGTATTGTTTTCCCAGATCCTCGTCAATGCGGCAAGCAACCAGAGGAAGTCCAGCGCCACCCCTTTGACTCATGATGATGAAACCCAGAGCCTCGAGATTTGCGGCAAGATAGTCGGCCGTACGCGTCAGATTCAACATGATCTTCCTATAACCGCGCTTACCCAGACGGATGAGCTGGTAGTACTGTCCGATAATCTGCGAAGCGCCGCGGGAGAAGTTGAGTGTGAAAGACGCCTGGTCAGCACCGAGGTAGTTGATGTTGAAGACGAGCTCCTGGGGAAGGTACTTGGGGTCGCGCCATACAACCCAGCCGACACCCGGGTAGACAAGTCCGTACTTGTGACCAGAGACGTTGATGGACGTGACCTTTGGCAGGCGGAAGTCCCAAAGTAGACCTGGGTTTACGAAAGGAGCGACGAAGCCGCCAGATGCAGCGTCCACGTGAATATCAACATCGATGTCCTTTTCGACGAGAAGGTCGTTGATAGCCTTGATGTCTTCGTATTCGCCGGTGTAGGTCGTTCCCAGGATGGCGCCTATCGGTGTTAGCTCGTTATGCCAATGTATATACTATGAGACGTACAGATTCCAATGGTGTTCTCATCGATGAGATCAACACATTCCTTGGGGTCCATTACATAGCGCTCGGTCGTGCAGTATACGTATCGCTCTTCGACGTCGAAGTATCGGCATGCTTTCTGTATACAATGAGTATGCTGCTTCTTCTAATGCGCCTGTAGCGGCTGTACGGAGGGTTGCATACCTCCCAGCAGACCTGTACAGCCGAGTTCATGATCATGTTAGGTTTGTCGTAAGGCTTGCCCTCCTTCTTGCGCTTGTTTTGCCAAAGCTTCTTCTGGGCCAGTACACCCAACTATGCTGTGTCAGCTCAACGGCTTCCAGCTTCATACCACTGTATTCACTGACCATGATGGCTTCAGAAGACCCAATCGTAGAGGTGCCGATCGTGTTCGCCTCTGGATCGGCCGGTGCATTGAAAAGCCTGGCGATCATCGATACACATCCTGTTCACTATTCAGCAAACATTCCCCAACTCATATTATAGTCTGTATACGAACGGTTTTGGATATCGGCGCTGACGGGGTACTCTTCGTAATCGATGAAGTTCTTCGAGAAGGCATCGCTGAGGTAAAGGGTTATTGGGAGGTTGTGTAACGCGAGCTTATTCGACATACACCATGAGCTTCTCGGCCTCTTCTTCCTGTTCAGGTGTTAGTGTTTGGTTGTTGGCCAAACGGTCATGAGACCTTACCATGTACGTTGTAACGAATGAAGCCAAATTCAGTGTCGGGGTGCCATCGAGCGTGAGATCGTCCTTGATCATGCGATAGGCACTAGCATTCGGTCAGCGATGTTATCGCAGCTGTGATACTGCGAGTTTTTTTGCGCTTCTGAGTCCGCGAGTGCATGCGATATAAGTACGTACACGTGAGGAGGCATTTCTCGGTCCTAGATCGTGTCAATCTCAGGTACAGCTACCCAGAAACGGCTGAACTCACTGGCATCTCGTGTCTCGGTAGGTCTTCAGCAGCATATTTGGAACCGTACACAGTAGCAGTGTAGTCGTCATCTTCATCATCCGGCGTCAGGTTGATGGTAGTAGTAGCGTCGATGGCTTCGAACTGGCTCTGCTCCTCAGAGATCTCTTTGTGAGTTGCTACACGATTGATGTGCACCATATTGGCAGTTGTGGGGTGTGTCTTTGGAGGGGTCTAGGGAAGATAACTGTGCCTGCCTTCTATGACCGAGGTACAGGTGTGAGGAAAGATTGAGGAGGAAGAGAAGCAGAAAGCTACGTTGAGGGAGTAAACAAGGCAGCCTAAGAACAAACGGAGCTGCTGCAGAATCAGCAGCTTATATCGCTCACCAGCTCCTGTCGCGCCTATCATGCAGCATCAACACGCCGCCCGCGATCCAGCTCACCATTACCCCACCATGGCACGAACTTGCATACGACATACGTTGGGGGCCACCTGCCGCAGGCCAACGCTACAGGACGCGTACGCCGACTCATCATCCAGACCGCCTAGCGCATTTCCGTAGCCATTCAAGCTACGTGAGGCGTTTGAGCTGGTAACAATACAAGTAAGTAGACGCACGATGTCGCGCCCGAGGGGCTCATTCGAGAGAGTGTCATAGCGGGGTACCAGCCGTTCGCTAAGCATTTGGCCCGTGAAGCTTGTCTGGCTAGTGGCCCTGTTTCCTCACACCGCCCTACACAGGCCTTTCCGCTGTCGGCGACAAGCTAACGCCTTTCGAGATGGACTATCGGTGGGGTAGTGCCAGGTACGATCTGCCCGGGCGTTCCTTGGTTTTTACTCCGTGGTGACATTTCACAACTTTCAGGGCTGAGAATATGTGCGCTGGTGATGGATATCAGCTAGCCATAGCGATTTGTGCGTAGCTGACGAGAACGTCTTTGCAGCAAGGTCGTCGCACAACATGGCACAGCGTTAGCGGAGTTGGTTTGCAGATTCGCATCCAAGCTCAACATTGGTAGCGTCCGAGTATGTCGCTAGGTAATGATTGGATGGGTCTTACGTGCCGCTGAAAGATAAGGCTGCGGGTAAGTCGCGGCTCTAGCCTAGGTGCGCGCAAGTGAGATTCCCAAGCTTTCGAATAGGTGAGTATTTCCACTAGTGCTGAGTCAATTGAGCACTGTTACGGCATTGGGGACTGCATGGCAACACATATGACGAAGGCAAGCAGCGTTTGACTGCGAGCATGGAAGTATATTTAAGAATCGTTTTGTACGCAGAGTATTGCGACAATCGGTATTAATTAGCAAAGACATCCAAACGCCTTGATCATGCGTGGTTGCTGAAGCGAATCATATACGCATTGAACGAGAGCTGAAATCCAAGCGCGCGCGTGGAAGTGTAGCAGCGTAGACCCCGTTCGCGTCAAAAGAGCAAGGCTTCGTATGCTCGAGCAATTCGGAATACTGGCCCAGGAGGTGTACTTGCTTTGATTGAATGCGCGGGCAAGTACGACCCGGGAGTTTAAATGTACACAACGAATGTACAACGCTCTGGAGTTAGCGAATGTATCACTCCGAATGGTTTACATCCGATGGTCGTAGAATTGGATGCAGGTATTCGAGTCCAAAGGACTACTCCGGTTCGAGGCTGATCGAAGTGTCGAAGTATATGTCTGAACAAACACCTACACAGGCCAGTGATGAACTATACATAGTCTGCAGGGGGCCTTTTGCTTCATATAATGTTTGCAATACTGATGCGACTTGTTCCTGAGGGCATAGGGTTTGGGTTTGGCGCCATCTTTGGTGGTGGCGGTGCTTCAGGTGCCAATTGCACGCGCTTAACGGGATTATGAGGTGGGGGATAGTAGGCAGGCGATTGCGTGGATCGATGGAGGAGCTCATCCATCAACTGCTTGACCATTTGTTCAACCTTGCTCCACTCATCCGGTTCAGTTGTAGAATTCATCGGCGAGCCAGATGACGTCCGTAATGGTAGTGCGTCGCGCATCGGTTCATCGCCGCTCGGCGACCTTGTAGCGACGGGGGTTGTGTCTTGCTTCGAGCTCGAAGAGATCAAATTGTCACCCGCCCAAACCCACGAATGCTCGAGGCTGCTTTGAGCGTCCGCACTGACGTACGCGATCATCTCCTCATCCTGCTCGAGTTGGTAACTGCTTGCGCGCCCAGTGCGCACTCTGTCGAACATCCTATCGAGGAAGAATGCCACGTGCTTTCCGCACGCCGTGTTGACCTTCCGTCGATTACCGATAGCTCTAGAGAGATGCAAGCAAACGAGTGCAGCCTTGTACTCGCCACGGAAGCATAGCACAAGTATACATCTCCACAAGTGCAAACACACGGCATTGCTCGCTATCGAAGCTACTAGCTCTTCCCATGTTTTTCCAGAATCTTGTTTGGGAGGATTGTGCAAAGCCCTTGACACATACGTTGCTGTGTCCTGAGAAACGGAAAAGCACCGCTTTAGAGCACTCGCTCGCTCCGCGAGACCGGCTACTGGAGTCAGATTGCGCCGGTACACACTGAAGCGAGCGGATAACAAGCAAAAGATGGTAGGCAGTGCCGACATGTCGAATGATGTATTGGAATCAGGCTGGTAGGCTTCGGGAAGGAGCAGCAACTTAAGTCGAAGTTCTTCATCAAAGGTTTGAAGGCTCTGTGGGAGAACGACGCTCGATTTGAGTATTTGCCGCAGTGGCGCATATAGACGTGTGATGTGTATGTTCGCCATGAAGCCAGTATAGTGAGTTGGCTTCGCCAGCGAGCGGAAGGAACTGTTTGGTTGAATGTAGCGGTCGTCCACGGCGGTTGGCAGAGATATTTCGCAGTCGATCTCGTTGATAATCATAGGCTTGCCTGTCTCAAGCGACATGATCCTGTTTCAGAGTCAGCTGCAGTTGGCGGAAAGAGGTGAGAAATAGCTTCCATACCTATCACGAACGTAGATGGACCACCAGAGCCTACGTCGGATCTCGCCGTCGACAAGAGGCCAGACATCGACCTCAGGACATATTTGCAATTCCTGAGCCATTCTTGCAGCAGAGGCGAGCCACATGGAGCCTGCAGGGCCCAAGTTGCACTCGGTAGCGTAAATGCTCAACAGAAGTGCTGCTTGAGCATATGTAACTGAGACATCATGCGGCCAGGACTGGAGAATAGCAGTCGCGGTCTCATACATCGTCTGGCCCTTTAACGCTGAGGCAGGAGAGTTGGTGTGCCCCGGTTCAGCTTGCAAAGCGCCACAAGCCAATACCGCAAAGAACAATCCAACCCATTCACGAGTGCAACCCTCGAAAGTCTTCGAAGTATACACTTCGTCCACTTCTCGCTGGAACGTGGGCCAATGAACAGCAGGATACGACTCATGTATCGTCTCCATGTATGAACGAGCGAGGTACGCAAAGTCTGCGCGTATTGGTATCTCGGGTGACCGCCAAATTGTCAATCCAGCGCCCTTTGGATCGTGATGGGGTGTTGAGAATAGGCCTTGGGCATGTGTGCGAATGTTGCTGCGGACGTGGTCGAAGTTGTTCAAGGCTGGCATTGTGATCGGGCGTGGTCCCGGTATGGCGCCAACATGAGCTTCGGAGAGCCTGCGCTTCGTGTCTGTCCGTTCGGAATCTAAGGGATCATTATCGGAGACTTTAGTTCGCAGCTGAGAGTTGACATGAGTCAACTCGGCAATCTGACTCTGGAGATCCTGGACCTGTCTATGTAAAGTAAGCAGCTGTTCGTCCAAGTGCGTTCGGTCACGACACGTACTTGATCGATGACATTCGACGGTTGGTCTCTTTTGTGAATTGACACCTGTGGTTACGGCTCGAACATTCCGAACAAGCCGATGTTTCTGTTGCATCGCACTGTACAAGTGGTCAGTTACATTCTGTTATGGTGTCCAGTTCACTGTCCTGACATTGCTCATGGGAGCATGTCGATCTCAGCAAAGCTAATGCGCAACTGGGTACGTATTCGCTCGACGCGACTGAGAAGGAAGATGGTCGTCTAGGTGGCCAGTACCTGATCATCCATCCCCAATCTCGCTTGTCCGCCTCCGGTAACATTGCTGGAATGCCACCAGACCAACTTGCTGTTCACGTATGTATCAACCCTCCATTTTCTTTACTCACCTTGACTTTGCGTTCTCGACAAGCATCGCACGAGGGGTCTTTACGTCTCTGTCTGTATGCGCGTTTTTGCGCATTCAAATTCGCAGACGATATCTGAGTAGGGGATATCATTAAGCTCGCGCCATCGTGGTTGTGGTCCGGCAGGCTTCCAGATGCCGTGCTGGGTGAAGTGGAATGGCTATAGGAATTCGAAGAATACCCAGGTGACCGGGAGCCAAGCTGTGGGCCGGAAGGCGCTGCCAGAGTAGTCGCGCGAGCAGCCGGATGTGTCATCGCGAACGGACTTGGTGGTGGTATCATGGTCCGCGGCGACTGCCCACTGGAACCTGGCGGGGTTTTGCGCATTGTGAGAGATAGCCCAAGCGCTCGAAGACAGGCCGAGTACGGGTACCGAATTTCCCTTGGTAGAGAAGGGGTTCTAGTTGAGATAATGTCGCTATGGAGGAAGAGTAAGTGGCCTCGGTAGGAGCCGAACACAGCGCTACTCCAAATGGGCCAACGATATTAGTAGCTTGTGGGACCAGGTAGACGTGTTCAACCAATGGAAGCCAGTCATCAACACCTCATGCTGCCTTGGCGTGATGCAAGATGCGGAAGATGGGAATTTGTGGATGGACAAGATAAGTGACAGGTCTTCGCTGCAAGTGGAGAAGCCGTGCAAGCGAGCGGTAAGTTGGGTAGATTGAGTGACTCGGGCATACAGAAGGCTGGAGCGCGATAGTCGGGTCTTCTGTGTCGCATGAATAAGTGCTGTCAGCCAGCCGCTCGGCTGAGTGGCCGAGATGCCACAGCTTTAGGTTAGGTTCAGTGGCTAGGCCGGTTAGGGTGAACTGCGAGGTGGTGTGTGATGATTGAACTTTCACGGCTGTGAGAAGACAAGAGACGCTTCGGCAGACGGCAAGGCTCGTGGGAACGATGTTAAATCTCGGCAAAGATCCGATGAAGGAAATGCTGGGTATTTCGGGGACGTCGTATGGGGCTAGTATACTAGTCAAAATGCTGCAATGATCAGCTCAATTCCTAGTTGCAGTGAAGTTCGTCTAGCAACCTTGTGGTAAGGCGGTAGAAGGACCCTGTCAGGTCGCCACCTTTCGATCTCGGATGGATGCTCTGAGCGACACAGGGGATTGGCGAAAGTGCTTCGTTTAAAGCACGTGTCGACTTGGCGACGCGCTGAAATGGAAAGGAGCTTCGGGGACCCTGTACAAAGCTCCGTATCCTGGGAGAGTAGGGGACTTTAGCAAGGCTTGTTCAACAACACCAAGAAGCAGAGACCTCCTGTGCATTCGACGTACCGGTATACGGGAGGAGCAAAGTTTATCGCGGGTTGATAGTATCACGAATGCCCAGATATGTGGTTTGGCTCCCGTCCACAAGTGGGCCGATAGAAGTCGTACAAACCTATGTTTTTGTGTCTTGTGAGTACTGCCCAATGGCTCCGCACACGGCATACAGTTGGTGCTGCTTCGACTAGAATGAGACGAAGCGAGTGTTCTAGTTCAAATTCTACACGGGCTGGCAGCTCCGTTAGCAGGCTCGGACGTAGATCCGGATGGCTAGTCTTACCTGACAGCTTGTCCGGCTCTGATGAAGCCTCATGTTCCAGAAGATGATCGGTTCGTGCCTAAATGCCAGACGGTCCACATGGCTTCACCCAAAACGTCCAAGGCATACCTTTTCGGCGAGATTCATACAGGGGTCTACCTGCATGCGGCATTGAAGAAAGGCACTTCGCTAACGCCTGCAGCCATGACAAAAGCACACGGGATTTCGAATCTGCAAGCACGAGGATTACTCGGATGAAGTGCTTTGGGCTGCGAAAGACGATGGCGAAAAAGGCGCCGAAGAATGAGTTTTCGGTCCCCAAGTAGATAGGGAACACCGTCAGGGTGGTTCACTAGCGATCTGTTCCGACATGCCCTAGTGGGATTCGCGGAGACTGTAGCCAGGCCACCTCAGCCACAGCACGTTGAGCGGTGGAATCGCCGTGCACGGTAAACCACAGCCACATCAATTGCCGTGTAGCTTCCGATTTGTTGGTACACCTTGAGCCTACGTAATGCTCACACTGATGTCACTATGAACAAGATTCTTCGTACATCCTCTTGGGTAAGTACACTAAGCGTTGAGGCGACACTTCCTCTATCAGGACAGTGTTCCGAGAGCTGTTCTGCGCGCGTCGCCGGAGAACATCCCTGACCTTGCGGCGCCCGTCATCAGGCGTGGCACCGCTTGCAAAAACGTGGTTCCCCACGTTGCAGCGCGTGCCCGCGCCCGTCGCGGAAGCCCCACAGGCAAGGCCAATGTATTGCTAGTCTGTCCTTCTGTTGATTTCGTGCTTGGCGTCGACAGCGGCTCGGCCAGTCAGATGCAACGCGAAGAGCAATGCGAAGCCGAGGTGACCAGCAACCAGGTCAAGGCGGGTGGAAATTTACTGTCAACTGCCGAACCGCTCGTCTAGACCGCGCCGCGGCCCCTCGCCACCTGAAACTGACAGCTGCCGGATAGCAAACCCGGATAGGTGCCTTACGAGGCTTTTGACGGGCGTCTCAAGATCGGTGCTATGTTTCTGATACACGGCAGGGTACATTGCAGTATCCGCAAGAGCGAGCACCAATCTCAGTGGTCTGTAGCATCTGTTGAGCGTGTCGATCTGGACGTGCATACCAGAGGCCCGCAAAATGCTTCTACGGTACGATTTGTCTCTGCAAGTCGGAGTTTTGATCTTTTTATATCCTGTGCGCCGTTGCACATGTCGCGTGGAGCGGAAGGTATGGAATGTGACACCCGACGTCTGCTCAAGTATTGATTCGATGCTGTCCCCTCTGGTCGCATATCGCGTCGATGAGGCCTCACACATGCTCCGAGTAGTAAACAAAGGTGAAAAGATCTACAGTTGTGATCGCTTGTTGATCATCTATGATTGCGCGGCCCCCTGGCGGGTCGGTAGCTTCCGTCCAAGGAAGGCAGCCGATGGGGTTTTGAGAAAACGGACTGGGATGACAGGGAGAGTAGCGTGCTGTGAGCCGCTCATCTGCGAGAATGGACCGAATGCGTCTTGGCGGACCCGAAGTTGAGTTCTGCAACCCGAGTTTGACGTGCGATCGGCCCTCCGATAAGACGCCGTTGGAGGCAGGCTAAAATTTCGCCGGTGATCTTTCGCCTGGCGGCTTCCAACCATGACGATCAGCACATGTCAGTCCCGAACAGGATGTCATGCAGAAAATCTCTCAGACGCTTGGAGAAGGGGAGAAGCTTGTCTCTGGCGGGCGGATGGAGATCTGCGAAATTCGGAGTCGTGTTGGGGTAGAGTGGCGACGTGATAACGCGTCGTCCTGTTCGCGGCAGTTTCTCCAGGTCGGCGAGGAGGGCGAGAACAGCATGTATCGACAGCAAAACCGTTGAAGGATGCACGTTGATGTTCCTGCAATATCCGCTACGCTCTTCACGGTGGGTGCATGTGGTGTCGTCGGGATGCGCCAAGTTCTTCGCGCCTTCCACCCCTCCCGCGGACTACGAAGCCGGTGTCTACTCCCAATACTAGGCAGGCACTGCTGGAGCGCAACCTCCCCTCACGTGCCTTAACCGTGATGGACATCTCACTTGGGCAGTTGGTTCACGTCGCGTCTCGATGTTGTGGCCCTCAAGGCCAGCCATGTCTCACACCAGCGTCCCCATAATGTCCTTGTACGATGCTCCGATATTGCCGCATACCTGGATCCGACAACCTTAACTGAACCTCCAGCCAATACTCGAGAGAATGTTTCTTGCTGTAGCGCCGCGCGCGACGCAGATGAGAGTACCCTGGTGTGCTCCAGGAGTGTGCGTGGATAAGACAAGCAAGCTTTACAGCAGAATATCCTCCGACTCGATATCATGCAACCGCCTGGTCGCAAAGCATCGCCCATACTTCCACCTCGACTTATCAAAATGATGATTTAACAATTCCCTTATTAATGGTTCTGTTCACAATGAGCAGATGCACTGAACAACACGCTACCCCACGTAGCTTAGTTAGCGCGACTCACAGCCTCGGTACATCACGTATGCATTGATACAACTTCGGATGGCAACATCAGCACCGAGGTCGCTACATGAGCAGTCGTGAACCGCGATTAATCAACATTCCTCCATAATAACACACTGTCGCCATTATCGCTAAGTGTAACGCTCCATCCACACAGTCATCATGGCATCCGCAGAACAAGATGTGCAGCTGCACGACTTCACCAACATCTTCAGCTTGAAAGGCAAAGTCGCAGTCGTAAGCGGCGGATCTCGAGGACTAGGTCTACATGCAGCATCAGGGTAAATAGCTCGATTTGCACTTACCATCTTCCCGCTGCTCCTGCCTAACACAACACCAGCCTCATGCAAGCTGGCTGCTCCAAGATCTTCATCACCTCCCGTAAAGCCTCAGCCTGCGATGCCGCCGTCGCAGCCCTGAATGCGCTCCCCAACAAATCGCCTGGCGCGGTTGCCATCTCTATTCCTGCGGACAGCTCCAAGGTCTCCGAGATCGACCGTCTCGTGCAGGAAGTCAGCAAACACACTGATCACGTGGACATTCTCTTTGCCAATGCAGGAGCGACCTGGGGCAGCAAGTTTGAGGAGGCGGATGAGAAGAACGGATGGAATAAGGTTATGGACTTGAACGTCAAGGGGGTATTCTTCACAATCCAGAAGTAAGTCTTTTGTTTCTTTACCATCTGATCATAGCGCTAATATAGGCGCATAGACTCACACCCCTCCTCACAAAATCCGCAACAGTCCAAGATCCCTCGCGCGTCATTGTAACAGGCAGCGTGGCAGGAATCGGCGTGGGATCTCTCGGCGAGACAGGCTCTTGGTCGTACTCCGCTTCCAAAGCCGCAGTTTTGCATCTTGCGCGCAATCTTGCCGTTGAACTAGGACCCAGACACATTCTTGTCAACGGAATTGCACCCGGTTTCTTCATGAGCAAGATGGCAGGTGTACTGATGGAAAAGGCTGGAGGTGAGGAAGCGCTCGGAAAGAGCAACCCGAACGGTAGGGTAGGAAAGCCAGAGGACATCGCAGCTGCGGTTGTGTACTTGAGTAGTAGAGCTGGTGGCCACGTTAACGGAGACACAATCGTGCTCGATGGCGGCAAGATCCACGGAAGTAACAAGTTGTAGAATTCAGGAAAGACTAGGCTTCGCCCTCAGGAATACGCATCCCATGCATTCCCCTATACCCACTCTTCTCAGGCTTCTTCCACCCCTCCAACACCTGCCCTTTGACCTCTTCCTTAATCTCATACACCTCCACTCTAATAGGTCGACAGGTACTCTTCATGCCCTCATCGTCATCTCCCTCTTTCTTCTCCTTTCCCTCTTCCGCCTGCGTCCAGCCCCAGCGACTGAGGTCTCCACCCGGGCACGTACTCAGCGCACATAGTAAGTCCAGCTCGGCGAAGAACGTAAGATAACTATCTTTCGTCGCAGGACTAGCTTCCATGAAATAGCGGCCTTGCGAATCTAGACCAGTGACCTGGAATACGTTGAGTACGTCGTGGACATCGAATTCTGTCAGCCCATATGGAAGGATAGAACGGACGAGGTTCGAGTGGCAGTGGTAGTCGTAGGATGAGGATGTTAGCATGTTTGATACTGTGCGAATCGTTAGCAAAGCCGTCACGCGTGCACATAATCGTCCTAATAGCACAGGTTCCAGAGAAAGAAGACAAGGGATCTGGCAGAACAACCCATCGCAGACCCGCGCGTTCAAACATACCATAAGGATCACACCTCGTCCCCAGCAAATCATTACACCTTCCACCCCATCTAGTGACCCCACCCCTCTCATCCCTGCTCTCCTCTCTCCCCTTCCCTATACCCTTACCCCCGGAATCCCTAATCTCACACCCATCCTCCACAAGCCCACAAAGCGGCCTCATAAACGGGAGGCAACTCCACAGCCTATCCCCCTGCACCACATGACTCCCCTGCAACTGCCTCGTCCTAGACGCCCAGAAGCGCTCTCGGGGATCATGCTGGTTCCACACGTTTAAATCGCCGACTTGGGGCCCTTCTGGCGTGGAGAGCCGGAATAGTGCGCCCGCGGGTACGGTCCAGGCTTTTCCGCTGCGGGGTGGAATTGTGAAGTCTTGGGTTTTTACTAGGGAGGAGGAGGGGAGGTTGCGGAGGGTGGTGTATAGGGCTGTTGGGGGGTGGAGGGGGGAGTCGGCGGATGTGGGGAAGTAGGCTGGGGCTGGGGGGATGTTGGTTCGGTCGTTTTCTGCCATTATGAGATTGCTTGCTGGTCGGGGAAGTGTTCAGCGAGTGGGCAGAGCAGGGGATGTGATCTTGTATTGATGTGGTGACACGGATCGGAGTTGTAGATAGAGTTTGGGCCATGGTATGTCATCCATATGCCGGGCATGACTTCACACCAACCGGTATCCACATCTACGGGCCCATGAGCCGGCGATAAGCGTTGTGTAGAACGTACGTGCCGATGTCGGATACGCCCTGGACGCGGCAAGAACAAGAGTGATTGCTGTGAGAGCTTTGCCGATGTAAACATCTGGTATATAACGAATAGGAACACAGAATGCGAGTATTGTAAGGTTCTGCATACGTCATTCAAGTACAGTTGTCGATACCTTTGTTTAGATATTCTAATTCCACTTCAACAGCACTTTTTGAACTCCCATGCCCCGACCTTTTACATCCCAAATGCAATATGCGATATGTGTGAACATAGGAACTGAACTGTGAAGCGTTGAAAAGACTTCATGTCACTACACGCCCGCACTCTTGACGTCCGCCTGACTGCCGTTGACAGCAGCCTCCAATTTATCCACTATCGTGCTCCCATTTTGTTTGCCGTTTCGTGTAGGACTTGAGTCTGGGCTAGGGATCTCGAGGGTATTCGATCGCTTGGGGCGGAAAGGAATGGGTGTGGTAGGTCTCGACGACAGGAACTGTCATGTGTTAGCCAAAGTACTGCTTGTTACAATGAGCGAAGACTTACTGAAGAAGCAGCGCTCAACATAGCGATGAGAGACGCTTGAACCACATCCTGGTGAATACCAACACCCCAGACCTTCTGACTGCTCTGCGCTGCTGTGCAACCAATGTAGGTCGCGGCCTTTGCATCTTTGCTTGTACCAATCGTGTGTTCGTTGTAGTCCACAACGTCTAGGTCGATACCCAGACTCCTCAGTGCATCGGCCAGCGATGACAGCGCACCTGTGCCCGAGCCCTGGATCTTGTGTTCCTGACCGTCAATCTCAATGACACCGTTGAAGATACGGCGCAGATTGCGGCTGCTGACTGTCTTGCCGTCTTGTGGAGGTAAAGGTGTCTCTGACCGATCGGCCTTGATCTCGTAATCGACAAGGGAGAAGCGAGGATTGCGCTTGAGGTGGTAGGCTTCTTCGAAGAGATTTGTGATCTCGGTTGGTAGGAGTTCGCGGCCGAGCATGTCTGTCTCCTTCTGCACGATCTTGGAAAAGGCGATTTGTAGACCACGAGGCAGGTCGAGTTCGAGCTGGCGCTGGATAATCCAGGCGATTCCACCCTTTCCACTCTGTGAGTTGACGCGGATGATAGCTTCGTACGTACGGCCGATGTCTTGGGGGTCGAGGGGAAGGTATGGGATCTGCCACCGGCTCTCGTTGTCCGCGCCGTTCTTCTTGCGCATCTGGAACCCCTTCTTGATTGCGTCTTGATGTGAACCACTAAAGGCGCAGACAACAAGCTGACCTCCGTATGGTGCGCGCGGGTGTATCGGGATCTTGTTGCAGCTCTCAACCATATCAATGATGGACTTCAGGTCCGAGAAATCAATCTTTGGATGTATACCCTGGGTGTACAGGTTCAGGCCCAGAGTGACGAGGTCGACGTTTCCTGTGCGCTCTCCGTTGCCAAACAGCGTGCCTTCTACTCGGTCTGCACCCGCCATTTGTGCCAATTCTGCCGCGGCTACTGCGCATCCTCGATCGTTGTGTGGGTGTAAAGAGACGCAAATCTTCTCCCTCTCGGAAATGTTCTTGCAGAAGTACTCGATCTGATCGGCGTAGACGTTGGGTGTCGACATTTCCACGGTGGCTGGCAGGTTGAAGATCAGCGGGTTCTCTACACTTGGCTCCCACGCTGCCTTGACAGCCTCGCAGACCTTGATGACGAACTCTGGCGACGAATCTGAGAAAGTCTCTGGCGAGAACTCGTATGCCCACTCTGTGCCGGCTTGCGCAGGATCGTCCTTGGTTATCGACCGCGCGTACTTTGTGCATTCGACTGCCAGGGCGATTGTCTCATCGTCGTTCATGTTGAAGACGATCTGCTGGAAACACGGGCTGGTCGCGAGGTACAGGTGGAGGATGGCCTTGCGCGCGCCCTTTAGGGAGTCGACGGTGCGGCGGATGAGCTCTTTCCGGCATGGCGAGAGAACCTGAATCCAGACATCATCAGGTACTATGCCGGGTGTTTGAATAAGGCGTTGTGTGAAGTCGAAGTCCGTTTGCGACGCGGAAGGGAACGAGACTTCGATTTCCTTGTAGCCGAGCTTGACTAGCATATTGAAATAGTCCCATTTTTGCGCGCCATCCTGCGGTTCGTGTCAGATACTGGTTCGCAGCGGCTTCTGAGTGGGTTGGTACTTACCATGGGATCTACTAGACTTTGATTGCCATCTCGCAGGTCGGTCGACAGCCAGCGTGGTGGCTTCTCGATGGTCTTGTTAGGCCATGTCCTGTCCGGCAGGTTCAATGGCTTGAAGGGATGGTACTTCTTCCATGGCTCCTTGAGCATAGGCATCTTGATGTGATTACCCCAGCGAGTGTTTTGAGGCGATACTTTGAAGAAAGTCTCTTGAAGGCCCAGCGACAACAATGGAGGGCCAAAAATGTATCTCGGGTGATTTCGAGCAAAGTAAACACACTTGGGATATGGAAAGACGTAGAAGATGTGCGCACAGGCAGACTATTAGTACGGCGCAAGGTATGATTCACATCAAAAGAAAACTTTGGTCGGTGATACTAAGCCCTTGAGCCGGCCATTGGGAATGGCATATGACGATGCGGGGCGCAGAATTCGCTTGCGCGCGCCCTGTGCATTCAATTGCGGGGTCCGACTTCGGGCTGCCTGAGCTGTACCAAACCGACAAATCATCATACGCGGGTTTGATTGTTTACGGACCTCCGAGGCTTCACGCGGAAACTCAAAGCATGATGACAGAGGTGTGCATAGGTATACGGACGTGTATACAGCCGCAAACATGTTGTTTGTACTCCTTTCAGCCTGTGACTGGGAGCGGGTATTCCAGGTACACGATTCAAGATTTTAGCGCCGCTAATGCGATGAAGCGGATTGCCCGCAACAAGTAGACTGTCATTAACCTACACCACAACAGTCTGTGTTCACCGTTGATGCCCTCCAGACAACCGGGAGCCTGCCGGTTTGTGGCTAGCTAAACGCTCCCAGTCCAGCTAGAAGATTGGCACCCGCAGACCACAGCACTCCACTTCACTGCCCTTGACCCCAACAGTACGTCCAAAGTACAGACTACCGAACTCCTGCACAAAGGCTCGATCAGCCTCTGACCATGTATCTAGCCCCATTCGCGACAAGTCGTCTCTGTCCACAATCAATGCATCGCTGTCATTATCGTCATCGTCTCCTCTTTCGCCTTGTATATCCGCCTCGATGATTTGCGACAGCGTTCGTATGAGCAGCGAAGACTGTCGATGGAAGTACGCAATGATTGCTGTCTCCAACGACTGTGAGTAGGCGGAGAGGTCGCCAATCAGCTCGCGGTCCGTCTCCCGCTCCGCTGTCGTGTATGCGTCTCTCTCGCCAGCCGAAGCCCACCACATGTAGCCCATGTATGCAAGCCTCGACCACGTTGTTGGTTCTACCACCGTGTCGTCGTATGCTTCGTTGAAGTCGTCGTCGGCGCGTTTGGTATCGACCTCGTCGCGCGACAGCAGGGGCGCAGTGTCGTCGTTCTCGTCGTCCGTATACGGCTCGGGCGATGTTTCCGATCTAGTACGCTGCTTGAAAAGCTCTTTGTGCAAAAGCTTGTAGCGCGCAACGTCCCGCTGGCTGGCCTTGATCAAACTGCCATCGCTCGTTCGTATCCGTGGCCAGCGTCGTTCTTGTGGGAGCGCATCGTAAGTGGGCGGTAGTTCGACGATGATGTCGTAGAGCTGTGTCTTTGTGACGATGATTTCGTCAGTTGTGCACGCAGCCCAGCCCTCTGATGGCTCAAGGTCTGGTGTGTGTCCGCCGTGTTTGGGCTTGCGAAGGTCGTCGAGGAGAGGTATGTCGTGTACGCCGACGGAGAAGAGGGTCGGTAGACGGAGGAGGTTTTCGGTCTCTGGAGGCAAACGCTCGGTGTCGCGGGGTGATATGCTAGACAGTACAGACAGATTGTAGACTGGCACGTTAGCTGAAAGACGACCAATGATAAGGTCCAGGACGTACCGAACTCGCAAGCCGTCCTGACCGGCGGGACGCCCACGAAGAGAATCCGTTTCCTCAGCAGGGCCGCTTGTTGCAGCCGGAAGACCAATGGCCCGAATACGTCGAGGAAGCGCTGTATAGACAGGGCCGGGTGGTAGTCCGGGAGGCTCTCCTCGTCTTTCACGACTGCGCTGACGGTGGATATGGCGCGCGCTCTGCTGTGACCCTTCGCCTCTCCGGCATCTGAGGCGTCCCCTGTGCTATGTCTCGAGACTTGTTCCTGCCAGAACTCGTCCAGCGGTGTCACAGCTTGGGGGTCGTCCGCCAGAGTCGCAGCCAACCTCTCCAAGCGGCCGGCAAGTAGCCAACTCCTTCCCAGCCTCCCGAATCTGCCCTCCTTCTGAATTAGGATCCCCACGGAAACGAAGGTGGCATTGCGATCCTCTGCGCTCGCGTCGCCCTTTGCGAAGGCGCTGAGCCCAGCATAACCGTCATGGGTAAAGTAGACGAGGTCGTTCTGCACTGAGTGCAGACCTGAGGGTAGCGATTTGTATTCAACGGCGTTATCGAGCGTAACGCCCGGTGTCGTTGTGCGTTTCCAGGCGATTGTATAGCTGTAAATGATCAGCGCATAGCTCCTGAGGTACTCAGGCTATCCAGCATCGCATGACGTACCCAACTTTCTTGTCGAATTTGATGAGGAATAGCGCTTCGACCCGGGGCGCATCCTCACTGTGAGAATCTACATTGGTTGCGCTCGATTCAGTCGAGGCCGACATAGTTGGAACTTGGTCGAAGGTTGACTGCTGCTGCTGCGCAGGCGGCAGTCGGTGATGCGCCGCGTCCCCAGGAACGCTTCGCTTACTCTTGCCCGTCGCCCCTTCTCCGGCGTCACTGCGCATGGGAATTATTCTTTCGATACCCACCTACAGTCTGCAACTCTCAGAACGCCCTGTTGGCGTTGCCTACTCTATCATATATTCGCTGCATCCGTTGCACGCCCTTCATGCTACATTCCGGTTGCATTGGACGATACCGCTATCCGCTACCGCATCACTCACTGCCATGAGACCCACAGTTCCCCGCGCTCAACAAGTTGGATGCGCGTTACGGAACCTGTAGCCGGCGACAAGAGCGGCTATGTGGAAAGCTTGGCCAACTACAGCGCAAACATGATGTAACTGGTGAGAGTGGCCCCAGATGTCGAACGAGCCCGGGCTCAGTCTCTCTGGAAACCTACCGACGAAACATGAGACGCCAACAAAAAGGACCAGTCCTTCGGCAAGATACCATTGAGCACCTATCTCAAAACACGCATGACTCCATCCAAGCTTGCCGGTGCCATGGAATATTGGAAGCAGTGCCGCAAGAGCGAGCGCACCAAAGGTACCGCCACGCAGCGTTCTCATCTTGTTTCCGCCGCCGCCAGAGTCAAACAGCACAGCAGCAGCAGCGATAGCGGCGCCCCCACTAAGACACCAATATAAGCGTTGATCTACTGGGTCACAGCGAGCGGCATAATAGGTGGCTGAAACTCCTCCACCCAGAGCCAAAAGGCAGATGCCGAAGATGTCGAAGCGGCCCCAGGAATGGTGAATATTGTAGGAATGACTTCGGGGTGTATGGAACGTTGTACTGAGTCCAAAGCAGAGAGCTGCTGCGCTTAAGGAAACACCGAAGGCGAATTTGTCGCCGGTGGTCAGGTTGAGCTAGGTCGAGACAGCAAGTCTATGTAATCCAATGCCAACCACAATAAATGCAGTGCTCCCAAGAAGATGGGTCCAGATATTCATCGTTTCCATATGAAGGCAACGCCAAAGTCGAAAGGACTTCTTGTACGAATAAGTCGGCATTGGGTGTCCACTGATGATGAAGTCGTTGTCTTGGAGCCATGTTGGAATGTCATCCTTGGTTCCTATCATAGGCCAATGTGTCTCGATATCCTTCTTGTTATGGAGCGTTGGGTAAGCGCGCCAAGCCGGTGAGTAAAGATCATGTGAGAGTGCTGCGTCCTTGGCCATGTTGGCGGTTTCAATGTGTCGCGACTCTAGCGCTGTAGTTGTTGTTCGAACAGTCATATCATTATCAAGATACAGATGCCATTGGCTGTGGCGTCGGATACAGGCAACAGTTGTGTAAGAAGAATATGCGGGGTCAAAAACTTGACTGGCCTGATGTGCCTCAGTAGCGTTTGCACCTACCACTCAGTGCTAGCTAGATATGTGAAGGGCGTCCGTTGGCTCAGTTGAACTCCAACGTATCTCGCTGTGCAGCTTTATCGCGGCGCAGCCCCCCGACGCTGCATTTCCTTGCATCTCTGAGCCTACTGTGATCATACATGTAGCGAAGATGCCACAATCTCGAAGGGTCGACTTGGTCATAACCAGTCAAAATCAACAATGCTGTAGCCACTGGGCAGTCCTTTGCTTGCAGCTATGATGTCATGGGTTTTGCGAACTGGCATCGCGGACAATACCCAACGATCCTTCTGCCAACATTTGTACAAACGGAGAACTTGCGTTCCTTTGTCTGAGAAAGCTTGAGCTACCTCCGCGTGATTGCATGGGAAGAGGTTACACGATAGTGGAGATTTCCTTGAGTCAAAGAAATACCAGTCGAACTGTATGAACCATTCGAGGTTGCTATGATGATCTTCGTTAAGAACATAACCGTGGAACTCTACGTGTATGATGTGTAAAGCCGCATGGTATTATCTATAAATCCTGATATCCGCAATACGTATAGGTCTTGTCACACGTGTGCCTTCAATACGTTTCTGGTGCCAACCTGAGCAGATCGCAAGCCGTGCTCACTAATCAATAATCACTGTTCAAAGAACCTCGCTGAACAACACCTCATAGTAATTATAGTATCAAAGAGAGACACATGGGCTGTTCAAAAGTCGTTCGACATCAAGTCTTGGTCGCATGGCGACTGTGAGTTATTGACGTGTGATATATGCCGTTGATCGTTCGTGCGTGAGTTGCGCGGGCAGTGGGTACGAAAAGGTTCAGTCGGCCCTTTCCTCGGCAAGACCACTGGACTGGACAATCACAAAGCTATCAGATTCCACTTCAATGAACTCCATTTAGGCAACTATACATAGAAATTGCGCTCGAGTTGATGCATGGAGCCAGGGTTTACATATGGGCTGACGTCATGTGGCAGCAATCGTACCTGCCACGCACAGTGCACTGGCCATGCCGCTGCATCCGCAAACCTCTTGAGGCATCCAAAGTCGGTTGCTTCATCACTTATCGCACCTTGGCTTATCCGCCAATAGGGAGCAGACCGCACCTTTAGCTCGTACTTTGATCCAAGCTCTCGCGCTCACGTTTGTTGGGAATGTCGTCGTCTTCTTACAAAGATATAGCGCCGCGTCCACAAGACTTAGCTGCTGCTGCCGCTGTCAGTAAAGCAGCTACTATCAGGGGCAGACCGTCACGAGTCACAGTCGCATGTCTGCCCTGTCGTGCCCGACGCACCAAGGTCTCTCTCCAAAGTCTTTGCTAGTACTGGCAACAATTGCATGAAGTCGAAGCTAACATACGACAGTGTGACGGTGGCAGACCAACATGTCGCTCCTGCTCGGAGAGGAACTCACAATGCGGATATAATTTACCCACTGGTCCATTGCTCGTTCAAGCGCAAAAAAGAAAGATTGAAGAACTGGAGGATGATAAAAGCTCGATGTATGAAGTTTTGTGGTATCTACAGACGACTTCCCCTGATAAAGCCACAGCCCTGCTGCAGCACCTGCGAGCTGCTCAAGGTGAGGATCTAGGAGTAATCTTCAAGAACTTCGAAATGGGTCGTCGCAGTTCGTCTGAGTCTATACCTGCGTCCGGAACCAACGTTGATAGTAACGAATCTCCACTGACAACGACGGAGTCTCCCTCCTCGACGATGCTTGCTGTACCGGAAATCATGGACCACCCCCGATTTTCCACTGTTCGAAAGAGTCAGACTGAAGTGACAGGCATCACTCTGGTTGCTCCACATCATGACAGCGCGAGCGTCTCCAAGATCCACGGCCCACTAGAGATGTTCTTCAACTGCGTGGGAGCGCTTTTCTACGTTATGAACAGGGACGACGTTCAATCAGACATTGAGGCAATCAAGGCCGCAGGGAATGAAAATGTACCACTTGGAAACATGTTCAGCAACGGAAGTACGATCCGAATCCGTACTTACGCCGCAGAACTCGCTGGTATGGCAGCTATTGGTGTCATACATTCACAGCTAGCCGACCCCATGAAGGCGCCGCCACCCGAGCTGGCTGACTACTTCTACGCGGTTGCCAAACATGGACTAGACTCCGCAATCTTGTATGACCCGTTCCGAGCGATGAACGTCTGCGCGCTGCTTGGGATGTACAACATAGTCGTCAAAGCTACGGTCGCTCTAGCTTACATTGGTACGCGTCACACTTGGATAACTCTATGAGGAGTGGACATTGCTGACAAGGTTTAGAACTTGGTCTGAGCCTTCCTCGTAACCGCAAGATATGCCTCGAAAAATGCCCACCAGACTGGTCTCCAGCCTACTATGACGACATCCGTCGTACACACACGACTCTCGTCCATTTGCAATGGTTAGTCTTGGCATGCTCTTCGGTATGTGCTGACATCGCTGACTACTTAGCTAGCTGGCTAAACGCGTCTCTTGACTACAGCTCAGACTCATTGGTCTTCAAGGTCCAGTCATCTCTCGATGGGTTGGATGTACCACCCGAGGACATGATTCGACGCGAATGCGTCAAAGTTTCTATCATCAAGGCAAGCTTACTTCACCGTCTACCAAGCAAGGCACCGGTACCCGAAAGTATCACGCTCGAGTTTCGCGCGCAACTATCGAGATTTCACGCGCAACTCCCGAGCTGGATGTCAGTTGCCGCACTGTTAGGCGGTGACAACAGCTCACTGATGGCCACATTTCGTCCAGTCATATTCTATGTCCATCTTTTCTATCTTTCAGCTATGATGCTACTTTCCCGACGGTTGATCATCGCATACATCCCGCTCGATTCAGCTGGTATCATAGTTCTTCCACCAGAAGCACGACGGGCTATCGAGGAAGGATACCAAGCTGCGGAACTTAACGCTTCCGTTATGAGCCTAATGCTACAAGAAGGGAAGGTGGTACAAGTTTGCTGGCTCTGCATGTGAGTCAGGCGTATGCCACGGTGGTGAATAATGCTAACCCAGAATTCTAGCTATACGGCCTATACGGCGGGAGTCATGATCGCTCACCAGGCATCGCAAAAGGCTGTGAATAACGAGCCGTTCACTAATGACGTAGAACTGCTGGGCAAATGCATCGGTGTTCTCGAGTACTGTGCGATCAAAGATATGCTTGCCGGAAAGTTTCGCAGCATCCTTGCAGCTTATCTGAAGATGCTTCAAGATTACAAACTTACCACGGGGGACTCTGGAGATTTCGCGACTCCCCTCACTTCTTCGTCGAGTGATAGCCTCTTCATCTTCCATCGTGGCTCATCTGAGCTCCACGTAGCAGCTCTTGGTCTGCTTCAAACCATACAGCGCCCATTCAGCGGCCTGAAAGACGTCGCGACAACAACTACGCTCTCGAATCGCGCGGAGACAAGTATGGGTACCCACCTCGAGTGGGAGTACGAGCTCAAGAACAGAGACGGTTCAGAGGCATCACTGAAAGAACATGAAAGTGCACATGCAACTGATGACATATGCGAGCCAACCAAAACTCTGTGTTCGTCTTTTGAGCAGGACCACTCTTCGCAGAAGCTGCCAGCTCAGCCCTCTGAGGAAGCTTGGACAAAGTGGACTCCAGCGACATGGCAAAGTTCCTTTAACCCATCTCCAAAATAATTCCGAAACCCTATTGGTGTCAGGCCCTAGGCTGTTCTGGCCTGGAACCGACCGGAATAGCTAAGTAAGGGTTATAAAGGTAGAGAAATCGCTACTATAGCTTAGTAGCGATTTATTGATAGTCTACACAGGCGATACACCCAAACTTAGCAACTAGACATGCATCTAGTATCTTATTATATGACCCTGACAATTGGCATTTCTAGGAACATGATCATACAATCAACACGATATGATAAAAACGCCGACAAAGCTGGCGACACGACGGCATGCGCTGGGAGGATCCATTGTAACTGTGGTAGCTTCCACGCGGCCTGGTTCCTTCTTCATCCAAAACATGAGGGCGATCGAATTTGGCATAATGTCTTCGTCGTTGAAGGGTATTTCCGATACCAAGATGGAAGATATCAGATGGGCTTGTCCAGGGCTGGATAAATCAAGTGCTGCCCATGCTGCTTCCATACTCACACTATACCTTCAATATGGCACAAGCCCTGTCTCTCAGGGGTTTCAAAACAATTTTTATTCTTCTTTCATTCGTCGTTGTCCAGAGTATAAGACTTGGGTCATATACTACGCGAGTACGGCGTGGGCTAACGTCCACCCACTGAAGTGTCTGTAAACTACCATGTTGGTCAATCTGTTCATTATTTGACAGGATAAAGATTTGGATACGGTGAAAAGCGCGACACGGACCTGATGGTCACAAGTGTCATATCATGTCCACCTGTCCTGCAGCTTGCATACGTCATAACCCCGCTTCAAACTATAGCGACCGTTCGACGCCTTTGAGTTGCGATGCAAAACCTATCCAGCGCCCCAATATCATAGTCTTTATATCTTACTCCGTCATGACATATCCTGCACCTACTCACGTGGCAACGAATGACCTTTTTAGACTGGATAAACGGACCATTATAGGTGCTGCTCACCAATCAACACACGAAATGAAGCTTACACAGTCTTCTAGTTTCCGGAGGTGCCGGTGCAGTGGGGACCGTCGTCAGTCGGGCGATTCTCGAGAGTGGCGGAGATGTCATTTGCGTCGATGTCACCGACCCCGTTACCGAGACTTGGGGTATATCGTACCTTGAAGCTCCCCACTATGATCCTCTTTATAACTGTTGTTAGAGTCGATCCAAGAAGTTGCGCATGCTAATGATACCCGTGCGTTGTTCCAACGCCTCGACGTCCAGGATGAACCCAGCATCACATCAGCCTTCAACACCATCCGTGCTAAGCTTCGCCATCCGATCCGAGGGCTCGTCTCCTGCGCAGCAATATCCGGCGAAAGTGATGCCTGCTCGTATCCCATCGGCACGTTTCGCAAGATCCTCGACATCAACATCTCCGGCACCTTCCTCATCGCCCGTGCCGTAGCGAACGAATTGCACAACGCCAACCAATCGGGAAGCATCGTCCTATTTGCCTCGATATCAGGGCACATTTCCAATCACGGAATCAATACTGCTGCGTACAACGCTTCAAAAGCGGCAGTGCACCAACTCGCCCGTTCTCTTGCCGCGGAATGGGGTCACCCACAGAATACTTTTCCCGGTAGCACGGTCACAGAAACAAACCCAAATCCCAGCCAAGAGCCACGAAAAGCTTATCCGCCGATTCGTGTCAACACTATTAGTCCCGGACATATCGATACGCCTCTGAGCGCGGAAGCGCGGAAGAGGGGGTTGACGGATGAGTGGGCGAAACAGAATATGCTAGGGAGAATTTCGGTGCCCGAAGAGTTCCGAGCGCCGGTGTTGTTCTTGCTGGGTGAGGGAAGCAGTTATGTCACTGGTTCTGTAAGCCGATCTTCCTTGAACATCACAGAAAGAGACGAGATTGTGAAGCTAACATGCGATGCGTAGGATTTGAGGGTCGATGCTGGGCACTGCGCATGGTGAAGTTCGATGAGAGATAAACTTATCGATTCATGTGTTCGAAAGACGTAAAGGTATATATATATACAAGAAGGATTCTAGGGAGTAAGAATACAATGTAAACCATCTGCTCCTCTAGCACCGACGCCTCGCTCATTCGTAACCTTTTGTACAATGCAATGCGTCTTCCCCTACCGCCAACTCCACGCTTCTCATCGCTCATCAAAATCAATCCTCTTGGATCTTTACTCGTTGATCCTGTGCTGCCAGACTTCCTGCTCTGCCCTAGCGGAGTAGGTGCTAGCACCGAGAATAGCCCTCATCTGATCAACACCAGTGAAGAGAATCTGCCTAGCAACGAACCAGCGGATACCCTCAGTGCAAGGGGGGCTTGTCAAGCTACCCTGGTAAGTCCAGAACTCGTTGAAGTACAGTACGCTCTCGAGTAGAGGAGCAAAGTCCATGGTAGTAGGCTCCTCGACACCCATCTCCGTGTAACCAATCATGGCAGGTAGTTGCTCGAAGAAAGTCGAGTTGGAGTTACCGGGGTCGAGACGGATGGCCATGACGGCGGCTTCGTGGCCTTTAGCGTCGACGTGGACGAGATGGAGTTCGGCTTTGCTGCGGTCGCCACCTACGGAATGGTCGGCTGGGGCGTGGATGTGCCAGCCCTTGAGGTAAACGGTCTCGTTGTCGTAGGTGAAGCTTGGGTGGGTGGTCCAGTCAATGTCTTCCTCCGCTGCCTTCTCATCGTGTGCAACGGTGAAAGCAGGACCGTAGCCCCAGTTGTAGAAGTTACCGGCGATGCTGCCGTTGTACTTGAAAGTAGGCACGTGGTTCAAAGCCAATCCGTTGCCTAATGAGAGTGCAATAGGAGACTGCTGTGTGCCAGTTTGACAGAGGTGGTAGTCGGGGCTGATTTTTCCCCAGTTGAAAGATGCTTCGTAGGCCCAGTCGTTCTGGGTTACGTTGGTGCCTGGCGGAACTTGTTGTCTTGTAGTGAGGTGTACATTGCGTTTGGCGTTGGTGTGTTGGGGACAGCTAAGTGCTGCGGGCGCTAGAGTGGCGGCGGCGAGGAAGATGGATTGGAACAGCATGGTGACGGTGCTAATCTCTGTGTGATATGAGTGTCGGATGACTTGGTAGGATGACTGAATTGGCTGCTGTGATGAGAAACTTTCATGTCGTGCGAGGACATGTTATATATATAGTCCAGTCGGACTATGGAATGTGCCTCCGCCTTCACAACGACTACCCTAGCCATTCGAGCAAAGGTCTCAGCCATGTCCTTCAATTCCGCCAAGTAGTCTTCACACATGCCCTTTTCGTGCGCCATGGAAAGTCTCCCGTCGCCAAGTGCTCTATCTTCTCACTACCGTTGCGCAGCCTCTTTGCTTGCGCAGTACGTACCATTAGGAAATGCACTTGGTTTCCTTGGGAGACGGCACACGCTTGTATGTTGGAAACCGGAATTCCAGCCCATTCCTCGTAGCGGTTCTAATGCCAAGCATGAACCCTGTTTACGACAAGAAACGCTTGATGACCGCGAGCGATAGCGCAGGGGCGAGATCGCTCTTTGCCATGTCAAGTTAACCCGGCGATCTTGGCGGGAAACGGTCGCGTGGCTTCTACCCAATGCATTGATACTGGGGATTCCGACAAGATGAGACTTGGCGTGGAGAACCATGACTACTGTGTACTGTAATAAGCTCAGCGGACAAGAATGGCTGGGAGAGGTCGAGTTGCTTAAATGATGACACGCAGCGCGGATGTAGCAGTCGGCCCGTCGCAAGAACGTCAAAGTAAAACCTTCCCGCTGCTTGATAGCTCTTGACGCGTGGCATAAGCATGATGCGACGACTGGGAAGTCACAGACGTCGAGGACGAACACATTTCACGATTGCGTAGATCAGAGAACGAGTGCGTAGTTCCTGCAGGACCCACAGATTCGCCTAAATGTCCAGACCTAGACCCTTCCAATTACGTTGTGGAACATCACCCATCAATAGCTTGCACTCAGATCGATACCGCCGTGCACCGCCGCCGCTACTCATCGAAGATGCAACAATCAGGGAAACACGACCGCTAAAGCGGCGCATTGCTGGATCTGTAGAAATCTCCGCCGTCAACCCGGGAGAAGTCGACGAAACAGAAGCGGGCCGACGAAAGCTCTCTGTTCAGTCATCAAGCTGTTTCTGCTACAGCCTTGGCGTGTATAGTGTCCCAAGTTGCCAAGGGAACGAGCTGCTTGGATTCAGTGCGTACTAGACACGAGGCGGGACGCGCAGTTGAGAGAAATGACTTGATGCATGACGGCACGATGCTGAGTATATCAAGAGGACACCGGATGATGTGAGAGTATGGCATCCGGCTTCTCCGCAACGACGACAATGCCCAGCTGACTCTGCCATTCCATCCATGAAACAAGTGAACACCCACATGAAATAGATGCCCAAGAAGTCTACCCTGCTGTAGCGGATTGTCGACCTTCGCGTTTATACTAACATGGGCTGCAGCGCAGCTGTTCGGTCTCTTCTTTGTATGAGGTGAACAAATCCATTTTCAGCGATCAGTATCCAGGCCACACTACCTCGTCGCATTCCGGGTGCTTGAAGGCCCCGTTGCTCATCTCGTACTCGTATTCCAGGTCGGGCTGGAACTCCCAGTATAAGCTCTCAGCGTCGCTCGCCATCTTGAATGTATATGCCGCTGCGTCATCGTCGACGTAGACTTTGGGGACGCCATTGGCTGCTGCCGCTTCTATCTTCAACTGGACATCGCAAGAGCGTTCCATGAGGGTATACAAGAACGCGGCTTCATCGACGGTACCTCCTACCGTCTGCATGATGTTAGCCGAGTACGAGGTGTCGCACACTGGGCGATACATACCAATAGTCCGTGATTCCTCAGTACCATACCTTTTCCCCTGGGTCCCAACGCAGCTGCCAGCTTCTTGCCTTCTTCTTCATCAAGGACAACGCCACCAAAGTCCTCATAGACGGCTTGCGCATCGCCGTAGAAGTAGCATACGTCTTGGTTCAGCATCTCCAATGGCTTCGCGAAGGCACTCCACGCTTTGCCTGCCTTCCCATGGCAATGGCATGCCGCGTTGACGTCTGGGCGCGCCTTGTGTATGGCCGAGTGTATAAGGAAGCCAGCTGCGTTCGCAGGCCTGCTCTGATTTCCTCCCACCACCTTGCCATCGTAATCAACAAGGACCATATCTGATGCTTTGAGAAGACCGAAGTGCTTTCCGAGCGGGTTTGTCCAGAAATTGTGTGGGTGCTCTGGATCACGCACCGAGATGTGACCCGACATGCCTTCGGTCAGGCCGTGCCTTGCGAAGACGCGAAAGGCACCCGCCATGTGTGATAGTATCCATGCCCGATGCTTATCGTACGAGGAGAAGAGGGGGATGCCAGGGAGGCAGACGCCCTGCGAGATGGCTTGCAGCGGCGTCAATTCCTTCGTCGCGTCGTCTTTGGATCGTGGGACGAGCTGCTTGGATTGCGCGACGGGCGCTGGCTCGACCTGGATAGCGGAGGGTGCCATGTTGGGATGGGATGGGATCGGTCTAGCTGTGGGTAAGTAGGTTGTGTGAGTTGCAATTGATCAAAGATAGGCTTGAGTCAAAGCTCTTGGATGCGCCGTTGTTATACTTCAGACGACCGCTATCAGGCCGATGTTATCGCCTCAAAGGGCGCGTGAAGTGGAGAAAAGTGGGATGACTGTCCAGTCGAGCTCCAGATACGCGGCGGGGTGCCGCCCTAGTCGCCGGCCAAGTCCCACCTGCGCATCACCGGCCCTTTCTCCACGCTGCTGCCACATCGACGACTATCCAACCACCTCATACACCGAAGAAAATGAAGAGGACTCCTGCAGCCTAGAACATGGAAAGGTTAGGAAGAGAAAGATTCCAGCATTCATGTAGGCGTCTAGATCTTCGAATCACACGATGGTAGTCTTCTTACCTCCTCTCGTAGTCGCCTAGTAGGTAACGCGTTTGGTTCTTCTACTGAACAGGGTGAGCTCTTTGTCCATACTGCCACTTCGGTAACTACCCAACGGCGCATGACCCGGAAGGCATTCGAGGCTCTGCTTGTTAGTATGAGAGAGATTCAAGAGCTTGCTTTGTACCGCAAGTAGCCTAACCATGCTTTATCGCTTCGCTTCCTCTCCCTGGCAATCAAATGTCCGCAGGATTACGAACAAGGATCAGATATCGTCTCGCTTCAGCTCTCGCCTCTCATGCCGGTACCTGAAGTACAGTTGACTGTCTCATATACATGGCAGCGCTGGGACCGATTCCGGATAACATGCCACAATACCTCATCCTTCGACCGGACACTGAACCCATCGAGGTGACCTCAGAACTGAAGCACCTCGTATACCGCAGTTCATTCAGACGTCCTTAGTAATGAAAAGAAGGTAGGTCTGCTTGAAAATGTTGTCTATCTGGGATGTTGTAACGATATGGGGAAGAAGTCGTTTCATAAACACATGCCTAGGCCGAAATAGATTGTCATTCCAGGATTCGGCAGAAAGAGAGGTGTTACTTCGTTCTCTCGCAGCCAAGATATGGGACGCGGAGCATCTCGTCAGTTCATCGAAGCCTCGGTGGCATTACAACCGAGAGGTCCGCCCCACCAAGGCGCAGCCGCAAGGTAGGCTGGCCCAAATGATGATAGCGGGGTGCATGTTCGTCGCGAGAGCATGTAATTATCCCGCCAGACCAACCAACACGGTACTGTGCCTTGCTGTATACGTCCGACATCCCACGTCCTGGAGTAACTTTTACAAGACATACATAACGATTCCCGGCCGACACGATGGCCGAGAGCGCTCGAGATGCGATACTTAAGGAGCGCGGTTCCGCCTTTGTTGACCAGATCACCCAATCTACGTTATTCACTCCCAACATTTGGACATCGCGTATTACTCAGAATGTCTTCAGGCAAGACCGTCACCCTTAGCTCTGGCCACAAGATCCCGTATGCTGTTCCAATCTGTGCTCATGCCGATACATCATTCTAACATCCCTTTAGTCAATTGGGATATGGCACCTGGCAAGCCGCTCCTGGTGAGGTCGGCAATGGCGTCTACGAGGCACTAAAGATCGGATACCGTCATTTGGTAAGTCTCCGAGACCCTGAAGACCCTGGAATCGTTCACTCCATTCTTTGGGCAGGAGTGTTCGGAATTCAATGGCTAATTCAACCAAATATAGGATCTTGCAAAGATGTATGTCAGCGATTACAGCTTATACTCACAATTCCTTTTTCACTCGACTCACTTCGGCCTTGCTCCCACCTGACGTTGAACATTTTTCCGTCAGTGTAATTGGAAGTACAACTGGGATGCCCCTCAGTGGGGATGGAAGCTTGGAAGCTATGGCCATACCCCACTATAATTCATCAGAACACAAGCTGACGAGATGTTCCACCAATCACAGCTACGAAAACCAGAAGGAAGTTGCGCAGGGCATCAAGCGTGCATACAAGGACATTCCAGGTCTCAAGCGTGAGGACATTTTTATCACGGGAAAGCTGTGGAACTCCCAACATGACCCTGCCACTGTAGAGGCAGCTCTCGATGACACTCTCGCCGAACTTGAGCTTGAGTACCTCGACCTGTACCTCATCCATTGGCCTGTCAACTTCGGGCCGGGAAAGAACCCTCACTCGGATCTTTTCCCCATGACTTCTGACCCCAATGAGGTTAACATTGACAACTCCATTCCTAACAGCGAGACCTGGAAGGCCATGAACAAGCTGCCAAAGAGCAAAGTCCGCTCGGTTGGCGTCTCCAACTTCACGTACCAGACTCTGAAGGCTTTGGTTGAGAAGACTGGCCTCGTGCCCGCCGTCAACCAAATCGAGCGTCACCCAATCCTCCCCAGCAAGGAGCTTGTCGCTTACGCCAAGGAGAAGAACATCCACATCACCGCGTACTCCGCCTTCGGAAACAACTTCTTCGATATCCCACTGCTCATCCACCGCCCTGAGATCAAAGCAATTGCGGAGAAGAAGGGCGCCACACCGGCACAGGTCATTCTTGCATGGTCTCAAGTCGGCGGCCACTCTGTGATCCCCAAGTCTGTCACTCCGTCGCGCATTGCTGAGAACTTCAAGGAGATTGAGCTGGATGAGGAGGACATCAAGGCTATCACCAAGTTCTCGGATGAGCACCAGGGAAGGAGAAGGTACAATGTACCCTACACGGCGAACAAGCCTAGATGGAGCATCAACATCTTCGATGAGCCAGAGGAGCAGGAGGCGCCCAACAAGGTCGTCTTGTAGATAAAGTGAGCCTACAGGTAGCCGCAATATTACCAATGTTGACTTGAGCTTCTCGAACTATGACGCATTTGGGGAAGCGTGGGTTGTTGAAAGTGACTAAGTGCGTCAAACCACATCGTATGCTTGCTCGGTGAGCACATAAGCACGATGACGCCGATTCACAAGCAGTCCTTGGGAAAGGAGGCTGAGCAGGCACGCTAGCGGCGAGCTCGTTTCTTCTCGGTTAGATCAAATCACGTATGTGCATCACTCACTCCGCGTCGCGTCTCTTGTTCATTTTACACAGTCGCTTCATGTAGTACTGCAATCTCGAAACCTACCAAACCACTTGACCCGGCGCCGACAAGGCTTCTACATGCCATCATTGATCTGCACTCCGCCAGGTAGGCTTTCTAGCCCTGCTCAGTAAGTTAGCATAGTGCCTTGGGTGTCTAGTATTGCGCTTACAAGTGTCAGACCCGTCAACGTCTTCAGCCACCGTTTGCGGAATACTGCATTTCATTGCATCTTCGTCACTCTGCCTCTCCAACTCGCTACATTGATCGTTACTGCACCGTGCGTCCAGCGCTCGCTGCAGCGCATCGCCCTTCCAACCAAACATATAATCGCCGTGGTTACCATGGCCGGTCCTACAGCCAGTCGTTAGCATGATTACGGTCTTTCGCACGTTCCAACTGGAAGAGGAGGCCTTACGCATCGCCCATACTGATCACAAAAGGCTGCGTCCCCTCCTCGCCCCACAGCTCAGGAGTATTGAACGGGGTCGTGTCAAACATGACCTCATACATGATTTGCGGAAGCGGCACAGGATAGCCCTTTGGACACTTGCCCCTTTGCTGCTCGGGGGTATACGGAAATGTCGCCATGGGCGGGAAATATGGCTCGTACGGGATTTCTGCATATGCGACATGGCTCTGGTGATCCGGCGAGTCGAGGTTGACGCCATCCCAGCATGTAGGGAAAGTGACTTGTGTACGAATACCACCTTCGCACATGCGGTTGGGGAGGAATGTCGTATCTTCTCCTGTACATGGAGCGCCACCAAAGGGCTGTGAGTCCTTGTAAATGCAGCGATGGCAGATGCCGCGGGATTCACCGGTCGCATTACGAAGAATAGGGTTTCCGGCCAGCATACGAAAACCCTAGTGAGAGTTTAGCATTGAAGGGCAGCAAGACAATTCCAAGGGTGGGAGACAAACGGGTTTGAACGCAGTCACGTTGCTGAAGCCATCATATGGAGGGATGTAATACACCGTCATACCGCCTCTCTGGTTCAGCCCAAGATTAGGGAACTGCTGGACACGTTTGTAAGTGCCGTTCTGAGGCGCGCGGTAGTACAACGCTGCAGTCCAGTAGTTGCTACGTTCCGTCAGCTACGACTCTACTACTGCTAAGCACCTTATGATGACCCTCATGGCATACCTGAAGTCTTCGCTGAAAGTACACGTAGTACAAGTACTCTTCTCGACCAGGTTGTACTCCACAGGCTTCATGTCAGCCTGAAAGCTGTTTCCTCCGACAATTTGGTGCGTATGCGGACTTCCAACAACTCCAGGGTTAACCAAGGGGTCTAGTCGCTCGACGGTGAGTTGAGAACATGCGAAGCGCATCATCGCGGCGCCGCGACTGACATTCTGAGCTAGCACTGCACTGGTGAGCGTGGCTGCTACGAGGATCACGTTCTTCATGATGACTGGACGGCGGACCAGGTATCTTTTACAGAGCAGCAAACAGGGCGATCGTTGTTCAGACCAGAGAGATATCTATGGAGGGACGTCTATGGAGGGACGTATACAGTCAGCTATGTGGGGCGCACAAGTGCCGGATCCCAAACAGTTTCGTCCAAGACAACTCCCTTCCAAAGGTTCCAGTACAGTGGATTCTGGGAAGTTGACCCATTCGAGGAAGTGGTGTAAATTGCACTCGCATATTGAGCGACCAGGGTCTGCCCAATCATGCATCTACCGCACAATAACATCACAGGCTTCTGATAGTCCAACTGGTAACCACAGTCAATGTAGCATTCATCTCTTACTGGTACAGAGTAGAATTCTGGTTGACTGCTTTCGGACAAACCGACACTGATTTGGGCTACACTCATGTCGAGCAAGAAAGGATTTTGACAAAACGGCAGGCGAGACATCAGATAAAGATGTCCAAAACGCTCAACTTAATTTTCAGATCCACAAAAGGCTCTTGCCGATAAGGAGTGTCGTCTTTACAAGGTCGAAACCGCTGAACCTCAATCCGTGGGATCGTCGCTCCTTCTTCAACCCAGAGCCACCTGTGATAATCCATAAGCTCCTAGGGCCAAAGGTCGCAAGAGTCCATGTCTGCATTCCAGTCATCAGGAGGATACCAACACGGGTCTTCAATCTCAAAGAAGACTTTTGTCACCTTGTAAAGCATCTTACCATGCTCGTCTTTGCCAGCGGGTATCTTATTCTCGCGGTACTTGGTCGCGCCCGCAGGAACTCCGCGCTTGATAACCTTATCCCATGGTTCATCGTAGACATGTGTCTCTTCAATGTCAAGATCCGGATGTGTCCAATCTGGGTTTTGATAACCTAGATGGCAAGGGTACCGGCCATTGGCATCGACGGTATCCGGCTCATAGTAGATCGGCTCCAGGCACCATTGCCTGCGTCTGGCATCAGGATCTAGAGGGCCCTCAACAAATGTGGCGATGGAGCGTATGCGCAGCCAGTCCCACTTCGGTTTATCCTTTACTAGGCGCCCAAAGCGGAAGGTGACCCCCGCATAGCTAGCGCGATCCTCGATCTCCAAATCCACAGCACCGAAACGCACTTTGATGATCCTGGGTTCATCAGCCCTCTCGGGGATAAGTTTGGAGGACTCAGGTTTGGAGTGGAAACACTCAGATTTGGGGTCCCCATGATTGTGGTACTGGGCGCAGAAATCTTGGAGAATTCCCCCGCCCCGTGTGAACCTATGGACAATTTCGTAAGGCCTGACCATTGGACGAATGATGTAGAACTGCCAGTCTCTCACGAAATCCCTGTTCAGATGACGCTTTTGCTCTTCCACATCGTCTTGTAGGAGATCGACTTTCTCAAACAATGACTCGAGCACTACCCTACGAATCTTATCATTGTCCTTGGTGTGCTCCCAAAGTAGGCTGAGGTCGCCAGGTTTGAAGCTCATGGACTGGATGGTGTTGTCGCAATCTTGCATGGTAACCTTCTCCTCTTCATGCTTGTTGACAAGCTCGATTTCTTGCTTGAAAGACTGGACAACTTCGTCAAGAATCATATCGCTGACCTCCGTAGTCTTCATCATTTGGGAGAGTCGGGATGTCTCGAACAGATCGCTCATCGCGATGGACGGTGTGCCGTTATCACGGTGAATGAAGCCTTTGCCGTTACAGGGTTCCAGGCGGTATGTGCGTCTAGGGAAGCTGTGACGACGACCCTGGAAAACCGAAGTGTACCACCTGTCGAAATTATCGAGGGAGTACTCGAGGAAGTTTTGGTCGTTGATCGGCAGTCGGTCCATGACCTCTTGCGTTGCGAAGCGATTGACGCCACCATTTTGTCCAGGCGGGGATACAACGAGTTGAACAGCCTCGCTGGCGTAGAACAATGGGTCGGTGGTAGGTTCTTTCCTCCGTATCACAGGCGCTTCGCTTGTACCTTGAAGGTTGTGCTTCAGCTCTGCATACAAGGGGACTCGTGGCGAAGTAAACCCCTGTGAGCTCAAAGACTGCCTTATTGGCTGACATGAAACGTTTACGTTCGCCCTCCGGACTGATATCCTCCAGTCCTGCCGCAATCTTATCCCAAGCGACTGGCTGCTGTTGCTATGGCCTACGCAGCTCGTAGGCCTTTTGGCATTCGTAGGGAACTTTTGAATCAATAACCACTTTACTCCAATCTATTGGACATCTCGACTGATCGTAATAGGGTAGCGTTGGCGCTGCGAAACCGTAGTGCCACGGTGAAATCGCTGGGCGAGGTGGTGGGTTGAAGACTGCGTTTATCAGCTGGAAACGCTCATGGGAAGGATGAGGTAGTTTCAGACCGGTCGCTCTAGCGCGTAGTTGTTGTGCAACCACCACAGCGTCATCTTCTTCCTCTACAACATCCCCCTCTTCCTCTGAAGCAGAAAGCTCTTCTTCTGAAGCAGTATCGTCTTCCGCCTCCATGATGTACTCGTCTTCAGCATCTGATACAGCGCTGTTGTAAAGCTTAGTCTTCGCAGCTCTCAATTTGTCGATGGTGCCATCGAGCTTTGTGTAGACGTATCATTCATTGCGACATCCGCTGCGCCATGGGCTGAGATACTACCAAAGCTGACAGCGCGACTCGGGGTGTTCGTAGCAAGCCGTGGAGTTGCATTGCGCTTCACTTGAGTAGTCCTCCGGCGCTTTGCTGGCGTCTTCTGGACGTCTGTCTGCCCATTAGGAAGAAGACTGCTGCTAATAGGGTCTGTCAACGATGGGTCGTTGCGCTGCACCGTATCAGAACCGTTTTCGGCAATCGGGTTCGCTTCTTCGGCGTTGCGCTTCTTGCTGGGTGACTGCGACATTGCTGAAGCGGGATTCATAGGTGCTGTCGATCTGGCTTGAAGTTCAGTGGGAATGGTGGGCATGTTGATGTCAACGTTACTGGAAAACAATGAAGTATTCTCGCAAGTGCGATGCACCATGTGCAAAGCGAGGTGAAATCCAGTGCAGTATAGGGAGAGGGACCCGTCGTTTATATGCGGGAGGGGAATGCCAGTCATCCAGGCCCTAGCGAAGACCACATGGTAGCCGCACTGGCCTCGTCAGTAGGTTTCTGGGGCGGAATTGATGGTAGGAATGTGACAGAAGAGTGAATATGCTTCCGTGGTTGTGGTGAATGCTAAGATTAACATGTGACGGACGATATAGCGCAATATGTGATGACGGACGAGGCGCAACGAGACCAAAGTAATCGATGAAACAGGGCGACGCATAAAGACACGCAAATAGTGCATGTATTCGCTCACATATATCAAGTTTCTAATCCACATTGAACGCGTTCATCGCTGCTCTACTGTAGCATGCCCTCCAAGCTCTCTCCCAAAATCTCCTCCATGCCATTCTTCCACCTCTGGCACTCCCTCTCGACGATCTCATCGTCGTCTTCCATGAGTTCACTGATGAATGGCAGCATCTCAGGAAGCAGACCCAACCACTCTTCTCCTAATCTCGTCGTCAAGCTCTGCTCACACAGGACTGTTGCGAGCCTGGTGTTTCTGTCATCGCTCCTCATGTTCTTCAGCAATATGCTGTTCATTTCGCGATGGTTCTCCATGGATGATGCGGACGCAACAGCGAGTTCGGTGATGGTAGGAATGACGTTGTTGGTGTTGTCTTCCGGAGTAGACGTCGATGCAGATGGTAGGCTGAGCAAGGACAACAGGGGCGGCATAATGGTTCCAAAGTGAGATGGCGCTTGCCAGAAGCCGTCTTGATCGTGCTGGAATGTCTTCTGGAGAGCATCAAGCACAGCCCTGCGTGTGGTAACATCAGAGTCTTCTTTGGCAAGTTCAGTCAGCAGCTTCGCGGCGTGCTCGATGATGTAGCTCGAGTAGCTTGTTACGAGAGACTAGTTGTGTGTTAGCGAAATTTTGATCTAGATTGATAGAACGAGACGTACCTTGAACTTGTCGAAGAAGGCAGCGAGGAACTTATAGAAGGTAACAGCCTGTTGAGGCTTGCTCGACAGTGGGCCTTCCTGATCCACAAGCTGAACGAAGAATGGCCGGAATGTAGCATCGCTGAGCTTCAGTACCATAGCGATGACGGAGTCAGTAAGTGTGCTCTCCAACTGCTCGACCTCTTCCTCATCAACTTCGACCGTCGTAGATCGGACCGTCTCACGTAGTCGGAAAGTCTGCAGAAGCAGACTGAAAAGCGGTTGACTGGCCTTGACAAGCTTAGCCTTGGTCTGAGTGTTGACAGTCGCGCGCAAAAGCTCAAGCTGCTCAAGCGATGCATCGAAGCCTTGAGAGGCGGCGTGTGGCCACGTTGACTTGATAGCAGCGAACACTTCCTGAGCACCGAGATTCTCAGACACACTCTGGAAGAAACTGCTGCGGCTTTCGTCGCAGGACTGTTCCAGATCGGCAGCGGCAGAGCGTTGACACAGTCGAAGAGCAGTATCCAGGTAGTCGCGCGAGAACATGTACCCCAGTCGTTCAACAATGTTCGAAAGCATGGTGAAAACAGCGTTGTGGAGACCAGTCTTCTCCTCTTCAATCGCATGCGACAGATATTCGAATGCTGTTGGCAAGACGGTAGGAAGGAGCGAAATGGCCTCATCCTCGAGAACGTCAACAACCGACGTGAGACAGAGGAGGGAAAGGATGCGGAGGCGATCATCGCTGCTGGATAACGATTGGGGTCCGGAGACGACTTGGGCTACTGATACAACGGCGGATACGTCCTTCTTTCCGAAGCGGTCCACGATGCGATCGATGCAGCTAACAGAGACCATCTTGGCATCCATATCAGATGATTGTGCCAGAAGATCCTGGACACTGGGCAAGAAAGAGATCAGCGCCTCTACGGATTTGCGGTCGTTCTGCTTGGCGGTGCCCGCGCGCAGCTCCACCGACTTGACGGCAGCTACCTGCACGTGAGAGTCTGTGCTCGCGAGGAGTAGCTGTGCCGATTTGATGAGGTCAGTCGTTGGCAGGAGGTCCAGGCAACTGGCGAGAACGCGACTACACCCGGCGTAGGTCTTAGGATTCGTTGCTAGCTTCTTTGACAGTTGGATAGTACTCTCGACGATGTTTGCAAAGATCTTGCGTGGTCGTTCAGGGTTGTCCTTCTTTCTGTACGCTCGAGTAACATGTGCCTTCACCTTATCGTCAAGCGCAAGGTCTGTCAAACACGACAGCATACTCTGGATTGACAGGTCGAACTTGTTATCTTTCGTCTTCTCTTTGAGGCTGAAAAGTGTTTCTGCGACCTGGGGCTTTGGTCCCACGGCATCCGTAAGTAGATCGACATATCCCTTGAAGGTGACGAGGGTGTGAACAGGTTCGAAGTGAAGCAGCAAGTCCGCACAGAACCTTCGTTGCTCTTTGCTGTGGTAGCGATCGGCAAGAAGCGCCACGATAGCCGGAAGCGAATCTTCCGGGCCTAGAGTACGAGCAAGCTCTGTGAATAACTTCATCCTTCTGTGCAGTGGAATGTGTTCAAAGGCAGCAGTAAAACTGAGCAGCAAATCGGATACGCCGGCGATGAAGTCCCTATGTTTAGAGCGAAGAGAGGCGGCCAATTGAGGTACGACGCGAGAGATAGTCTTGTCAACGACCTGAGCGGAATAGTCGTCATGCTGGCGAAGAAGGGTAGATCCGATGAAGGTGAAGATAGGCATGAGGTTATGGAGAATGAGATCAGGAACCCATGACGCAAGATTGGAAATCAGAAGCAGTGCGCTGTTTTGAACCTGTGGGCTGCTGGAGTGTCGAATGCAGTCGATAAGTAGGTCCGCTCGTACTGCCGATTGGTGGTCGGCGGTGTCGGCCTGCTCCTTCAATGTGTTTACGATCGGGCTTAGTGATCCCAGAATAATACTCTGAAGATATACTAGCTCTGACCCAGACTGTTGCTTGAGTGGCTGCAGTTCTGCAAAGATGCCGAAAAGGTTCTTGAACAGCGTTGGGTGCTGTCCAGGATTTGACCCTTCAACCAACTCAAGCACCAACGTGAGCTTTCGGAGCAGTCGCTGAACATCGTCCTGCGATGAAAGCTCGACTCGAGCCATCTCACTCTTGCTTGTCCTTCGCCTTTTCGCTGCGGGCGGTCCTTCAGGCATCGCGGTAGGAGATGGAATGCTTTCCAGGAAGGTAACCAGTATCGCGGAATCGAGGTCGACGTTGCGCAGAATCTCAACGGATCGCTCTCTACGAAGCTTATCGAAAGAGTTGTCACTTTCACTGGTAGATAGGCCGAGCATACACTGAGCCAACGCGTGCCGAGCTTCAGATCTAAAGGATGACCATGAGGTTTGAATGCGATCAAAGGCGGCCATCACTAAGGCTTCACGCTCTGTGTTGAAGGTTCCAGAGATGATGTCCTCTAGCAGTTTCGCACTTATGGCCTCTCTAGACATTGTCGCGGCAATGTGAGCCCGCTCCACTTCATCAAGCGAGAGCCCTTCGCTGTTACAGCCGGTGGTCACGGTGACAGTCGGTAAGGTTGCCCATTCGGTCAACAATGGAAGCACAGAATTTGTACGAACGGTGTCAGAGACCTTTCCACGCATGTTTAGCATTGGCAATAGGCCGAGGCGGACCCTCAATACTGGTGTAATCCTGGCGTGGCTGGCGAAAAATGCAAGGATTGAAGTCCTCGTCTGCATCTTGAACGTATTCTTCGGATGATTCTTCAGCTGTGTCCCTTCCAGGACATCGCGAAGAGCGGGAATGGCGAACTTGGAGTCCATGACGCATTCTTCAAGGATCGGCTGTAGCATTGAGGAAACGAACACGAGGACATCTTCAGGTTTGAGTTCTGCAAGGTTCTTCGACTCTTTTCCGTACAGATCAGACTTGCCCCAAGTTGGTGTTTTCGACTTGGCGGAAGCCTTTCGTGCCAGTGACCCAACGCATGCAGCAGCTGAACGTCGGATAAGTGGCGATGCATCTGCAAGGGCGTGTACGAGGTATGGCAGGATGTTCTGCAAGACATGTGCAGCCTCGAGCTTTTCAAACGATGATGCGGCTGCACGGAGGGCGGCAACGCGAATGGCGACAGGCCGGGCGCTACTCCAGACGCGAGCGAGAAACGAAAGGTAGAGTGGCTGCTTGAGAGCGGATTCTTGGTGCAACGCGTCCGAAACGAGGAATCGCCGTGTCTGCTTTGTCGTTACAGCCTGCTCGAAAACATCGGCCGCTTGCGAGAATTCGGCCTCTGATCCGGGGTCGAAAAAGCTCTTTACAGTAATCTCTGGCAATTGGATGACAGGCTTCTCGGCTGTGTCCTCATCTGCATCAAGCATCTCCTCGTCAGAGTCCTCGTACTGAATATCTTCGATTTCGAAGGTTTGGCTAACGGTAAGCCCCAAAGACTCTAGATTGACGTTGTGCTGCTTTGCTGCTTCCTGTAATGTGATCTGTAGGTCTTTTGATTCAGCCATCTTAGTAGCGACTTGAAGCAATTCTCCGTGCTCTTCGGAGCCCGAGGGGCTGTCGCGGAGGAGTTGGACCAATGCCGATAGCACCATCTGAATGTGCGATGTGCCGAGGAGGCCTGAGGCGATTAGCTCATGGAAAACTCTGCAGTTCTCGTCGGAAGTATCGCTGAGTGCACCAAGAGCACAGCCTAGAACAAGTCGCTGAACCTGGCATTGTTTTGACACTGTCGTCAACTTCTGCACAAGCTGAGGAACCTTGAGTAATCTTCTCGATACTTTGGCTGGAACCTGCGCTTTGGAGCGCTCCATTGCGATGATGGCCAGACAACCAAGGCACGATTGAAGGGAAGCTTCGTCGTATGCTACGATGACAGCCTCCATCAGCCCATCCAAAACCTTGTCTCCGACCTTTGCCTGGCTCACCATCATGATGACAATGGCGTAGCAAGCGAGAACAGTGTCCGCACCGTGCTTGGCTCGCATGCAAGTGTTGAGAACGGGAAGCAGTTCCAGTACTAGTTTCTCAGTTCCCTGAGCTTGGAGATCCTTCCTTCCAGTGCTTGCGTTGCTCACTATGCCATATATAGCTTCGACCGTGATTCCCGACCAGAAAGACAGCATGTGCGAGGCCTGGTGGCCCGCCTCTACCACCTTCGCAACGTATGATTGGTATGCCTTGAAGAATTGTGGGGTGTTGATGGCGGTGTATGCGATGGTTCGCTGCGGTACATTGGTCGGGGACTGGATGTACGGGAAGAGGAATCGGACGGCGTGCGGTGGCTGTGGGGGCAAGATGGAGAGCAGCGCAAGGAACTGTGGTGTGTTGTGATAGGGCAGGTAAGTAAAGACGAGAGTTTCGGTGTTGTACTCGTGGATGCTAGTCTACTGTCAGCCTCTATGCTAGGAGAAGCCATCAAAGGCTTATGAGCATGTCGACCTACCGGAATCTTCGCACCAGCCACTCGAGAGCCTTCTCCGCCGGCTTCAGCAGCAGTCTTGGTCCGACCAGTGTGATGAATGCCTCGAGCACTATGTTCAACTTGGCGTTGTCATCCTTGGTCATCTGGGTGCGGTCCTCGGCCTTGCTCTGCTCGCTGAAGAGATTCTTGGAGAAGCGCAGGAACCGCGAGTCCAATGCGCAAAGGTCCTTGTAGCCGTCATAGCAGATGAGGTAGACGGTTTCGAATGACTGCGATGCGGCGACCTTGGAGTCGAATAGTAGCGATTTGCCATGCGCCGACTTCTGCGCGCGCAGGTCTAGCTGATGGGTGCTCGAAGCCGCGATGGTCGCGAGCTGTTTCTGGAGCGCCGTCGCCATTTTGGGAAGTCTTCGTTATCACGACAGGCTCTAGGGTATGATTCGGGTAATGCGATGAGCCATGAGACGCAGCGGAACAGCGTAGAGTTTGTCGTGGCGGATTGGTTGAAAGCTCGAAGCCGGCGATGCGCATACAAAATTTCGGGAAGCCAAGATTTCACGCTAATGTTTTTACGGTTGGCCGCTCGAGCCAGACACGCTGCCGGACTCCCGAGCACGTGCCATGCGCCTTTCATCTTCCGGAACGTCTTACATCTGAGCTTCCATCCTCGTTGTGTTCGCAGTAAAAGACATACGCCTGCCAGTCCTGTTTCTATAGGGAACATGTCTGACTCCTCAATTCGCAATCAGTCTCTTGACTTGTGACTACACGCGTCGCATATATTCCTGTACTGAAAGCACCAACCACAACTATGATATTTGTCTGAAGCTTGATCTACAAGTAGAAAATTGCTGGAGTCGCGCCTTACGCAATGACGTCGAACATCCCCAAATTTGCGAGCTTCCGGCCAAAGCCCAAGGCCGCCCCAGAGCCACCCAAGGAACCCCAACACCATGAGAAAGCCGAACGATCGCCAAAAGAAAAACGTTCTACCAAGGGGAGGTCACCATCGCCAAATCGACATGTTCGCGGGCACGAGTCAAGCAAAGACAGGCCCTACTTCAGCGACCGACGCGGAGATCCCGAAGTACTGCGGTATGGAACAATGCACCGTTATGACATCCCACCCTACCGTCGCTTCGGTCATGGCTTCATACTAGGACTTTCTGTAAACCAAAAGATCGATAGAGAGTACTCAACGGATCGAAAAATACTAGTGACGCCAGCGACACGAAGGCGGCAAGAGCGACTGCTGACTAGCAAGCGTGCGAACAAGTCGAGTGAGCGCGCGTTGCGGCTGCTGAAGGCCGAGGTCCCCGATGTGGATCACTCTCAGGACTTTCTGTCATTGTCTGCAAACGCAAAGAGGAAGCGCGATGACAGTGAAGATGAAGATGCCGAGATGGAGCCTAGGACAGACTACCGCGGCATCGAAGGGCCAAAGTCAACAGAGCCTGTGGATCCAGACACGCAATATGAGTCGGACCCGGATGTTACAATCGACACTGAAGTCACGTGCAAGAACTCGCAGCTCGCGCGGCAGACGAAACAGCATCCTGGAGATCTCCAAAGCTGGCTGGACTTGATCAAACACCAAGAAGCCATGCTAAAGCTCGAAAGGCCATCTGCTGAGCTGACTGCATCTGACAGAGCACATCTTGCTGATATACGTATCTCCACATATGAGGAGGCTTTGAAAAAGATCGGCGGGGATCAAGACAGCAAGCTGAAACTGTACAAAGGACTGCTGGAAGAAGCAGGAAGGGCCTGGGATGGCGCCAGACTGACCAGCAAATGGAATGACGTGCTTGCGAAGCATCCGCAGAGCGTGGAGCTATGGATGAAGTATCTTGACTTTGTGCAGTCACGCTTCACCAGTTTCAAGTTTGAGGAGTGTCGGGCGACCTTCTTCAAATGCATCGAGTCTCTTCGTACAACCAAAAGCGAAGTGTCTGTGGAACAAACCTTGCATATACTACTGCGTTTGACATCTATGACACACGATGCAGGATACCAGGAACTCGCTCTCGCCGTGTGGCAAGCTGTACTCGAACATCATTTGCTACAACCAGAAGTAGACACAGACCTTCAGGCTTTCAAGCAGTTCTGGGAAAGCGAAGTGTCTCGCATCGGTGAGCCTGGGGCAAAGGGATGGAAGCATAGCAACACAGATGATGCGCCGCCCCCAGGTCCTCCGTCTCCGCACGAGAAAGAAGCATCAGATGCTGTTTTCGAAGATTTTCGAAGGCGCGAAGTGGAGGCTACGTCGGTGTTACGACTCCCTGGTCGCACGTCAGACGATGTAGCAGAGGATGATGCATTTCACACAATCTTCTTCTCTGATGTCGAGCCATACCTGGCTATCATCTCGCCTGACACACCAGCAATACTGATCATTGAAGCTTTCTTGTGTTTCTGCGGCCTGCCGACTTTACCACATCGCACACCACAACAACGTACCTGGTGGTCTGATCTGTTCTTGCAGCGCTATTGGCACTCTACTTCTCCGGACACCGACGATTCTACGCAACTCACAAAAACCATCAAACGCTTCTCGAACTATTCAGCAAAACACTCCCAGATGACCACGGAGCTCCTATTCGAGCAAAGCTTCTCACTAGATGGCATCAGACTTGACGCGGACTTCATCAGGCGCTTGCTCAAGCTCCTAGCTTCAGACATTTCCAGCGATGATATTATAGGAGAGTATCTGCTAGCTTTCGAATCGAAACACTTCCCAGTGGAAGTGTTCAAGTCCGCGAAGCGATTACTCAAAGCGCGTCCGTCAAGCTTGCGCTTGTATAACGCCTATGGAATAGTCGAATCGCGTCTAGGTAACTCTGTCAAAGCAGATCAAGTGTTTGGAATGGCGCTGTCTATGCAGAAAGGAGACAGTGTGCTCTCATTACCTTGGAGTTTGGAACTTTTCAGTAACTGGGTATGGGAAGCACTCAGACGGGGAGAACACAGCGAAGCCTTATGGCGGCTCGTCTCACCAAAGGGTAGCCTTCCAGCCGGCGCAGCCAAAGACTCACACCCCGACAACACTCTTCTTGAGACAGCACATCTAACCCTCAGCCAAAAAAGCGAACACGCCCTACTCCATCACGACTACACGACAGCAATAACAAGCACCTCCCTCCTCGCCCTCCTAACCTACCTCACCCACAACAACTCCGCATCACAAGCCCTCGAACTCCACGCCAATCTCACCTCATGGTTCACATCGCACCATCTCTCCACCTCCGCCGTCGCAGAACTCCACGTCCAATCCATCGCCAACCTCCTCACCCACCACACCGCCCACGCCCCCATCGTCAAACCCTCTCTCACCCGCTCCACTCTTGAGCCGCTCATATCCCGCTTCCCAACTAACACGATTCTCCTCGCGCTCTATGCCGCAAACGAAGCCCGCTTCTCTGTCGACGACCGCGTACGAGGTATCATGCACCAGAACGCCTTGCAGAACCCCGAAGAAAGGAGTATACCAGGCTGGGCCTTTGCCATACACTACGAAACCCTCAAGGGAGAAATTGCAGGTTCGACCACGCATTCCATCCGTGCATTGTACAAGCGCGCCACGGAGTCCACGACTGGATCTCGGTGTCCAGCACTGTGGAAAGCGTACGTGGAGTTTGAAATGCGGTGTCTACGTGAGGAGTCGGCGAGACAACGAGCGAATAAGAGACCGCGTAGGGATGGCAAGAAGAGTAGATGGGAGGTGCGGGTTGAGGAGGCGGAGCAACGGGTTAGAGACACGTTTTACGCTGGATTGAGGAATTTGCCGTGGTGTAAGGAGTATATTATGCTCGCTTTTACGGAAGCAAGAGATGTGTTTGGTGAGGAGGATAAGGGAAGGTTGTATAGGGTCATGATGGAGAAGGAGTTGAGGCTTTATGTTGAGTTGGATGCCGAGGATGTATAGATGAAGTGAAGGGTGCAGTAGATTGGATAGTCAGACGTGTTAGCGTAAGCATGAGCGAAGAAGCTGATAATGGCCATCTTGTACGGGGAGGCTTTTTTGAACAAAATATATAACCATGTACATTAATCGCCCGTATCTATCCTACTAGCGAGTTTGACATCCCAGATCAAATGAAAGTCTAGAAAATGTCTTCCGTACCGGCATCTTGCCATGTCGTCTCTCCTTTGGCAACACTGTCTCGCACCTTCCAGTACTCATGGTTAAACACCCAGTACTCCTCGCCAGTAGTCTCACACTTGCCCTTGTGGAACCACCTGGGCACGAACTCTTTGCCTTCAGCCTCTCTCTGTCTGCGAGTCGCTCTCTGCTTCTCTTCGACCCTGTTCTTTTCCACGGCCGCAAAGTCGTACTCACCGTCCTCCATGGCGCGCTGATCGGGACGAAGGCGCGTGTCCGTTGGAGCGACGACAGGGCGGAGCTTGTCGGGAATGTCGTTGAGGGTTACCACGAAGGGAGTAAGGTTGAAAGGTATGCCCGTTGGACGCTCGTGAGCTTGCCACACCAGGAAGGCCTTGTTGTCGTCGTGCTTTGAACTCTTCCCACTCTTCTCAACGTCTGCATCTTCGAAGCCTGGCGTAAAGCGCGCGTAGATCTTGTCGTTCCATCGCCCGCCGATACTCCAGCGGACTCGGTTCTCTTTATCGAAAACTTTACCCACTACTTGATAAGCTGACGAAGCCTTCCAACCACGAGGCTTGAACTCGATAAGACACTTTTCGCCCGTCGTCCAGTTGGTGATTTCCATGGTACCATAGTTGTCGACAACGGGGTTACCGGTTATAATGCCAATTACAGAGGACGTAACCTTCTTCCAGGTGTAGAGCTCCTCTTTGCCACCGTTGACAGTAGGGCGGAGACGCAGGAACCAAGTTCCGAGCGGGTTAATATCGAAGGATTTGCCATAGAATTTCGACTTTACTGCAGATTCACCCTGGGCATTGTTAGAAACTGCATAGAGCATACACTTCCAGCACTTACGTAGTAATCCCACTTCTTGGATTCTGCAAAGGCGGCACCAATCGGCGGGTGGTGACTGACTTGCTCGATGAAGAAACGGTAGCCCTTGTCTGGTCGGGCATACTCGTAGGTCTCGGCGAGAAGTGGATTGAAAGGTTTGGCGACACGTCCAATAGTCGAAGCATACTCTGACGCAGCAAAGGCAGCCACGTAAAGTAGTCGCTCGGTAGAGTCGTCGCGTTCAGCAGCGGTGTCGAGAAGATCCGTGTACTCCATGTCTTCAGCGACACGTTGAAGCAGTGAGGTGGGCTCGTTGAAAGAGACAGGTAGTGTCATCTTGGTCATGTCTTTGCCAATCATGGACTTGAGGATACCCTGAGCGATGTCAGCATCTGCACAACTAGTTGTGCCATCAAACTCACCCATAGTGATATCTTAGGCCTGTCGTCGGCATCCATTGCGAGCCTCTTCCGCGGACCGTCTTCGTAGCCTGCCCACGCTGTGGCAATCTCCATGTGCTTCCTCTCAAACGGATCGTCTGATGAGGCCGGAACGTCCACTTGTGTGGGCTCCTTGGGAGCAGCCGCAGGCATTTCAACAACCTCGACCTCTCCAGCACCGACAGCATCGAAGAACTCCTCGTCATCTTCCGAGTCAGAGTCTGAGATATCGGCAGCAATGTCTGCAAATGTAGCCTTCCTCCTGACCTTTTGGCTCTTAGCAGGAAGTCCCACGTGTGATGTCATATCCTTCTGTTGCTGGGCATCTTCTGGCGCGTCAGCGAAGTCGTCCTCGTCGTCCTTGGCATCCAGCTTGGAGCCAGTCGTCTCGTAATCTTCCAAGGCTTCCCGCAAAGCTTTCTTCTGCTTCCGTCGCTTTTCCTCAGACTCGCCTATCCGGTTCTCGAGCTCCTCCTGCTCTTTTGCCACCTTGGCCATACTCTCCTCCCACATACGCCTCACATTGGCCTCGCGGTCTAGACGGTACTGCCAATAGGCATCACGATCCCTGGATATGCGAAGCAGATCGCCAATTAGCCCCTTCAGGTTTCCGATAGCAGATTCGTACGAAGCAAATGCCTGCAGCATCATCGGGTCAGAAATCTTCAGGTCGGGTGTACGACTCCTCTCTGTCTGAAGGGCCGACGACACAGATGTCAGAAGATCAAGTTGTAGCTTGGCCGATTGCGCTGTGATGTTGAACGCATCCTTGCTTTGGGGTTTCATCTCATGGCTGCTCGTATCGTCGCCGTAGTCGTCTTCGTCTTCATCGTCGCCAGCTATGGTAGCGGTACCCATGTGGCTGACCATTCTATCCAGACCCTGGCCGTTCATGCTAGGCTCGTAGGCACTTCCAGGGTCCTCTGTCACGCTGACCGCAGTCCGTGAGGATGTGTTGTCCAGACTCGGGTGAGGGACGCCGAGAGTGGATGCTAGACGTGTTAGTATATCATGCATCGCAGGAAGTTGGTGACACTTACCAGCAGTCAAGTTTCGCGAACTTGGTGCCATCTTGGAGCTGCCGATACTGGACGTGTCGCCTTCGCCCTTGATCTGCTCAATCTTGGCTTGCTTCAACATCTCCTGATCTTGGTTCGCCCGCTTCTCCTCTTCTCGGGCTTCATCTTTGGCCCACTGGATTGAGTTGTTCAGAGCCCAGTACCATCGCTTAGCCTCGACCTGGTGGTTTGCCTTGAGGTGGTATTTGACTGATGACTTGCCCTGGATTTCAAATCGCTGCTTGTCTTGGGGATCCATGTACAGTTTCGCTATGCGCATGTTGATGGCTCCACGGCATGCGGACCCAATATCGTCCTGGTGCTTGTAGTAGCTGAGAACGCCGTCCTCAAGCACGAACCATCTCAACTTGTATCCGGTTGTGTAGTTGGTCCATTTCTTGAGGTAGCCCTTCATCTCACGCGACTCTCTTGCGCCCATTCCGCTCTCTGTCGCAGTTTGGCCCGGGGGACCACCTGCAAGTATGGTCTTCTCTTGAATACCCCTCTGGGCTGCTGCGGCGGCGGGTGATCGCTTCAGGATGGCGCGCGTGCGGTCGTCTTTGGTGTAGTCTTGAGGAAGCTTGCCTTTGCGGTCACGACGGAAAGGGTCAGCTCCGTTGAGCAGCAGAAGCTGGGCCAGCTTGATGTCCTTCTTCTTGGCTGCCTCGTGTAGGAGGGTACCGCCCGCATCCACTACGACCGGGTCAGTCGCCAGCTCTCCGCCGTTAACGTCCAACGTGCTCCTTATCCTAGCATCTTGTAGTATCTTCTCTAGTGAGTCCATATCCCCAGCGGAAACCATATGCTGTATCTTTTTTACGTTGGTGTCGATGAAGATGGATCGCGAGAGCTGTAGCTGCTGGAAAATGTCCGGTGTGCGGGCGAGATCCAAGGGCGTCTGGCCGTTGTAGTTGGTGACCGAGTCGTTGATACCGGGCTGGTCGAGCAGCATTCGGACGACGGGAGCGCGGCCCAACGTGGCTGCCAGGTGGAGCGGGGTGTTGCCATCGCGGTCGCGGCCATTGATATCGATGGGCGAGTCTGGTGTGGCTGTCGCGTTGGACAGGACGAACTCTATGACGGGCACCTCGGCGCACTGTATGGCTAGGTGCAGGATAGAGGTTCCTTCAGTGCGCGCGCTGGGCAGTTGCAGCGACGACCTACCCTCTTCGCCCTCTGTTGGCCCTGCCTGGTCCCTGATAGCCCTCGATATGGCTGCGGTGTCGCCATTGCGAAGCGACTCGAATACCCTGAACAGCTTCACCGACTGCTCTATGGAAGTTGACTTGCCCGTGGGCGAGCTGGGCGCTTGCTGGACGCTGGGCGAGGCGGGACTCAGGCTGTCCTGCCCGGCACCCGTATTGGACATGCTGGTCGAGAGGTGTGGATTCTGCTTCTTGGACAGACTGCGACTATGTCCTGATGTTGTCGGTCGAGGTTGCGCGGGCTGCGAGTTGGCCGAGACAGCTGTGCTGGGCGGAGAAGTGTCGCTGCTGTCTGTGGTAGCGGCAGCTCCGTCGGGCTTGGAAGTGACACGCGACAGGAGGTTCTTAACGCTCGACGACTTGGAGCGCTTGTGCCTGTAATACGCTGTCAGAGGTGCTTCTGGGCTATCTCCATGTCCCCCGCCATGACGCCAGCGGGCTTGGAGCACCTACCCTTCCATGCTTGTGTGATGATTGGCCGACGGGCCAAGGATATGCGGGCCTGTAGGGGACGGGCAGAGGGATGAGGGGTTCGGTTCGATCAGTGTCAGCACCAAATTCAACGTCACATAGATTGTGTGCGGTCGTTGCGACTTTGTAGGATTTCACCACTGACGCGGCGGGGCTTTGTGACAGCTTTGGGGGCTTCCGTCAGGGGCGCGCCATCCAGGCGGCCGCTGCTTCAGCGAATCACGACTATTGCTCCGCTAGGCTGGGCTACCGAGCGACTTATCCCAACATCCTGCTCGGGCATATGTCATGGCGGGTTCGACTAGTGAATGCATGCATTGGGCGAACTCCATCTTTGTAGAGCTAAGCTTTGACTCTGCCTAGGTACAACACTACATCCTGACTGACACGTGCATTGACAAATGTTTATAATGTACATTGTCTACATAGCATCGTCACATGCTTAAGCTGAGTCGCCGCCCACAAGGATGATGGCACTACCAAGCTGCCTCCGTAGATCTTCCTTCTGCACATCGTGCGTATCCTCCACCTCCCCCCACTGCTTCGTCTGCCACGTAACCTCCAGACTCGACGCCTCGGTGGCTTCCTTGATGCCGAAGCGTGGCGCGTCCGTCACCTTTCGCGATTGCGCAAATGCTTCGCCCCATTCGTGGATCAATCGCACGCTGACTAGCAGACTCTTGGACGCCAGCACTGCGCGCTCGAGTCCCGCCAGTTCGTAGGCTGGAAGACCTGCACACCAACCCCGGATCACTTGCTTTGTCATCTCTGGCTGCTCAGTTGGGATGATGGTCTCGGGGTCGAGCGTGGGCTTGATCTCTACACCAGGCCACACGTGTGTCTGGAGGTAGGCGATGATGCCTGTGGCCACTTCTTCCTGAAGCTCGCGCAGTGTCTTTCCGTTCTGGAGCGTCTCGTTCATAACCTTTGCGGGCGCCCAGCAGAGCAGTGTATCTGTGTCCAGCACGCGCATGAAATAGCTGAGGATGTCATTCCTGATGTTTTCCCTCCCCTCTCTGTCCGCCGCCTCGATATCGATTGCACGCGCGGCGAGTGAGGTCATGGGGATGTAGTCGTTCTTGAGGGCCTGCTGCGCGCTCATGAGGAGATCCCACTCGAGGGCAATGGCGGTCGCCAGCTGCGGCTTCGATGCGGGCACGGTGAGGATCTGCTTGTTGGGCATTCGCACAGGTCGGTGGTCGAGAAAGACCTGAAGGCCGCCCTCGTCCTCCTTGATCGAGACGTCTTTCCAGAAGCGCTTGGCCAGCATGTTCTTGGGCTTGTTGGTGGGGGCGTAGACATCGCGCATCTCGCGCGCCTGCTTCATCATGTCGGCCTGCCGCCTCTTTCTTGCAACCCGTTCAGATGCATCTGATGGCTGTGGCTCGGGCGTTGCAGGCGGTGGTCCGGGTACTGTCAGACGTTAATTGCTGAGCCATCTTGGCTACGTCGTGTCTCGTACCCGATGGATGAGGCAGCGGCGTGGCCCCCCGCGCGGCTGATGTGTGCAAACATTGGTAGAGGGGTCTGTAGGCTCTCTTGGGCGCCGACAGCCGTATGCTGGCGAGGGCTGGGCGAATTGACTCCATAACGGTGCTGGGCGAGGGTGCAGATGGCTTGGACGCTGCTCCCAGCCTAGGTGGGACCGCCGCGGCGACTTTTTCCCAGCGACGCGCTCGGACATCCATGGCACGAGTAGCGTCGACGACTAATCTGGGGTTCTCCGCTCCGCAACCCAGACCACCACTCGCCGTCAACACACGCCCGTCGGGTAGCAGAGTCACGTCGTAGCGTTTGCCGATCACCCTGTACCAGCCTTGCTGAATATGCGCTGGCTTCTCCACAGCTTCTCGTCTCTTCGCAGCTTCTCCACTGTCTGGTCTGGCTCGTGATCGACCGTTGACGCGCATCTGGCAGCTGTTGCTACCCCACTCAAATCTACCTTCCCTGCAGCATCCAACACGGCCTTTGATGCGGTCATTTCCGTTTGCCTCTGAGACCACACTCTGCTTTTAATGAATCAAGGAGCCCCTCAGACGGCCTCTGCGAACGCTGCCGCGCCCCAGCCAAAGCCTATCCGTTTTGTGACGAACCATGATGGTCCCTATGCGAAGAGGCGGCGCATCAATTCCGCGTGCCTGACATGCAGGAAGAAGAAGACGCGATGTTCTGGTACGAGGTTTGCCAAGTTTGTGTATCAGTTGCTGACGGTAGAGTAGGTGAGCGACCTGTATGTGGAACCTGTGTCCAGAACAAACACGAATGCGCCGGCTACGGAGACGATAATGGCACGAGCGAACACCAAAAAGAGGGCAAAAAGGCAGCAAGAAGAGAAAGCTCCGTCTCCAATAGCGCGCCTGCCCGGAAACCTGAGCCTCCTATCGACCCGCTGCTCACACGGCCGCACCTCCCGCATACGACGTCGCAAACCTCCGAATCAAGCGTCCATGCCTCGCCCAAGGTCGAGTCCACCGGAAGCAGCGGAGGCTTAAGCCTGAGCACGCGAAACAGAATGCCATACTTCAGGTACTTTGGGCCTACAGCCATTCTGCCCGGTTTACGACAGATGGTGGTCAAAGTGCGAGGAAAGCAGCATGGTAGTGCTCAGACTACATCAGATCGTACGTTCATCCTGCGCACCATGGATATACAGCTCATGATGCTGTTACCGGAGAGCACCTGTGTCTCAGAAGCCAAGCACCCAGCCCATGAGGCTGTGCTTGTGCAAAGGCCGGCGCATCCGGCTCTTGCTGCTCTGCTGTAACTCCGTATCATGTAGCTAACGAGTCCAGAACACGCAATCGAATCCTCGCCCGCACAACCATCAGTAGGCTCACCACCAGTTCCAGAAGCTCGTACACCCGCCGAGATACCCGTATACGACGCCTCGTCAATGTCTCCAAGTCCACTCATTACCCACCTCTGCAAGCTGTTCTTTGTGCATCTCGGCTGCTCCTTCCCGTTTCTACAACGAGAGCGCTTCATGCGTGACTTGGAGGAGAAGCAGGTAGACGCAATACTTGTAGATGCCGTCTGTGCGTTAGCGGCCCGATTTTCGACACATCCTATGCTGACCGGCAAGAGCGACGCGCAGAAGGAAGGTGATGCAGAACCTTCCACAATACCTCCTTCTGAGCATGGTCAAGCCTTTGCTCAACGAGCCAAGTCAGCTATCCCCGACGCTTTTCCGTGTCCCAGCGTAGCAGTGGTACAGGCGGCGCTGCTTCTTGCATACGATGAATTCGGTGCAAGTCGCGACAGCGGACTTTGGATGTATCTGGGGATTGCCATCCGAATGGCGCAGGATCTGGGGATGCAGTCTGTGGGAGGCCTGAAGTATGAGGGACGAAAAGGCCCAACCCCAAATTCTGTCAAGAGCGACCCGGATGGTGGACGGCATTCGGAGCAATCGACAGTTTTAGACAACCAGGGGGCTAGCGCAGAGGAGCAAGAGCAGAGGGCTGCTGAGCGAGAGAGACTGGATACTTTCTGGTCCATCTTCTTCCTTGACCGCGTCATATCTTCTGGAACAGGACGGCCAGTGACCCTTCGCGATCGCGACATTGAGATCTCGTTTCCCTCCTTAGATGAAGTGGACTCTTCCGGTTGGCCATTGCCCTTTCCTGCGCTGATCCGCATCATACATTTATACGGCCGTGTTACCGATCTCCTTAACCGGATACGAAGTGCCGCTGACATTACGGCTGACTTGCAGAAGCAACTCGGAGCTTGGGAAGATAGGCTGACAGGCATCTATCAGAACCTGTCGCCCAAGCTGCATTTCAATGCGGTCAACTTCCAGCAATACGTCAAGCTCCACCAGGGCACTAACTTTCTCCTCCTCCATTGCTGGTTCCATACCTTGATCGTTCTTCTGCATCAGCCAACGCTGCTCAGGACGTTCGAGGGAACTCCGCAATCCTTGTCCACCAATAGCAGAGAACTTTCCATGTCTTCCGCAAAGACTGTTGCCGACATCTTGGCCTTTACTGAGCTCATCGATGTGAAGACTGGCATCGGCAATCCTTTTACCAGGTATGATCAGGTCAAGTATGCAATGAAGAGCTCGATTACTGACTAGTTGTAGTCAACCGATATACATTGCCGCATGTGCTTTCCTCAAAGAGACGGCACTGCACTCAGCATCGTCGCAGCCTCAGTCTCGCCCTGCAAGTCCAGGTCGCAACGGGGAGAACTGGCAAAAAGCTGCTAACCATCAGTCTCTTGACCGTCTGAATCCAAACAACAGTTCTGTCAGAGATCTGGAACAAAAGCAGACTGCCGCTAAGCACACATTGCTTGCTTCCGCCGCTAATCAAAACTACCAACGGTGTTATCGTGCCCTCAAGGCCTTGGAGACCTACTGGGCGGGTGTTAAGTACATTATGACTGTGCTAGACCAAAAGGCAAAGGGCGTTGGCGACCCCTTGCTGTATACTGATGAGGAGATGGAGAGTGCATTGGAAGCTCCGCGACCCGAGCCGTCTTTCACTAGCCCTGGTTGGAGGAGGAAACTAAGTTGGGGGACTTATCTGACTGCACAAAACTCTGATGCCGACGTCGCAAAGATGGCAGCGGCCATTCGAAAGGGCACGAGAACGCCAAACATGCCTGGCTCGCCCATGGTACACCCAAGTCAAGGTATGTTACCAATACCCATGTTCTCGAGATCTCACTAACAATTCATAGCAATTGGATGGTCGCTTACTGGTACCATGAACTCACCATCAACCAACGTCGCCGTCATGTACACTTCCGAGAATGGTGAAAACCGAAGTACGAGGCCACTACCTTCCAAAACACTCCCGGCAAGCACTCAGCCCTCTATCGCGTCATTGATATCCGACCCTCCTATCAAATTCGAGCCGCGCCAATCCATAGCATCACCATCGGGTTTCTCGCAATTCAGCTCGGCGTCTATGCCTCCGCCGCCCTCAAACCCAACCTTTAACCATATTCCTACACCAGACCCAGTATTGGTGTCAGATGCCGACCTGCTCCTGAACTTGCATTCCCCGTTCTCAGGTGGCTCGCCGACAGCCATAAGAACGCCATTACAAAATCCGACTTCGTACACCCGCTCATCTGCCCAACACAACCAGCTACAACCCACACCTCAAACCGAGTTTTCACCTACATTCGGAAATTTCAATACTCCTTCAGACAACACCTTCGGCGACATGGTCATCGACACCCAAGACGTCGATATGTCACTACTAGGCGCCGACATGATGCCTTGGGACTTGGAGTACTTACCCCACGATATGCTTTACTTTGGCGATGGTACCTTTGGAAACAGCGGCTTTGGAGCAGACGGCGCACCAGGAGATCACAACACCGGTTGATACCTTTGGCGCCGTCACATATGTATACTAGACTACTGCGTGTGGAGTTTACTCTTTCTAAGGTGGGGTTTTGGTTTTCTCATTATGGGGTGGATCGGATGGAGTATGATACCATTTTGCCACTTGATATACTATGAGTTGAGATGAAAGTCAATTACCTTGTCAATATACTATGTCTCAGCTGTGCTGCTGTTGTTTACTCGCCTTACCCTGGCAACTACCGAGCGTTTGCAGACGTCTTTATTCTTGGGAATCTATGAGGCTGGAGGTATTCGCTGGGTTTCCCGAGTGTATGCGTATCCGGCTGAAGCATCGAGGCACATCAGAGTGCCTCAATAAGGTCATGGTCTGAGATTGGAGTATGCTTGTATAACCCTACGGTCATGTGAGAAACTAGATCTGGAAGGGGGCTTTTGACTAGGCATGGTGCTCTAGTGTGCTCTCAGATGGTGCAATCAGCAGCCAAAGTGTATAGACACGTACTCAAAGATCCAACTACGCGGCATGTCTTGGGAGATACAAACGCTTTACACTTTGAACATAGTTGGTTAATATAGAGGCCGGGAGGTACCCGGTGTATATAGCAGCTACGGAGCGATGGTCACGAAGGCACTGAACAGCACACGGTACCGTAACGGCATCGAGAATGAAAAGATTATCATCGTTGAATACCTCCTCGCTATGGTATCTACGTACGGGCGTGACTATGGAAGTAGACGAAGTACCCCACGCTCCACCCTTATCTCTCGAAGTAATCGTATACGAAGCCTGTCTTGCTTGGCGCAAAGTGTTCGAAAGAACACGAGATGGTATCCCCGAACGTGTCCATGTCGCGCTTGAGCGCCTTCTCACTTATCGTCTCATACAACTCGGGATTGCTCCGGACGCGGAGGTGGCAAGTCTCCGCGCCCAAATCATTCTTGTGTTCAAAGCTTCTCAAAGCAACGGTGAAGAAGTCAATGCTCAGACCGCTCTTGGAGAGGTGTGAGATGAATTGGCGCGTGATGCTCTCGAGGGGCGAGATGTTCTGATACAAATCGCGTTCATCACTCCTGGCGACTAGTTGGAGATACTTGAGGTTGGGGTAGGCTCGAAGAACATCCGCGAGGCCTTTGAGTTCCATCTTCATACTAGTATTAAGGAGTTTTCGTTGGGTCCTGCGGCTTGCTGCTGACTTGAAGAAGAATGAAACATCCGACGCAACTGACATTTGAAGAGACACGGCTAGTACTGCCAAACATCAAATCCGGGCGTAATGTACGATTCTTCCACGTTTTCGTTGCTCATCACAGGGAACATGTCGACGTAAGACCACATCGAAAGGTCGTCATCTGCGTGTCTCTGCGCAATTTGTTTCGCGGTGCCCGCTGTAGCTTCAGACAAGTGTGAGTAGTTACTGAGATCGACGTATTGATTCGGATCGAAGTACTCCTGAGGCAGCTCATTGTGGACGACGGTGGCAGATAAAGCAGCTAGACTGATGGACTCGTATCCAGAGTCTGACGAGTCGGATACTGGCTCGGTTGCTTCGGGAGGTGCTACGCCTTCATAAGACGCCCCATGAAGTTGTATTGGAAGGGGTGCAGCTGTTGACGGTGTATGCTGGTCTACTGGCTCGATAACACTGAACGTGACAGGTAGTTGCGTATCATCTGGAGGCTTAATTACGTCGCGAAACGCCTGAGCACTTGACCTCGAACTGGTTGCGGCGATGGTGTCGCCTGGACCAGCCACCGTGCGAAACATCGTTTCAAGCTGCGACTGACATTGCTAGAAGATGTCCACTAGTCGTTCCTTCAACTTATCCTTGGGTGGTTGCGCTTCATGCTCTACTGTGCTCTCTAGCGTACGGCGAACAAGACGTGGCAGTTCGAGACGCGAGAACTCCTGGAAAAGGGAGTGGCTAGATGGTCCGGTTGCGCTCGTTGCATCACGTTAATATTCGATATCCGCGTATGTGAGCATTTGTGGATGTCTGTGGTGAAGAGAGCTGTCACTTACAAGGACTGGGCATGTCTGCGTCATGATTGTCTGGGAATAAGATGATGTATACAGCTTTCCATTTCTCTACTTCGCCGTGATGCACTTGGCTGCTCTTCTTGCTTTTCATCTTTTTCTCTTGTTCTTTGTCGAAACCCTCCAGTGGTATCCGCCCTCGTAATTCGCAACCGCTCGGATCGCGTCGATGTTCTCGAAGTGCAACGTCGTCCGCGAAGGTCAAACAGCAGCGATAACATTGAGGTGGCAGTAGCTGGCGATGGTGCTCCAAATACCGGAGCTTCTCGACGTCATCCTCCGGTTTGCGGGCCCTGAAGTACAAGTCTCTGCATGGAACGTGTCGCGAACCTGGCGGCGTTCTTCCAAGTCTGTCATCAGCAGCAGCAACAGGCGTTCGTACTAGCAGGCCTATCCATCGAAAGATCCAGTAAATTACGGTCCCCTCATCTCTTCCACTAATGAAGCAAGGTGCGATCTAAGTCAGGACGAGCTCGATAAGTTCGACCAAGCGGCTATTCGTCTGGCACAGCGGGTTGAAAGTGGGTACACTATATTTATTCTGATCACACTACCCGTACGGTTACAAAGAAAGCTCTCATACTTCCCTGCTTGATACACATAGTGCACAAAGCTTGCGACCGCCTGTGCATTACAATTTGAAAATATGCAGGTATATTCTAGCCAACTCAGCCTGCGGTACTCACGTAGAGTACCCTTGTCGGCTATGAATGCTCGATTGCTCAGATGTTTTCATTGTATAAGCACGATCCGGTCTCACCGTAGCCATCGAAGTTATCACACTTAGCATGCACGCTGTCAGGAAACCATGTCAACGCCATGTTCCAAATCAACCTCGTACCTAGAATTCTGATGGTATATTCCAAGGGCTCTAGATTAAACCCCCAACAACCGTCGAGAAGTAACGCAACATCGCCACCGCATTCATGGCTACTCTCGGGGATATGAAAAAACAGTTGTCTGATATTGTAGCCAATGTCAAAACGAAAGGCTATCAGATAGAGGACGCCATCCCAGACGAATTGCGTGATCACTTCAAGGAGTTGAGCGAACTCAAAATAGCGCGAGAGTTCATTCGGGAGATTCAAGATCGTGAGCAAGACCTCCAAATTCATAACAATGTATTGCGAGCCAAAATTAAGGAAAAAGAAGCAGAGATCGACGACCAACCAGCAGAGTTCAAGGCGCTCAAAGTCGATCTCCAACAAGCGCACCGGCAAATCGAATACTATCGTGAGCTTGCTGAAGACTCGCGACGGCGTGCAGAACGTTATGAGCGCGAGCTTTCTCTCGCTGTCACGGACCAAGCCGCCTCCGATGAAGTTATCGCCAGAGCTGAGCGTTTGCAAAAAGAGCTAGAACAACTTCGGTGTACCATTCTGCAACTACAGGCGGAGAATGAACGTGCAGCTGAAACTTTCACCAACCTTCGCGCACACGACGCAGCGATCATAGCAGCCAACGAAGCTAAGTTTGCAACAATTCTATCTCATACGTCTGAAGTCGAGAATGAAAGCGAGCAATTTAGCGAAACGTTCACTACGCTCATTCATAACCTAGAGTCTGAGGTTTTATCTGCCTCCGCCTCCCTCAATGATAAGGCTGCTCTTGTACAGAAAACAGAGACGCTGTACAACGCTATCGTTAGCGAGGCGGTACCTCTAGACCGGTTCTTCTCTCGCGCATTCAGGATATTGAACATCTACCAAATTCTTTTCCAGTCGCTTTCTGATCCAAATCGCTCTAGCACTTCAAGTTTGCCCCTTGAGCTAGATCCGCTCATGGAAGGAGCCAGACAGGACTTGTATGTCTACGAGCAGGTACATCAGACGATGTGCGAAGAGCCTGGGCTTGCTGGGGAGCGAGCTCGTGCACATCTCAACGGTATTGCAAAAAGCGCGAACGAGATGATGCAAAGCTTCAATTCTATCAAAGCTGACGTAGCAATGTTTTTGGCTCGTCTGAACAGAGAGCCAGGCACTTGGGCGGCTATGAGGGCGAGATTTGGTGGGTCGAGTAAGAAGAAGGGGATAGGAAAACGGTTTTCGATGAGCTAAGGCTGTGGAGACGCTTGGTTCAAGTCACCTACTGGAATTTTGTCGATTTTATAGTCATTTCGTGTATCCTGATCCATTTACCATTGTGCGCACAACTACAACAAGTCTCAGTATCACCTTTTGCCCTTTCCAAGAACCAGTACACCGGCCTTGGCCTCCCCTCATCCCCAAAACTATGAGGGCAAGCATTGTGCACGTACAGCATATGCAATTATGCTTTTGGAAGATGCAAGCTCGACACTTTGCGAACATCGCCAAAACATGTCTCAACTAGAATCATCTAGCTGGGACGCGCTATGAGTATCGAGGTCGTGACTAGTCATTTTGTCCCGCTGAGTAGTAGCTAGGTACGTCGACAATGTACCGGAAACTCACGCGTGTGAATACATGCCGTCTAGTGAATGTCTACACCAGGCAGGTACATTTAGCGTTGTAGATCTCTTCTATCTTGAGATCACCCCAGCTTCACTCAACTATGGTTCTCGATGCTGTTGTAACATCCAGGAGTGACCAGGCATCCACCTCAATTACTTCCGACAGTGCTTTATTGTATGCTATGAAGAAGTTGAAGGCCACTGCAGGTCCTGGAACGGTTAATCATTCGTCCGACTCAACTATTATACGCGAGACAGATGACAGCGAAGATGAGTATCAGCCGGGTCAAAAAGAGTCGGAACAGGATCACGAGGACGGAGCAACATTATTTACACTGAAGAATGCTCACCGTGTCACTCAGCGCGCCATCCTCACCATGGAAAGAGAGGTAAAGCAACGCCATGCAGACGAGCAGGTTGGCTTCATCATCATAAAACGGGACAATAACAAGCCAGATGCCTATGGCGCGTCGTCTGAAACATACGGCCCACTGCCGTGGCCGGGGGTCGCCGAAGCATACAACAAAAAGTATGAGATGTCTGTCGGTCCAGCGGCGATGGAGAAGCGCGCGCGACAACATCGGCCCGCTTGGTTATCCAAACATCCAATTTATCCACTCAAGATTGTGTACGCAAAGAAACCAAAAGCACAGCCCGTTCGGCGCTCGAAGGTTACCGTCATGCACGCTCAGGCTCCTTGCGTGCAAGCCAACACCGACAAGCAAAAGGTTCGTGGTCCTAATGAGGTCTCTCATGCTGACGGACCGCAGATGCGTGCGGATAAGTTCGAAGGTTCCATCTCTAATGAACGCATTGCCGGATGGATGCCATCAGATGCCATTCGAAATCGAGCGGACGTACATAACTACATAGACGACCTAATGTCGGCACACGTCGAAAAGGTTGTACTAGAGCTATATGAAGCACATGACTCACCATCTGAAGTCGTCATCGGCGACCTCGAATATTTTGGTAGCAGCTCCGTGGTACTTCAGCAATTAATGGATCCCGGCAAAGAAACGACAGTACAGGTTGAATGCTCATCTTTAGAGGTCGTTCAGTGGTACGTACAATGCAGCTCAGCCGGATGTTTGACGAAAGCGCCGGCAGATTTCCATCGCAGGAACAGCTCACTAATGCACCTGTACTGCTTTGCTGCACAGCTTCAAGACGACCACGTGTGCGGGCTGGTATTGGCAACGTGGCGTAGTCTTGCAGAAAAGAATGCCGAGATGGATCTGAGTGTCGACAACATGAACTTACTCTTCGAAACCACTCACTACGAGGACCCAGCCCGCCAGTTTTGGGTTGATTTTGCACACAGAGCGAAATTAGCACCTGAACTTGTCAAGATGGGTGGCTGCAATACGGAATTTACTGCTGCAATCCAGAGCAAAGGACCATGAGTATGTGACTGAGGTTGGCGAAACTTTCCGGACCGGCGTGTCGCCATAGCGACGATATCTGTCTGAATATGGGGGGTTAGGATTCAATACAGGACGAGACCGCTAAAGACGATCCGACCTGTCCACGGGTTGACACATAATCTTGGAATAGTCGATGTAGTACGATGCAACATAAATTTGTATCCATTAACTGTTAGTCTCAATCGCTTTGTTGTAGTCCTATAGACGCTTGATCCCAGTCCTCGGTGGTGCCGGGCCTAACGCGTCATGTCGATTTTCAGCGCGCTAAAGAAGTCCTTTTTGCTGCAGTCTTTCTGGGCTTGACTCAGGAAGCCATGATCTAAACAAGATAAATCCGGAACATAGTCCAAAGACACCGTAAGGGTTTCGAGACAAATGTCAAGCTCCAAGGTGATTAGTATCAGCAATTGACGAGGACCGAAGCGGCCCGCATTACCGATGACCACAGTCTGGTGATTTGACCTCATCTTTGTACCCAAGAAGGATCAATATTCACCCACCGCACGCCACACGTCGCGAACTGACCCAGCAGTCGCAATCCGTCCCAAGGCGGACTGCAACTCGAGCTAGAATAGCCAAGTTTTCTCAACGTGACATTCTTCTTCTATTGGCGATGCTAACCAAAGTGGCCCCGGAGCTCATAATGTTAGCCTCTCCACACATAGAATGTATGCCTCTTACCATAGTAGAGCCTTCGTGGAACCGTTGGTTTAAGGTCTTCACCTGACTGAAACTGGCACGGAGACGGGCTCTCCGTAGCGCCTGTCCGCATTAGTCGTAACCTCGGGAACGCCACAGTAGCGCCGTCGCTTACGGCTGGGCAGCCGAGTGATGGGGGCTCCTCCGTTGCACCCCGACATCCTCACCCCATCACTCGTCCATAACGCGTCAATGTGCATACACTTAGCTCTCATCAAATCGAATTCTGCTTGAGACCCCCGGCATGCGACGAGACGCTTCCAGCCGACTGTCATGCAGGATTAAGCGTCAGCGACCTCAGCAAACGCCCCTAGGCCATGTGCTGTGCCATGCGCTTGCGCTCATGCCAATCCTCGAGCTCATTCGCGGATAAAACGCTACTATCAAGACAAGCCTTTCTATCGCCCTGGGAGCCACCTCCTGCGCCAGTCTTCATCGCCTCATCCAGCATGATCCTGCTGATAGCTTTGTGCTGAGCTCGCCCAGCGCCACCGTTGGCACGGGCGATCTACATTCCAGCTAGTGTTGGTCATTGTCTGCTGATTTTGAAGGATTGACATTCTACTCTCTAGACCAGAAGCATACGCGGGGATAGACGATCTGTCCCCAACACTGTTACAAGTTGGAGCAGCCCTGTCGAAACCGGCGAAGTGGGATACCTTGATATGACAAGGATATGTCCCGGGTCTGTGAGCACCAGGAGATTCCCCGCGTTCTACTGTTTCGCTATCAGGGACCTTGTCGGCGTATTAGGATCGTCTTGGCCTAGTGGCAGCTGTCGTGCAGCAGTCAGCACGATTGCCCACGGTCCACGATTCCGATAGTTATGCCTCTCGATACTACACTTCTCCCAAGTATGTGGCGTCTGCACTTGAACGGGACGGTTGAGGCTTGTTCGAGATGCTGGAGCCGCTTCCCGATTAGGATGCGGACCAGAGCCTTCCGTGTTTATTTAGCTCGGGAACATATTTCCAGAACTGCGAGTCCGACAGCACGCCGCTGGGATGCAGCATTAGCCGGACATTGCGGGCCATAGCCCGGCAGTCTGGTCTTCGAGGTCCTTCCCTTGTGCATATCCGATTTTGTTTAATAGTCCAGCCGTTTCCCAGACATATTTCACACAGCTCATCTGGAGTATCTCCACAAAAGCAATGTCGGACATCAAAGAGTCTTATGCTACGACGACCTCAGAGAATGGCGTAAGTACCATTTTCAAACTATGATCCGTTGACTGTACTTAAACCTACCAGGACCACAAAGGTGCTGTGGCTGACATCGCCATCATCTCTGGCTCTGAAGCCATAGCAGAAGCTAAGCTGAAAGAGCCTGTTCAACGATTCTCCAGCTCTGCCATGCTACTCTACGTCTGTGCATTTGTGGGATTCTTTTGCTCGACATGCAACGGGTTCGACGGATCCATGTTCAACTCGCTCCTCACGAACAACACCTTCAAGGAATACTACAACGTCGAGAGTACTGGAGCCTGGGCTGGTATCGTTACATCCATGTACCAGATTGGTGGTGTTGTTGCTCTTCCCTTCATCGGCCCCGCCTGCGACACTTGGGGTCGTCGCATTGGTATGATGATTGGCGGAGTTCTTGGCTGCACCGGTGTCATCATCCAGTCAACTGCTCCTGCGTCCAACCCTGTCGGCCAATGTAAGCAAATCCCACGTACGATGTCTCGATGAAATTTATGCTGATTTCGCGTTCCTCGTCAGTCATGGGTGGTCGTTTCCTCCTCGGCTTCGCAGTCCCAATCATGACAACAGCTGGTCCGCTTCATGTCATCGAGACTGCGCATCCAGCTCACCGTGGTATCATCACTGGTCTTTACAATACTTTCTGGTTCGTCGGATCACTTCTCGCTGCCGGTGTCACACGTGGGTCCGCCAATCTCGCGGGCAACCAATCTTGGAGGATTCCCGTCTGGCTTCAGATGCTCTTCCCAGCCTTACTCGTTATACTACCTCTTCTTCTTCCAGAGAGCCCTCGCTGGCTGTACACTCGTGGCAAACATACCCAGGCCAAGAAGACTCTTGCCAAGTACCATGGTTGCGGCAACGAGGACAGCATTTGGGTTTCCATGCAGATTCGCGAGTACGAAGAGTATCTCAACATGGACGGAGGAGACAAGCGCTGGTGGGACTACGGCTCTCTCTTCAAGACTCGCCCTGCGCGCTACCGCCTCGCTTGCAACTGCGTAGTCGCGATCTTCGGTCAATGGGCAGGCAATGGGTAAGTCTGCTAGACTAGTACAGGAAAACGAGATGACTAACCGTGCGTCAAACAGTGCTGTCGACTACTTCATTTCTGGTGTTCTTGAATCTGCAGGCGTCACGGACGAGATCAAGAAGATGAACATCAACTTAGGAAAGAGCTGTATGCAGCTGGCATTCGTAAGTCTATTCACGGAGAAGCCACATGTACAATTACTGATATTTGGCACCTAGGCTGTCGTGGGAGCTCTCTGCGTCGACAAACTTGGTCGACGACCCATGCTGATCGGTACTTTTTCGACCGTGACAGTAATTTGGGCCGGAGCCATCGGCGCTGTTTCTTACCAGAACAAAAACGACAGCATCCCCGCCGGTAATGCCTTCGTAGCATTGGTCTTTCTCTTCAACGCCGTCTTCGCCTTCGGTATTACTCCGCTCCAGGCCCTCTACCCCGTTGAGGTGCTCTCATTCGAGATGCGCGCCAAAGGTATGGCCTTTTCCAACTTGGCGCTCACCACAGCCATGTTGATCAACCAATTCGCCTACCCTATTGCTCTGGAGAAGATTGGCTGGAAGCTCTACATTGTCTTCGCATGCTGGTGCCCAGTCCAGGCTTTCGTCGTCTGGCTCTTCATTCCTGAGACCAAGAACCGCACCCTCGAGGAGATTGATGACATTTTCAACGCGCCAAACCCGAGGAATGCGTCGCTTATCAAGAAGAGGCTCGCCACCGATGCGCAAGGCAACGTTCTTGAGGTCGAGAAGCTGTAAGCCTCTCAATAGCAAATGGTGTACATGTCGCCGCTCTCTGGTGTATACATGCATGTGTTGTTACTGCTTTGGTAGTCAAATTTGCGATGTTTATTAATTAGATTGATGTATCTACCGCTCTCTGCGAAAATGCTCATTTCCAGAAGCTTAGGAAATAAGCATAACAATCTATAGCGTAACGCATCGAAATTAAGAGTTGTGACACTTTAATTGAAGAGACTTTCACAGCCCCTTCGCAAAGGGCTCGTGGTTGTACATCGACCGCGCAATCCTGTTCGCTCCATCTGCGGCAGCCTTCTTCTCGTCTTCCCCGGCTTCTCGCGCCCTCTGCATCGCCATTTTTGCCTCGTATAGACGACTTTCCATGTCCAATACCATCTTCTCTGCGTCTAGCATCGTTTGTGTCGAGTTGTCATGCTTCAGCTTACTGGTATTGCTGGTGCTGGAGTACATGATGCTAGTCAGACTGCTTGTTGAGTCAAGTCCTTCGGAGAGACGGATCAGCGCTTTTGGGGACGATGAAGCATATATAGCATGGATGTTATGGATAGCCGAATGGACGCGGTGGGCTGTGTAGCAAGTTTCCGAGCCTGCTGGATGATGGTGATATCGCGCGCAAAACTCTTCTCGCGCAGTCGTTACGTCAAGATAGTTGCCTTCCGGGTGAGACAATATTCGCTGTACGTCTTTTGACAAGGCCGGAAACCATTCAGCCCTTTTCACCTCCTCGCCTAACGCGTAGAGCAAGTCTGCGAGAAATCTCCATACAGGCGTACTTTCTGACATCTCAGCTAACAGCACCATGAAGTCTCTCTCGAAGTCTTTTGCCGTCACACGAGCCAACGTGTTGTCCACAGGTGGCAGTTTACTTCCGACGAAAACCTGCCGACCACCAACGTTGACATACCCATCGACGGGCATACCCATGTCTGCAAAGATGTCTTCATATCTAGCTTCCTCAGCGAACAGGAAGTGCAGACGATCAACCACCATATCGATAACCCAGTACACTTCCATCCATTGCGCGAAGAGCAAGAGATCAAGAAGTGCCTCTACACTCCAGATGATCTTCTCCACTCGTATCGCACCATAGCGATCATACACGCCCGGGACTGGCTTCTTCGCTGACCAGAGATAGTGTGTGGGTAGCTTGTTTGCGCGCTCTGGCGAGACGAGCTGGATGAAGACATTTACAGTCCGTATAGTGATATAATCTGGTACGGTAATGACGATGTTTCTGGGATCTTCTGCTGCTGTTCGAGCGTAAGATGGTGAGATGAAAAGCAGAGTGCTTGTGTCGACGTATTGTGCATCTTCAGTGGCTAGGCTTTGTTCATGTGGGTCAGGGAAATGGAATGTGACTCTCTCGTCTGTGCGGTGCTGGAGGTGGAATTTCGCGCGGGTATTAGGCGGTATGTAATCATCTTCCACAGCAGAGGGAATGAATGAACCGGGCGCGGGAGTGGTGATTTTGGGAGTAAAGGAAAGTCCACGACGGGTCGGCGGGCTGGAGGATAAAGGTGTTGGGATTTTGGTGGCGGGCTGTGTCGTTATGTGGGCTTCCGGATGTTTAGTGGTAGATTCTCCTTGTCGTTTTGCGAGCTTGCCATTCGTCCTAACATACGAGTCCTCCTCCTCTGAATTTCTTTCATCGTCATCTTCTTCAGACTCGATTATGTCTGAGTTTTCAGATTTCTCCCCTTTCCTAGTTTCTACGTGAGGAACGGGGTACACGCACATTCCAGCATACTCCGGGTCGTTCTTCAAAAACAACTTCCTCGCGGCTCCACATCGCTTACTCAATGTATTATAGGCCAACGGCTTTTTCAACTCATGTTCAAATCGCGCGTTGAACTCGTCGGCGAGGACATGCCAGTCTTTCGGCCCAGTCGCACCGGGAACCAGATTGTCGCGGCAGTGCAGGATGAAGAGGTCTTGCTCGGATATTGGTTGAGGGCGCGTGAGCCAGGGCCGTGCTTGTAAGAGAGAGACGGCAGTCGTGGTTGTAGCACCCGCACTACGGGTGACATTGGGAGGTTGTCTTCGTTGCTCCTTCGTGGCTGCTACTCTCGCGACTTTGGAACGCTTTGGTGTACCAGAAACAACGTCATTCTGCGAGTCGGTAGCTTTACGCTTTGGTGTCATGTTGGTGATAAGCTTCGGGATACTGATCTTTCGGTGGTAAGGTTGGTGGCGAATGTTAGTTGAAAATGATTATTGTAGGTCGTATCAAGCGGGTGAGCCCTAAGCTACAGAGGAAGCATTTTATTATGGGCCTCGGGTGAAAAGAGTGAAATACCAATATATGGGACGTAGGCAGCCGCGACTGCTTTGAGCGAAAAGGTGAATGATGAGTGCCAGGTGGTAATGGCGATTCTCAGACCCATGCAAATGGTATTGTCTTTACCCATTGAATTGTTTTAACATGGCATTGATAAAGACGAATGCGAAGGATGACTGTGAGTTCTGTCAGAGCGGGACAACTCGACCGAAAATTTCGTCGCGTACCACTAGTGATGTATTTCACATGCTTCTACAATAAACACGCGATGTTCCATTTGTATCCAAGGATAAATTATCAAATGAGCAAGGTGGATCATAGAAATGTATGTGATCGTTTGTATAAGTTCATGATAACACGAAGCAAGTAGAGTTCTTATGATACAAGCAACAAACGGAAATCCTTCCAGTCATTGCAATTTAGTCTCCTACATGACAATCTCAACCAAACAAATCTACATGGAAGGTATCTACGACTCCCAGAAGTCGCCGGACAACCACCTGTTGAGCATCTCAAGCGATGCCTCAGGCTGATCGTAAGGAACCATGTGACCACCAGCGTGGAGCTTCATGAAGGTGAAGTTGCCACTGGACTTGACCTGGCCAACAGTCTTACCGTCGCCGTCGATCTTGAAGTCCTCCATCTCGGCCTTCTTGAAGCCCTTGGCACCAGGCCACTCAAGCGCCTCAGTCCAAGCCTTGTTACCGAGCCAGTTGCAGATGTAGTCGGCGTCACCAGCGTAGATGAGGACGGGAATCTTCTCGAGGATGCCGGGAACGACGCGGTGGAAGGGCTTCATCCAGTCACCCTGGAGGAGGAAGTTGCGGTTGATGTCGAAGTTGCAAGACTCGTAGTTGGAAACCTCAGCGCCGACGGCCTTCATGACCTCCTTCTTGTTGAGGTAGCCCTGTATCCAGTCAAGCTCGTCGTAGCAAAGAGAGTTGCTGCCGCAAGGCTTGCGGACATCGTAGACGTTCTGGCCAGTGCGCTGGTAAGGACCGATCATAGCGTTGTTGCAGTAGATTGATGCAGGCACGCAGGACCAGACGGACTCGGAGTTGTAGCAGTTCTCAATGAGGCTGGCGCAACGGGGGTAGGCGTTGTCCATGGACTGGCACTGAGACTCATCAAGGACAGCGGGCCAGCCACCCTCACCGCAGGCCATGGGGCGGTAGTACTCGTACTGAGTAAGGCCATCAGTCAGACCGTTACCGATGAGGACGGACTGGAGGTTGATGTTGCGGTTCTTGTGGGACAGAATCTCGGAGGCGAAGACGGGGATGTAGTGGCCGGCGTACGACTCTCCGGAGATGTGGAAGCTCTGGTGAGAGTACTCGGGGAACTGCTTAAAGAAGAGGGTGAGCAGGGCATAGATGTCCTTGCCAGCAGCGACAGTGTTGCTAACTGAGCCGCTCGAGTATGAGTATCCGACGTTGACGGGCTGGTCGAGGAAGATAACGGAGGCGTTGGCGTTCCACGAGTAGGGGTTGTGCTTGACCTTCTGGTCCTTGGTGATGGAAGCAGGGCCGAGCTCCATGAACAAACCAGTCAGCGAGGAGCAGCCAGGTCCGCCATTGAGCCAGAGCACTACGGGGTCGTTCTTGGGGTCGTTGCGCGACTCAAAGAACCCTGAAATCCGTTAGATACAGGTGTGTTTGGGGTGGTCATGCAGGTACTCACAGTAGAAGAGGTGCTTGTCCTCCTCCTCGTCATCAAGGTAGCCGGAGTACTGCTTGACCTTGTCGACGCCGAGGACGCTGGGGTCAACCTTCTTGGCCCTCAGGCTGTACTGCTCGAGCTTGCCGTCGATCTCGCGCTCCTTCTCGCCGTTCTCGTTCTCAACCCAGACGCTCTGGATGTCGGCGCCCTTGACGACGTGGTCCCACTCGCTGTCGGGCTTGCGCGTGTGTGGCTTGGGCTCAGAGAAGAAGGCGGCCTTCTCAAAGCTCTCGGGGAACATCATGGCGACCTCGTCCCAGACGGCGCGAGCCTCGCCGGTGAGCGACTTGAGGCTCTCCTCGAGGTTTTGGAGAGGCTTAGTCCATGAGGACTCCTTGAGCTCGCTGAACGAGTCGGGGAACTTCAGGACCTGTTGCTGCTGGGTCCCAACAGCGGCCGAAGCAGCTCCAACGAGGAGCGCCGAGGCAGCGACCTTCATGATGGTGATGCTGAGCTTCCGGAGCTCTAGCGGTAAATAAGGTGGATAAGAAGAGTGCCTCTACGTTTGAATGAAGAAGCACGCGATGAGTGATGGGGGAGGAAGGATGAATGGAAGAGGGATGGGATGGGTGGAGTTAAGTCAAGCTATGGATAGCTCGTGTGGAGGAGGCGCGGCTTGCCCAGGCAACGGAGCATGACGCATCCCGACAGCTTATCAGAGTGGCTGAAGTCCAAGCTCGCCGGGGCCAGCATCACATGCCCGGCTTAGCGTTTCACGATAGCGTTGATCGGCGCCTGTGGCAGGACACCAGACGGCCGGGGACGTGAATCATAGACATCATTACGCCTGTCGCCTCATTCCAGGCACCTTGAGATGGAAGCCGTGGCGAGATGCTGCTTCCGAGCTCTCTCTGCGAACTGCGGGAGGCTAGAGCCGGACCTGCATGCAAGTTGTCTGGATTGGGTTTAGCGTGTATGGGATCATAGTGAGTGAACCTGCGTATGTCATCGGCGACAGACCCCACCAAAATGGAATGCAACTTTTACAACTTGCGCCAAACACCTGCACTTTAGTCAACATTATACCCATATCGACCCCCGTTATCCGCCGAAATGCCTGTCGGAGTCTTCCAGCCGTCAAACCAAATCAGACTCACCAACGTCTCGCTGGTGCGCATGAAGAAGGGTGCGCAAACCCCGCCAAATGTCTATGTCTCTATACACTAACACTTCGCAGGCAAGAAGCGCTTCGAAATCGCATGCTACAAGAACAAAGTCCTCGAATGGCGCAACAAGATCGAGAAGGACATCTCCAACGTCCTGCAGATCGAGAACGTCTTCCTGAACGTATCCAAAGGCCAAGTCGCACCCAAAGCCGATCTCGAAAAAGCCTTCCCTAAGAAGTCGCTCGAAGACATCATCACCGACATATTAGATCATGGAGAGCTACAGGTTGGCGAGAAAGAGCGCAACGCCGAGTTGGAAAGGACCAAGAATGAAGTCATCGACATCGTCGCGGGAAAACTCGTGGACCCCAAGACAAAGCGCGTCTATACCACAGGCATGATTGAGAAGGCGCTGGATCAACTGAGCTCGGCAGCAGCGACGCAACAAGGAGACAAGGGTGAGAGCAAGGAAGATGGTGAGGACAAAGGCAAAGCGAAGGAACTGCCCAAGTGGACTGGCATCGTAACGAACAAGTCAGCCAAGTCGCAGGCACTATTCGCCATGAAGGCGCTCATCGCCCACCAGCCGATACCCGTCGCCCGCATGCAGATGAAGCTGCGCGTTACCTGTCCGACGTCCGTCCTCAAGCAATCCATAAAGACCGCGCCCAAGGCGCAAGCGGGCACTGAAGAGAAGGGAACTACCGGTACTGTCAAGGATGCGATATTAGCCTTCATGGAGAAGATTGAGAGCCAAGACACAATAGGCGCCGAGTGGGAGGCAGTGGGTCTCGTCGAGCCTGGAGCTTTCAAGGGCTTAAACGAGTTGATTGAAGGCCAAACAAAAGGAAGGGGCAACGTCGAAGTTCTCGAGATGGCTGTCGGTGCCGACGACTGAGTAGTGACACGTCTCGCCAGCACGCGTCGCGCAACACGCTCGTCCTCATGTGCTGTAGTATCAGGACAGGAAGGCCTGTGCAAAAGGCGCTTCCATATGCCCCTCGAGGAAGAAGCACTCGCTTCTATGGACTGCAAGGTACATGGCGACTGCAGATCTCACGCAGGCATTCTCAACTCCACAAAATGCCGCTTCGGGTTACACCACCAGGGAAGATGCGCTATATGTTGCCATCTGCCAGAGCGTCGGCGGCAGAGACGAATGCGAATCATAATTAGATTCCGCCATAGGCACTGCACCAGCATATGTAGTAGGGCAAGTCCATGGGTAGTGGCCTGTGGTATCCAATGCATATACAACTATTATCCCTGTACCTATTCCATGCATATCGTAAGCCTCACAAGAGGCACCACGACTTCTCTTCTCATTCGTTGTCTCGTTCAGTCTTTCCAACCTTCCCCTTTACGCACTGCTATCTGCAGCGGTTCCGATGCATCGTCGCTGAGCCACTCGCTGCGAGACAGCTGTTCGAGAGCTGCATGATCTTGCATCTTCGCGCATGCAAATTTGCGTGGGGTAGTCAAGCCCGGGTTCAGGGCCTCATGAACCTAAACAAGGCAATTACATATCTGTGCAGTATAGCGACCAGACGCTTGGTAAGACTTAGCTTTAGCACCTTTCGTAGCACTAAGAAGAATTAATTGCGAACATGGGGAAGAGTTTCACTTCATGATTGTAGTTTTACATTCCATGTATGCTAATCGTAAGTTCGTAAATATGTCGTCGTTAAGTTGTGCTTCGTGCTTCCTCGTTATCATCTGAACGACGCACACGTCGTTGCCGTGCGTTCGTGAGTAAGGGTCGTAAGTCGTGATCGTTACCATGCAAATGCCGTACCTCGAACATGCATCAAGAACGGAGCGCCGGAATCCAACAATTAAGAAACAGCGAAAGTAAAGACCGAGGATTGATGAAAGCGCTCGCATCTTCACCGCATACCCTTGATGATATCAGATGACATCGTGTTCTCTCAGTGCATCTCTTCATCTCTGTAGCAACGATTTCAGTCGCTTGCTCAATCCCACCAGCGCCGATTGAGCACACGCCCGTTGTCACTCAAAATCCCGAGCACATCAGCGCTACTAGTCTGTACGCCCCATACCCGCTCGATTGGATCCGCAATCGCCATCCAGTCCAGTCCCCTGACGTCGTACATGTCTAGTACTACGCGAACCAGCCATGGCGAGTACATTGCGTAACTTGTATCTTGGTAAAGAAACGGTGAGGTCGGTACCGCAGCGACTTTACTCTCATAGCTCGTCTGTTGTGTGAATTGTAAAGGGTGAGGACGTGGGCGTTGACGTCGCGACGATGACAGTGGTGGGGTGGACAGTTCTATTCCGCCTCCAGCCGAGCTCGGAGAACTTGCTGCTGAAGAGGCGGGGCTGGATGCTTCGGAGAAGATGGAATCATCGCTCATTTTGGTGTTCAGAGGTAGTAGCATTCTGACGGAGCGTATCGCTTCCTGTGCGGCGGCTTTGATGGCATCGTAGCTTGAGAGTGTAATGAGCGAGCCCGTCGACTTTGACAGGGGCCCATCGTCAATGGGCGTGTCACTGATACGCGAAGAAGGCGAGTCGAAGGACAACGATCGTATGCGCACCTTGGGTGAAGGAGTCCGGATGAGTGTCGTCATAATCGAGCGCTGACTGCGGCCGGACAAGAACCTCAATACGAAAAGAGGAAACGCAAAGAAGAGACCTTCCGACGGCCCAACGAAAGTCCGCGCTTTCAGGAAGGGTTATATCCACAGTACTCATCTCAGCCATGCGGCCCTTTCGCTGGCCCTGCATGTGAAATATGCAACCATGCCACGAGTTCGGCGCCGTAGGGAGGGCTTTACGGGCCTTCCGAGTCACGTCCTGTGAGAGGCGCAAATAGCGGGGAAGGCGTGCCATTGACCAGGACGTAATGGCACTGCAGATGCCGACGATCGCGAGGTTGATATGTTGCAGCATGTATGGGACACAACGCACTCCACACTTGGCGCTTGATGAATCGACTAGAATAGGTTGCATCGGACTGGGATAATTAATTGGAAGAGTACGGAAGACAGGAAGGCCTGACTTGCAGTCAAGATTCGCCAGGTGCCGCAGCTGCGATGGGGATCATGATTCGTGGGTTTGTCCAACGTGCCCTTTGGAAAGCAAGTGTGACCAGCCTAGACGCCGTTAGCGGATCGTGCCGATGACAATGTCCACTCAGTACAAAAATCAGCACTCAGAACACTCTAGTGCGCTGAAGCGTGGTCGTTGTGTGACGTGGTGAGCGGAGTGTGGAGGCAGAGCGGTGTTAGTCCTCATCGCCAATCACTAGCCTGTTCTAGGCGCCACACAATCAGTTCCCTCAAATGATTGATGCAGAACCATTGACTGTCGAAAGCGGATACGCATCATGATGGAACAAGTCGAAATTTGAATGTGTGATTTTGGTACAGGCTGTATTCGGCCAACCCTAACCGTGCCGCATCACCTCACCTCATATCGTGCATTGCCGCATGAAGTGTAAGTGTGAAAGCCAATGAAAGCCGTTTGATAAACACCGTAAGTGCACCACCCATTTCGTAAAGGCATGTTCCAGCCCCAGCTGCCCAGCGCATGCGAAAACCTTTAACCCTTCTTCTTGGAGACACCGACGGTTCGGCCGCGACGACCGGTGGTCTTTGAGTGCTGACCACGGACACGGAGGCCCCAGTAGTGACGGAGACCACGGTGAGCGCGGATCTTCTTCAAGCGCTCGAGATCGTCACGGAGCTTGGAAGCGACACCGTTGGCGAGGACCTGGCTGTTCTTGCCATCGACGATATCGCGCTGCCTGTTGAGGAACCAAGCGGGGATCTTGTCTGCAGGGTGTCAGTGTTATTATCCTTGCTGAAGAGATGGTCGTGGCGTACACTGGAGGGGGTTCTGGATGATGGTAACGATACGCTCAAGCTCTTCGGAGGTGAGGTCACCAGCGCGCTTGGACAGATCGACATCGGCCTTCTTGCAGACCAAGTTGGAGTATCGGCGACCGACACCAGTGATCTTGGTCAAGGCGTACATGACCTTCTGCTTGCCATCGACGTTTGTGTTCAACAAACGGATGATGTATTGGAAGCTGGTAAAGTCAGCACTGCTCTCATGGTGCGAATGTGCCTCCGTTTGTGCGCCGCTTCCGTGCGTAGACCTCCGCAATCCGAAAACCATCAGCCATCGCAATTGGCCACTCCAGCCCGAACAGCACAGCAAAGCTTCCCCTTGCACGGATAGTTCCCTCCATCTTTCCGCAGTGCTTGGTGCGTACGATTGTCTACTCTGTTCCCTTTCATTGGCTTCTGAGTGCTGTCGGACTGGAAGGCGGATGCGAGGTTGTGTGGATCTATGGGACTAGGCGTTTCGATGCGAAGGAAGCGGAGGGCTGAACGGGGAATCGCAGGCTCTTATCTGAACGTACTTAGACTTCTCTCCGGAGACGAGCGCTGTAAAGTTGTCAGCATGTCTCTATCACGAGTGTCTGAACATCAAGTATTGCGACCCCACTCCACGCGCTGGGCGAGGCACACTCGGCGCAAATAAAGCCAGGGTCGCAACAACTGAAATGTATCGATAGATTCCGGGTGTACTCACACATGATGGCGGCTTGTCGTACGTCGTCGATGTGGTGTTGTCGATGCTCTTACGGTGGGAGGAATTTCGATCGTTCTCGCTTGCGAGTGTTGGCTTGCCAAGGGAAATGGCACGTGCAACCGCACTAACCGCTTTCGGCTCCCGCTGGCAAAACCGCTCCGCTCCTCTGCCTACCCCATTCTACGGGAAGAGTGAAGTGCCAACTTGCTGCATATTGTAAACAGAAGGAGACATCCTAGAATTCTGCGTTGCTGTTAGAATCCATGTGCGTCTAAATTGCATGGGGTTGGAGGCTGCAGAGTAGACGACGACCTACTCACACTAACTCGGTTCCTTCCTCGCATGGTGCTCTTGCAAGTCCTGTGCTTTGCTTGTCATCCATCGCTCCATATGTCGCGCGCAATACAATTCATCTCGCAAACCATCGGTCAGTGCAATCGCGTGTGACGTCTTCCTTCACCGCTCCTGCCGCCATAGTTCTCCCGTCGTCACCCATGCCGTCCCAATGCGGACAGTTTGGGGCTGTGTGCACGAGCAGGAGAAGCGCTGCCTGGCAATGCACATGTCTCTTTCGCACGCATGTGGACTTGCTTACGGAACAACAGAAAAAAGCAACGACATGACATGACAGTGAAGGCACGAGAGCTATGTCACGATCGCGAGTACTGCCTGTTATCCAAGGCTAGCACGTTCAGTCGCATCCAGTCCTCCGCGTAGTACGTCTTCGTGTCGTACTTTACTTGTACCAGGGGTCACGTTCGGCGGCGTCTTCATGCTTATTTTATCCAGGACGCCCTCTGAACGCGCATTTAGCAAGCTCTTTGTTTATCAAGGGGACTACTTCACCGTATTCTCTCGGTGAATTTCACACTTTTACTACGTCACAGTTTGCAGTTCCCGCCCCAACTCTGTCTACCTCCATAGGTTCGTTATGAGGCGAAGCATCTCTAAGCGTGCTGCGCCACCGTTCGACCTCAACACTTTTCTACATGGTCAAGTCATTTGCCAGGATGCATGGTGCCTGGAAGTAGGCATACAATATCTGTGGCTGTAGCTGCCTTGCAGCCACATGTGTGCCTGGCTGTTAAAGGCTCCGCTACACCCGTGTGTATGTGTAAAGACAGCACTTCACAGCCTCATCCAACTTATCCATACAGCCTACCCTGGACCGATTCGACCTTGAGCCACGCAGGTACTCTTCACCATACTGACTCTGCTCAATTCGGTCACTGTATTTGTCTGACCGGATCATCCTATGCATCAGGCGAAGAACTCTTCTGGGCAACACAGTCGTGGAAGCCGATTCATCGCTTAGCCCTAGTAACGACCCGGACATTTCTTCCAAAGATGGATTCTCGGGCCCAAATTATTACAGACGGATCGTTTACCAATGATGAGCTTACTACTGGAACCGCTCCCATCGTCGAGCTTACCAGGCATGACACAATTTCCTCCGCTGAAAGTGTCCCTCGATTATCCGAAGGCCGTTGGGCACTGAACCTCAGTGGAAACTGTTCGACTTGCCATCATCACCACAAATCTGTACAAGTGCGGGTTCAGGTTTCGGGCGACTCTACTGAATTCGGTGATGTGTATTGCCACAAATGCCAGAAATTGTGGTTGGCCTTTGGAAAAGTCAATGGCACGCGCTTGTCTCTTCTCTCTACGAAGAGTCTTGAGCCGGAGATGCTTGAAGCTGAGGCTGATTTCCGCAAAACTCTGGTTCAGGCTATACAGTCTGCCACTCCCATCGCCACACTATCTCCCACTCTTACTGTCATCCCGGAAGGCACACCTGCCGGCCCATCCCGGGAGACATCCGTACGGTCCACCGCTCATAGGGACACCCAGCAACACCCAGCATCCATCGGCAATCATCCGGGGCCAGTCTCGATTGAGTCCAGTAATGGGGAACAAGCTCCAGGTCTCAGCCATGTCCGTTCGGGTGGCCAGAGGCATGCGACATTCCGCCAAATTGCTTGGTCTAAAGGTCGGCAGGCTATTACTCGTCTCAGATTGAGAATTACAGCACGATTGCGCACATCAAAGCCCGGTCCCCTTGTGACGAGGTCTTCTAGTAGTAGTCCCGATCATGATCACCATCGCCAAATCCACGCACCTTTACCGGCTGATATAGCGCCCGCCGTAGATGTTTCGGACTCCCTGGATGACTCCACAGAGGCTTGTGTAGACCTCCGGAGCGAATCAAATCACGCCGCTCCTGATGTCTGCGCCCTGTCAGCTACCGCTACGGATGCGCTAGCTTCGCTCCGGAATGTCGACCCTCGGATCATACATTCTTTATCTCCACAAGAGCGTTGGGAATGGGGCCGCAGGCAACTAACAGACTTCAGAACACTGTATGCCGGGTCTACTGTTCCGATCGGCGACCCAGTCATGATCAATAGCGGAACGCAGGCAAACCTTTCGGAAGATTCGCTGTTATCTCATCGGCCACTCACCAGACGTCATTCTGCCTTAGCTTTCGTTGGAAACACTTTTGGCACTCACGACTACTGGGATGTCTTCCGGGGAAGTACGCAGACTTTCCATAATCGTCCACTGAGCATGAGCGAAACGAATTTATCAGACGCCGAAACCGCTGTTGAACGAATCAGTATCGCTCCTACCACACACCAGTTGCTGATCGATACCTTACATCGGGATCGCCGCGGATCGGGGTCTTCGCGCCCTCTTTCGATGCACAGTGTAGTGCACGAATGGCAGCAGCATGTTCGGAACAGGGCGGAGGTTCGATTATCGATTGACTCGGCAGCGACTGGCGGTGCTGTAAGAAACATCGCTGTGGCGAGGGCGCGTGCAAACAATCGCCTATCTCGTAACTCGATGAGTCGGGCGTCTTATCTTTACGATACAGAACTGGGAGGTTCGAGAGTTCAGCTGCCAGTGGCGGTGGAGACCGAGCACAGCAATATACCAGAACACGCTGGCTCGCCTCTTGTATCGCCACCGAGCCCCGAAGCGGATGTGAGATCACAGGGTTGAACTCACGATATGCCTGCGAGACTCCACAAGGCTCGCGAATCAAATGAGGCTAACGTTTTCGTTGCGCAATCAGGGGCTTTCCAATCGTCAGTTTCACCTTCGTGTACGATGCTACGGTGAGTTACCACGTTCTCTTAGGTCGTTTCATTATCACGCTGCACGATTTCTTCCTAGTATTACAGGTCAGGTGGCCTAGGATGCATTCCCTCAATCATGAATACGCCTCACGATATACTGTTCTCTAGTTTTCTCTAAGCAAAAATGTCTACAAATAGTTCACTCTGCTTGCGATTCGCGATCCTCGAGAAGGCCCATTTGTCAACATTTATCTTATCTTCTAATTCATCGTGACTGCTTCAAGGGTTGTACTGCTTGCGCCAGTTCCAGTGAAACGAATCTGGCTCATCATGTGGTCCAGGGCTGAGTGAAAGTCTTTGCCAAAAAGATCGTGCACGAGGGAGACTGCTGCCCCCCAGCTACTCAGCTGTACTTAGAGTCGAGCCTCCAAGCATTTCTTTCGCCTCCACAATTGGGTGCAATCAGCCAGCACCTATCCCTCTTTAGTGTGATCTCAACCGACACCATGACGCAACCAGGAGACGCCCAGGCCTTCCTCTCTTCCCTTGAGCCTCTCGAATGTGCCATATGCCTCGAAGGATATGACACTAGTCATCCTCCCATAATGCTCGGATGCCGCCATATCTTCGGCGAAAATTGCCTCAGAGATTGGGTAGAGGCGGGCACAAGCACGTGTCCTAACTGCCGCGCGCCTTTGTTTGGAGAAGAGAGTGCAGCTCCACCGAGCGAACAGGTCCAGCTTCCACCAGTCGAATTACCTACAGACGTTGTGCGAGAAGAGCCTGTAGTTCCAACAAGCCAAGAGATCCCACAGCTACCAATGGAAGTACTGGCAGACTTCATTCGAGAGGCCAGCATGGTTCGATGGAGCCAAGAACCCCAGCAGCGACGAGTCCAAGTATCCACAGACGTTATGCACGTAATAGCACGTCAATCCGCTTGGGACGTGCTAGTAAGTCAGCGCATGAGGTGGCTAGTGTCTCGATCGGAACGTCTTGTAGCCTCTCTACTGCGACTACCCGGACAGACTGGGGTAATGCTAGGTCTACTTCGACGGAATGGTGCAGATGACCCGTCCAACGTTGCTCGTCCTCGAAAGCGCCTGCAACGGAACGCAGAACTTCATCCACAGGCTCAAGAGACGCGTAGGATTGATGATGAAGCACCTCGAGCGGGAAACAACAGAGGCGACACTCACCTGGTCACCCACGAGCCAATCGACCGTACTTGTATGCCATGGTTGAACGACAGACATGACCGCCAGCCATCCCGTAGCCGCTGGCAAGCGCTGCGAGACCGAGCTACACCTTCTCGTATCCGTCGAAAACGCCAAGAGGATCAAGATAGAGAATATGCAGAACGCCTCCAGCGTACATACTATGAACAAGATGGCGCGTATGAGACATACGATAACTTGGAAGAAGTACCCCCGCCTACTTACTCTATACGTGGCGGTGTACCTAGGACCCGCGAGCCACCATCCGATGCCTACATCCCTCAGCGGTTTAGAAACGCAGGGCTTAATGGCTTGTATGATTCTATCTATAAGTTCTACTAGAGCCATTCAATGGAAGGTGAAATGAGTGTGATTGCATGTGAAGCGCTGAGTGCTAACAGGTAGTCAGGGCTAAAGAGGACAAGGGAGACTGAAGACGTATCGGATGATGCACTCATTGAGAATCTCGAAAGCGTATGGAAGGGTATTCGTAGGCTGCTCGTTTGATTGCTTGTGGTGTTACAATGAGGACAAGGCTGACGGCGGGAGTTATTGGAGAGCCGTTCTCGATCTTTTTGTGCTTTATCCAAACAGTATGCAGAATTGGCCGAGTCTCTACCAAGATCACACCATCTAGATGTCCAATTCCGTCACCAGTCATCAATCATATCATTAAATTCCTCACTCTCCACATCCATAACCTTCCTCGCTGCCTCACTTCCACTGACTGGCAGCATCTCGAGTCCACCATCTTCATCGTCATCATCCTTCTTCTTGAACTCCTTGGGCACCTCTTCAGGATCCAGGAGGCCAACCTGAAATAGCACAGAAGCCTGGTCCCAGTAAAATCTCTCGCACCATATCTTCCCAGCTCTGAATCCCACGATGCTCACCACGACTATCTCGACTTTCTGGTTTGTTGGTTCAACACCGGGAAGGATCCAGGGCATCTGGCAGGTGTGTTTGAACTGGATGTAAAGTTCGTCTACTATTCTGTCGACGCCTATGGTGCGCGAAATGAGGCGCATGTGCATCGAGGGTGGAGCCGTCTTGAGGAAGTAGTCGCGATAGAAGCGCTTGAGATCGGGATGTCCGCTTGCACCAGTCATGGTCGGAGTGAAGTTTATGTACGGTGTCGGGGTTTTGGTATAGGTTTCGAGGATCTTATCGAGCGACTTTCCGCGGTATTTTTCTGTTTAATGTTAGCTTTTACAATAGGTGCGATAGATCGCCATGCGTACGCTCTTCGTTTTCCTCCCATACCCGCTCTAGATCAACCTCAGCGCTGAAGCCCTTTCGAACAGTGCTTAGACTCCTGCTCCATGCAATAGCGTCGGCCACAGCGTCATATTCATCCAGATCGTGTTCTGCAAAGCCCGCATCAACGCCTTCGTATGTGAAGCACGGATACAGTATCTTGTCCTGTAAGCCTCCCGCACCAATGCCGTGCGTGACGCGCTTCTGCACCGTTCGTCGCTTGCCTTGTATGCCAAGAACTTCAGGGCGACGTGTCACGCCAACGGTGATGTCGTTTCCGGATGTTCCCTCGGCTAGATGTACGAGGACGCGAAAGGACGATGTAAAGCGGTGGCGTGTATCGGGAATCGAGGACGGGTAGTAGGCGATGAGAGAGCAGAGTTTCGAGGTGGCGGTTTTGGGTTCCGAGTAGACGTCTAGACATACGGCTGCAGCGTCACCGAAGGCTACAGAGACATAGTCAGTACATGATTCGGAGGGTGCTGGCGCATAGTATGTGTACGTGTGGCATGCGCCAGAGTGTGAAAGGGTTGTATACCCACGATTGCGTAGCGTTCCCCAATGCCCATCTTGTCCCCCAACTTGTGAAGCGTCTGCACGTATTGCTTGCCACCTTTGCCCATGGGAATATATTCGACGATGAAGCCCTCGTCGCGCCATGCCTTCATAGTCTCGATGTCGAACTCGGCGTCTTCGGCTGTGATGTACAGTACGGGCGTGCTGCTCCTGAACGACAGCCAGCCATTGCGGTCAGCAAGGAATTGTTGCGCCATGCCGTGGTCCAGAGTCGTTGTCGCAAAGGCAGGCGCGCTCACGCGATGGCTGCGGCAGGTCCACTATAGGCAAGCGTAGCTATCCCGGTTCCGTGTCGGTAGCGTCCGATGATGGTTGGGACGTTTTCGATGGCGTATTGCGATGCGCAGTGGTTAGGCCAGCCCTTTGCGCGCGGATGGACAACGTCAGAGCATTCATGGATGCAACGGCGCATTGTCGGTGCGGGCTCACAAGAATCCTGCTGGAGGCTGGTGGCACGAGGATTTAGTGGAGTCGCGTCCGTGTCTCCAATTCGTGAATGACGTAGGCGCTGTAAGCCTCCTTCGGGACTAGCCGGAATGCAGCAGGAAGCCGCTGTCTCAACACCGAGGATCCTGATCGTCTTGTTCATCGTCCTCGAATTTCAATCTTGGTACACGATTACAGCCGACATGTTGATACTTCATGTGATATCGTTGACGGGATCCATGCGGTATGCGACGTGCCTGAGGGTGGCGTAGGCCGCAGCGACTACTCCAAAATCGAATCAAGTACAGTGTCTGCTGCCTGCTCAGCAGCAGGAGGCCTGATATGTGACAAGGATAACTGAACAATTCATAAACAGAGTTTCATCCTTCAATCTCTTCCTTCTCCTGTAGCACTCTTGCGAACGACATGTCTGGCTACGACATGGAGTGCAAGGCGACTTTGGTAACACATCGGTCCGACTCAACAGCAGCGAAACAACCGCCAGCGTACGATACTGCTCGGCTCAATACGTCCGTCTCATCTTGCTAAAAGTTCCTAGTGTATCAGACCTATCAATTGACCATCGACTCTGGGGTCTGAATGCCGAAGATAGTGCCCGGGTCCTTGGTCTCTACGACCAAGGCAGACGGCTCATTCCAGGCTACAACAAACTCCAGAAAGACATTGAAACGAGGCAGAACCAGATCATGCGATCTGTAAACGGGACCGATGATTGGGATTGGTTGATGCGCAACAACGTACCAGAATTTGAGGAGCTCGATCTACAGGGTATGAGCATTCCTGAGCAGGAAGTAATACTCAGACGTGTGAAGATCAAGGATTATTTTGACGAGGAAATCCTCCGTGATCTCATGGGAGAAATGGAGGCCGTCGAGGGCCCTATTGATCAGATCGCTGCGACATGCGCAGATCTGCAACTTTGTCCGTCATTCACGGCTATCATCCTCCGGAAGCTTCCTCCCGAGCTGCGAGACCAGATTTACCACCATCTCTGGATGGAAGAGCAAATCAAGAGCATGGACCAAGCTATTTCGTTTGTTCCCAAACATCATTCCTTAGACGAAGCCGGCACGAAAGTGCAAGATCTGCCCGTGCCACGTTTCGCAAACGCCGCCCTGGTGGGCGAGGATTTCGCATCTGAAGCTGTGGCCACATACTTCAGAGACCTGTCAAAATTTGAGCTCGATTATCGCTACGTCCGTGCCTGCCTTGAACGCGACCACTTTGGTTCCATGCCATTCTCGTTCAAGGAGGCTATACGACATCTTGTCATCACGGTCGACGAGGACTTTGGTAATCTCTATTCAGGAAAAAAGATAGCATGCAGGGCGTTGAGCGACAGCATGAACAGCCTGCTGATGCTGAGAGAGCGTCAGTGTCTCAGCGTCGAGATCTATCTGGGGCCGGATATGCAATGGAGGCTGGCCCTGTTCCAGGCTCTCGAAGTCATCAAACCAGTCTTCTTGATGCTTCGTAAAGCCAACATAGACGTCAAAATTCTGGGTTACGACTTCTTCAGCACGACCGAAGACGATGATGCAGACGTCTTGTCTGAACAGCTAAATATTTACTTCACTGCGAGTACTCCAGAGGAGTGGTTGGAGATGAAGGCCAAAGAGATCAAAGAGATGCCACAGGGACCGCTTCGGCAGCGATGCAAACGGGTAAGTGGTCGATTCCCTCAAGAGAGAGACCAAGCTCATACCTGTTGTAGACACTGCGAATCATGCGAAAAAACCTCGAGTTTGTCATGCGAGATTCTCGCAAGGGCGCTGAGTCTGCTAGAGCAAGTGTGTAACTACAGAGCACGTCTCGGCAGCGCATACAAAGCTTAACTCCATCTGTCTGTCGTCACTAGCTTCATATGTCTTCCGGGTATTCTCTAAGTTGGGTCTCGTGCGTGAAGGTACATTCATCACTAGAAATATCATGTACATTAGGCGGCAATTAGGGATAGGATTCAACTTGCTCCAGACTGTGTGCTCAGCTCGCTGTATCAGACAAAGCTAGCGACCCAAACGTCCATCGCCCTGACTCCATTTCTACCCCCCTGAGTGCCTTCCAGGCTTGCCTCACATGCATCCCGCAACGCAAGAATTACTCCCCGTTCCCTCTCGTCACTCACGTTCTCCTCTATCTCCCTCTCGAAAGAGGAAGAGAGACAAGCAGAGACTTCCCATTGCCCGTCCATCAGCTCCTCCCCACTCTGTACGTGGGTGTCATCCTCGAGCCGCCACCCGGCAGCTAGAGCCAGCTCGATAAGTCTTTTTGGGCCCAAGATAGTGCGAACATTCGAGATGCTCTTTACCTTACGGCACTCCAACGCTGCCTGGGTGAGCGCCGCTAGTACATGAGGCTGGGCAGAGGGATGTGTGGCTACCAAAGACCACTCAGCAAGAAGAAGACGCTTACTGTGCTGTCTGATGGCGCGGAAGGTGGAAAGGATGAGCGAGGGTGTGGGGAAATACCATAGACAGTGGGCGAGCACTGTCGCGTCGAAGGCCTTGCCGCTGCTGGTGGGTGCTGAAGAGCTAGAAGACGGGATGGGAAGGGAAGAGAGGTATTCCAGAGGGGCTTGTTGGATCCACGTAATTTGCTTTCCGAGCGGTCCTTGTGTGATGTGATCCTGTGCCTGGCCAATGGTATACGGAGAACCTGGAAGATCATGAATTCACTACTTCTACACGCCCGACAGAAGAACAAGAAAAGTGTAGCTTGAAATTACTTACCATATGTCAAGTCTGCTGGATCGACGGCCACAACATTTCCTTGCTCACCAATAGCACAAGCAAGGACAGTCGTACAGTCTCCTTGCCCGCACCCTAATTCCAGCACCTTCGAGCTAGTAGAGATGTTCCATTGCTGTAGGAGCTTTATACGGTGGAGGGTCTGGGCGAGCTGGATGCTGAAGTTATGAGGATCGTGTAAGGAAAGACGAGCAATATAAGTGGCGTCGAGTTCGGTAGCCATCTTGGGCTCGATGGGTGTTGGATAGAAGACTGCAGAGGTTTGGATTACCAGGTGAATTCTGAGGGTCTTTATTTAGTTCCAGTACTATTAGGCAAGAGCTGGTGAAGATAAGGCGAGTGTTGAGGATGACTCCGCCGCCTTGTCTGAGTCAAGACTTCCGGAGATAAGGCACGATGTGGAGATATGTAGGAGGATGCGCACTAGATTCATACCACCTTCCAAATCAGACTGCCCGGTCTTCCATCTTCGTTTGCATCAACATTACAATTTCGCCCTAGGCGCCTCACCATCATGGTTCCATCCTGGCATGTCCGCGAGATCCTTCGCACGCGCCGCCCTTCTCGACTTCAGCGCATCACCAGTACCGGGACGCCATCTCCATGCATGCGCGAGGTCGTCTGCCAGTGTACCTTCGAGTAGCTCGATCACATGCTTACCTATGTTTGGAAGAAGCTTGAAGGTATGGCTACATAATAAGTCAGTAACTCATCAATACGGCGTTCGTAACGAGGCAGAAACTCACCCGCTATCTCCGGTAGCAAGTACAAAGTTCTTCCACTCAGGATGCTCGCACATCAAGAGTGCCGCATCTGCTGTGTCTGTACACCAACACAGATGTCTGTTGAATAACTCTTTCTCTGTGAACTTTGGCAGGAAGGTCGCAATAGCTTTACGGATGCTGACCTCGGAGGCATCCGGATAGGTATCTGTGGGATGCTTCGCTGCAGATCTAGGTACCGAGATGCGCTGTGGTGTCGATGCACCAAAAGGCTGATGCTGCTTGAAGCGTGTGAAACCTGGGAATTCGTCGCAGACTTTGATGACGCCATGTTCGTCAGGCTCGAAAAAGAAGCCCACGTCACCGTTGTAAACTACAGGAACGTTCTTGTATTCTGCAGCTTCGCTGGGAGAGAGTTGAATGTGGGCATATACCCATGCCTGAAGAAGTCAATGCGAAAGTATGTAGCTGAGCTGAAATGACATACCTTCGAGACACACTGTTCTTGCAGATCGACTAGCACGGAGCTCCATGCACCGGCTGCCAAAACCACCTTGTCGGCGTAATACCGCGTCCCGTCAACTGTTTCAACACCAATACACACCCCTTCCGCCAGAAGAGGCTGTTTGAATGATCCTGCTCCACCGAAGCCGAATTTGACACCTTGATCCCGCAGGTATCCACCAATGGCATCGATGGCTTTAGCTGCAGCGAGCCAGCCGCCGTCTTCGCTGTAGACAGCTTTCCAACCTTTGATCTGTTCGCGGTCTAGAAGTGGCATCTTATTCAAGATCTCCTCCTCTGAGTCTAGCCATTCTGTTGTCGTTTCTAGACCTGCATCTGCGTCGAGAAGAGCTTGGTAAGCTTGCTTCAGATCCGCGAGACCCTTTTCACTGTGCGCGCAGTCAAGCTGAGAATGATGTTAGTCTCTGAATATGCTTCTTGCTAGGTTGCGCTTGAAGCACTCACCCGTCCAGTGTTGTGGAAATACTCTTTGAATAGATCATCTTCCTTCCACATCTGCCTCGCCTCCAGACTCAACTGCAAGTCCACCTTGTTTCGCAAACGGATGCCCATGATCTTGTTCAGGTCATTTCCAGCTGATTGGGACGATGGAATTGGGTACGTATCCAGCACTGTGATGTTTGACGGTGTGTACCCTGAGCGTACTAGATGAAGGGCTGTTGACGAGCCTATGGTACCACCACCGCCCACAACAATGACGGAACGATGTTCTCTGGAAGGTGCCATGCTGAGGTAACGTTCTCTCTGGCTCGAAGAGCTCGCGTGCTAGAATGCGAAACAGCGTTGCCGGAAGTCGTTATCAGTACCGACCCACGATGTAATCCCGCCGGTTAAGTATCCTTAGAGGCTGCACACGCCACCAGCACGGTGACACGATGGCAATACATTCTCCACGCGCCAGATGCGAGCACGCGAGGTTTTGATTGAGTAATTGAGGCCTGCCGTCCCAAGTATCGCGGCCGTTCTCGCTTGGGGATCCCGACTGTTACCCTTTCCAAACAGGGTTAGGCTGGCGGACGTCAGCGATGCGTCAAGCCAGGGCGGGCTCCGTTTCTGCCCGGTTTGAGCATGGAGCAGGGCCATGACCCTCCATGCTTGACATTGCGATAACAGAACTGGGTCTATGCAGCCAAAGTACGATATCAACGACCCTTTTTTCTGCAAGAGTCGCCCTCAACCCGCGGAGCACATGAACAGCTGACTCACGCCTTGCATCAACCCGACATCCAAGCCTCGCAACCATGTCTAGCGCAGGCTTACCATTCCTTAACCACCTTAGTTTCCAACCTCCACTTTTCCAAACTGTTCGCACTTCCATATCCAGCCTAGTCTACACTCTCATCTAAACTGCCCTTTCCCTCGGAAACCGGTCTATCACCGGAGCGATTGACTCCACAGGTCGCTATCAGCTGGACGGGAACGACTCGTTTACCCCAGCTTGGGGTAACATAGTTCCGAGATCCACAGATAAGCCGATGCTGGTCGCGCGGACAGACGGTAGGAGGTAGATGTGTGTGGGAGGGACATGGTGTATATAAAGGTCGTGTGCAATGCCTTTGATCTCACCTCAGCTCGAAGCTCAGTCTCTATCTGCCCCGTATCGTTTCTGGTCTTCCCAGTTGGAATCTTTGAAGATGTCCAAGTTCGACGCTGCTCCTCCCAACACACACGCTGGCGGCGACGACGATGCCCTCCGCACAAAGGGCAACGACCCGCTCAACGCTCCGCCGACATACGATATCGCCGACGAGAGGATCAACATGGAAGAGTATACCAGGACTGTTCCAAAGTGGAAGAGAATATGGCAACATAGCTTGACACAGATGCTGTTACTCAGTGTGCAGGCTTTCTGCGGTCCTGCAATGGCCGACGCTATTGCTGGTAAGCTATCTTTGAACTTGTCACACGACACCTAAGATTGATAAGCCTGCAGGTCTTGGTGGAGGTGGTCTCGCTACTCCTCAAACCTCAAACATTGCGACCGCTGTCAACTACACCATGCTTGCTGTCTGTTGTGCTCTCGGAGGGCCCATCGTCAACAAGCTCGGAACGAAATGGGCTTTGGTCATCGGCGCTTGCTCGTTCCCAATCCGTGGCTCTTCCTATTACTGCAACTCCAAGTTCGGAAACCAGTGGTATTTGATCTTGGGCGGCTTCTTCACTGGCATCGGTACTGGTACTTGGTATGTTGCAGAATCCGGAACAATAATGTCACTCGCGCCATCTGGATCTCGTGGCAAGTACCTGGCGCTTTGGATCGTTGCTAGAAACTTAGGACAGCTTGTCGGTGGTGCTATCAAGTGAGTTTTGCAGACTGAAGGCCACTTTGCATCAGCTAACATCTGTGTCACAGTCTGTCAAAGAACCACGAGAAAGGCGTCGTCGGTGGTGTAACGCCGGATACCTACGTCGCCTTCTTGATCATCGAATGTATGGCTTTGCCATTCGCCTTCCTCATCTCACCTCTTGAACGAGTTGTACGCTCAGACGGAACGCGTATCCTCGTCTCTGAGAAGATCGGCACGGTGATGGAGTTTAAGCAAATCAAGATCACCATGACATCGAAGCTTATCCTGCTTTCCGCATTCTGGGCCATATGGTCGTTCTTCTACAGGTCAGTCAAGTCTCGATCATATCGAAACGGCAGCTAATCAGCTATTAGTGGAACATGGTCGACCTATCTTGGAACCTACTTTAGCGTCCGTGCCCGCGCTCTCTCCTCCCTCATCTCGCCCTTCTTCTGTATCGTCGGTTGCTTCGGTCTCGGGTTCATCCTCGATCTCAAGGGTGTCAGCCAACGTCGTCGCGCACAAATCGGTCTCTTTACCGTCGTGCTTCTCAACCTTGGCGTCTACATCTGGTCTATCGTCATGCAGGTTGGATTCAACAGCAATAATCCAGGCAAGATCGATTGGGACGATTCTCGGTATGCGCGTTCTTTCTTGCCATACTTTTTCGTGCAGACGACTGGACCTCTCTCGCAATCTTACATGTACTGGCTACTCTCTTCCTTCGCAACAGACGCTCAAGGTATGTCTCCTCATTCGGAAAGTCTTGTTGATTCAGTCGCTGATGACATACAGCAAACGTACGTAATGGTGCAGCTTTTCGCTGTCTTGAGGCCATTGGACAAGCCATCTCTTACGGGATGAACACCCAAATCAAGACATCCCCTCTCATCGGCTTCTGCGTCACTTTTGGCTTGATGGCACTTGCTCTGGGTCCGATGCTGGTACTGGTGAACCAGACGCCAGATCGCATCCCTGCTGATGTGATTGCGGAAGAGCAGTACAGCGAAGAGAAGAAGATCGGTAATGTGAATGTCGAGACCAAGGTCTGAGGCCTGTTTAATTTACGATATGTCGATGAGATTGGAACGGAATTCTCTATGCCTCCATAGTATAAAAGCCAATAGAATGCCAAAGACGGGTTCAACTTTGCCATCTAATATGTGCACCAGCTGTGTGACATCGCAACTAAAGATGCATAGTTGCTTATCGGCATCCAGGATGGCTACATTCTGTGTTACGTTTTGCTGCATATATACTTGGAAATATTACAGCTAGTAAGTTTCTAAGGTATTACATGCTTTATCTGAAAGCCTTCGTATAAATTGCGACATGGGTCATAGCCGCACCGAGTGCGGGTTGTGAAAGAGAGAAACGATGCATTAGTGTTCTGCGAGTCACCCTTCAGATATTCGTCACTGGTACCGCCCACTGCATTGACTAAAGATGCTTTCGTGTTATTTTGATGGATTCAGTCTCTTCGCCAGATGCACTTTGCACTCAGATACATCAGTGCATTAGTGGCGTGTCAAGAAGCTTGACTCCCAGCGTAGCCGATGTTCAAGTTGGGCAGCCTGACTTTTGCAACCATGTCTCATTCAATAAAAGCGTCTGTCCGACGCTTCCAAGGTTGTATGCGAGGAAAGGTCTTCTTGATGAGCTCAGCACTAGCCGAATGGGGAAATACATAGAGCTTTGTTGGCACCAGGCCGATCGATGGACGATACCAGTGTTTGGACGTGTATTAGATGGCCGAACGAGCTAGATTGGTAACTTTCCTGCGTGCGTAAGGCGGAAGCGCCATGTGTATCCAACCAACATGATCGAATAAGAAACATACATAAAGACGGCTTTGGGCGAGAAATAGAGATTAGCATTTTTCACTACCACAGCAGCCTTGCTCCGTCCCTTTGTCTGTCAAGCCCTCAGTTTCACATACCAAGATGACTACCGCAGCAGAGAACAAATTAGAGGACCCCCAAGGTCAAATCATCGTGCATGCCATCGAAGAGAAGGCGCAATGGACACCAAACAACATGTACATGCGATACGCACCGGGTGACTGGAAAGCATGCGGGTACAAGACGATTACGTGGAAGCAGTATGCAAACGCAATTGACAAGAGGGCTTTCTGGTTCGACGAGCAGCTTGGCTTGGCGGTCGATCGTGAGACGATGGCTTACTTTGGGCCCAACGATCCAAGGTATGCTATTTTGATACCAGCCATAGTCAAGAATGGACGAAAAGTAAGTGTTGAGTTACTCTGTGCAACCTCTTGGATAACAGCCTCTGCAGTTGCTGGTTCCGGATGGGCGTGTGACCAACGAGGGGCTTGCAAGCGACTAGTTGCAAAGTATGGCTCTATCCTGAAGATGGTCCTACAGGCCCGTTGGTCGGACCGGAGTCAGGCTTGAAATTATGTGCTTTGCCGTCGCTGGAACGGATGCTTTACAACGAAGAGCAAGAGCGGTACCCCTACGATAAAACGTTTGAAGAGGCCAAGTAGGATGAAATCGTCATCATCCATACATCCGGTACCACTGGTAAGCTGTCTGAATTGGATTGGTATCTCAATTGCTCACCTCTCTTCAGGCGAACCCAAGCCTATTTTTCACACAAATGGCATGTGGAGCGTAAATAAGAATGTGCACATACTGAGTCGGAGACACTGGCCCCACGGCATTCAGTACGAACGTTGGATCGGAAAGACGTCTCTCAACCCATGTCCACCGCAATGGATAGCCGGCTTACATGCGATGATTTTGAGCCCGGTTTTCCTAGACAGTCCCTGCGTCATGATGCCACGAGACGAAGTTTCCCTGACCCTCACCCTGTTCAAGAAGATCATGTCGTTGAACAGGATCGAAGGCATCAGATGCCCTCCATTCACTATCAACGGCCTCTACGCGGACCCAGAAACTCAACAAATGCTGAAGTCACTGGACTTCATTGTGTACACGGTGCACCATTGGATCGAGCGATTGGAGACGACCTTTGCCAGCACACGAGATTGAGCCCACTCATTGGCTCCACGGAAAATGGAGATCAGATCGGCCTACGGCCAGCCGATAGAAAGCTCTAGTATACCCACGACTTTGTTCCAGAGAACGGTCATAGGATGGTGCCTTTTGACGCAGGCTCGGACGATCTCCACGAGCTCATATTGGAGAACGTTGGAGATGGGCGTACCAATCCTTTCCAGTCAGCCTTCTGGAACACAGGACATCGTTTCCTGGAGCAGATTGAAACGAAGGAGCTCTACAGGTCCGTCAAGGACTCTGATGGCCGCACGCGATGGGCGTTTTCTGCGCGCAAAGACGACTTGACGAAGCTGAATTGGCTGGCAAAGTTTCATGCGCAAGATATTGAAAGGCGTATTTTGCAACACCCAGACGTGCAAAATGTGCTGGTAGGTGGAGAAGCCCGGCCTGCGCCGTATGTCATCGTTCAAGCAAAGGAAGGTGTGCTGAACGGAAAGAGCGAGGTGCAGCTGGTTGATGAGCTCTATTATGGAGTGGTTGCTGCTACCAATAAGACCGACATGGACGAGATAAGAATTCCCAGGGAAACAATCATGATCGCAAAGAAGGAGAATCCGCTCAAGGTCAGCTTGAAGCAGTTGGTGCAGAGGAAAGCTGTTGAGCAGGACTATTCCGAGGAAATTGAGCAGGCATATGTGCGGCTAGAGAACAGCGGGAAGCCTCAGGCCCGTCAAATGATACTTGACCTCTCCAGCAGCCGATTCTTTTTCTTCGTGACATGTTGTTTGGTGTGGTGTCTTAAGTCGAGTCAGCCGAACCTAGGTGCCTAGGAAGGCGCGTCTGGCAAAACGCGCTAACGGCGTGAACCTCGGCTTCGCCAGTGATGATGTCGGCCGTTGCGGTTGAGTTACTCCGCATTTCAGGAAGGAGCGGCCATAAACCTTGAGGTGTCTTCTCAGCTAGACGTTCAATATCCCTGGTTTATTTTCCAAGTGAACGCGATATTTCAAGTATAATGTCTTACTCCAAGCGCATCGATCAGATTGCAGGCCATCTCAACTACCCCAAGGGTATGTTGGCTGGCCAAACCGCCATCATCACAGGTTCAGGACAGGGAATCGGCGCTGAGGCCGCGAAACTGTTTGCAAAGGAAGGCGCGAAGGTTGTGGTAGCCGATGTAGATGCCAGTAAGTCACTATGGATGTCACATGTAAGCACAGGGCTGACGTTTGGTCTAGAGAAAGCAGAATCTGTAGCTGCGGAAATCAACGAGTCTGGTGGTAGCGCCCTGGCTGTCGCAGGCGACGTGCTCGACGACGCCTACATCAAGACGCTTATTTCCAAGGCTGCTGAGTTCGGAGGCGGCAAGCTCCACATCATCGTCAACAACGCCGGCTACACATGGGATGGCGTCATCCACAAGATGACGGACAAGCAATGGCACACGATTGTTGACCTACACGCGACAGCGCCTTTCAAGATTGTGAGGGCTGCGGCGCCATACTTCAGGGTCAAGGACGGCGAGCCGAGGAACATCATCAACATTTCCAGCACAAGTGGTGTGAACGGCAATGCTGGACAAATCAACTACGCGCTGGCGAAGGCGGGTGTAACCGGTATGACCAAGACCATTGCGAAAGAGTATGTCTCCCCTCTCTCTCCAACGTATTCCCCTCTAACGCGTCTGCAGATGGGGCCCTCAATTCGGCGTGCGCTCCAACACAGTAGCCTTTGGACACATCCAGACACGGTTGACGGCGGCGAAGGAGGCTGGCGCATTCATTACCACGCCCGACGGCGAGAAGGTAGCGCTGGGCATACCACAGGCGCAAAAGGCAGGCGCAGGGCAGGGCCAAGAACACATGGACATTCCTCTGAGGAGACCGGGCACGGCGACGGAGGCCGCGAGTGCCGTGTTGGCCGTTGCGAGTCCGCTGTTCAGTTATGTAAACGGAGAGACGATCAAGGTGACTGGAGGACGCGGCATGTAGAAAAGTGCAAGCCTCGTGCGACAATTGACAAACTTGTTTGCAAGCTCAAACACATGCGGTGGTGAGGGAGTCGCAAAGATAGTCAGCTATGGTTTCAACTACCAAGATCTTGGACAGGGTCTCGGCACCCATGTTCCGCTCCGCCATCCCCAGATGCTGGATGCACATCAGCCACCTGCATCCCGACAAGAGCAGCCCCTCGTGCGCCTTCTTCTTGCCTGTATTGATATATTTGTCGCCGTTCGTTATACCCATCCACCATGTACATGCCCAATCGATAGCCCATCTACCCAATTACCTTTCAAAGCATACGCGTACGCAGCATTCGCTTCCTGCGGACTATTCGCCGCGGGCGAGCGAGCATCCCTTACCACGACACCGCGCACCACGTATACGACGACACCGCGCGTTGCTAAGTCGCCATGAGCGATGAGAAACATGGCTACGTCCGCGAGCCATCTCCGCCACCCATCCCCACATACGACGAGGCAACTTCCTCGCGCAACGCCCCTGCGCGCCTCGGACCCAACGAGACCAGCGACGATGCCGAGCGGCAGGGTCTCCTGAGCCCGGATGTGCGCATACAAGCCGACCCGCGCAGGCGCAATGGATACTACCAGGCCCCCTCCGTACAGTCGGTGGACGACGATGGCGACTCGGATCTCGGGAGTCCGGTGCGAGAGAGCCAGGACGAGGACCTGCGCCAGACCATGGAGGAGATGGAGATTCTAGATCCAGAGGCTGCTGAGGAGGGGCGGTCGAGGCGGAATCGATCAAGAGGCAGGTTCTCGAAACGCTTCTACAGCATCAGACATTCCCTATCGAGTTGGAATCTGCCGCGAATACCCTGGCCCAGCTGGCGTCCCAACTTCAGCGCCATGACGGACCACATACCGACGATACCGGAAGAATACAAGCCGGGGTGGTCGATTATCGCGCGATTGTTTGGCCTCATACTGATCATCGTTCTGGTATACCTCCTGGTCGTCAGCGAGGTGGTGCCCATGGGCGGAGGCTTCGGCACGCCCTTCAACCCCGAGTGGGTACGGTCGACGGCTATGGAGAGCGTCGAGAGCTGGCGGATTGAGAAGAATCTGGAATACATTACAAGCTACGACCACATAGGGGGCACTGAGGGGAGTTATGTGCTGGGGCAGTGGATCGAGGGCAAGTTCAAGGATGCGCATATGGACACATATACCCACGACGAGTACGTTACACATTGTGAGACTTCACAAAGGGTCACGCTAATTAGACTAGGTACTACGTATACATGAACTATGCAAAGAAGGGCGGACGGAGGGTCGCCATCGTCGAGCCACAGGACAAGAAGTGGGAGGCCAAACTCGAAGAGCCGTCCGTCTTCAATCCTGCCAAAGCGCAAACGCCTGCCTACCATGGTCTGTCTGCGACCGGAAACGCCACCGGGCCCTTGATATATGTCAACTACTGCGACAAGAAAGACTTCAAGCGATTATGGGATAGCGAGGTGGACGTGCAAGGTGCGATTGCGCTCTGCCGATATTACGGAACACAGCCAGACCTATCCATGAAGATCAAGGCTGCGCAAGATGCTGGAGTTGTGGGTGTCTTGGTATACTCGGACCCAGCAGATGACGGCTTTAAGAAGGGGAACCCCTGGCCAGATGGCAAATGGCGGCCTGGAGACAGCGTGCAGCGAGGATCCGTCGCACAGACAAACATGATCATGGGAGATGTGCTCACGCCTGGTATGCCGAGCTTCAAGAAAGTGGAGCGCATGCCCCGAGACAAGAACCCGGCCTTACCGAAGATTCCAAGTTTACCGCTCTCGTGGAAGGATGCGCAGAAGCTGCTCAAGTCGCTGAAAGGTTCAGGCGAGCAATTGCCAGATGAATGGATTGGTGGTGTACCGGATGTTGGCGAGCACTGGTATTCTGGTCATCCAAAGACTTCGCCAAAGGTGTTCCTGCAAAACGACCAGGATGAGGTCGAACAACAGCGGATCACCAACGTTTTCGGGTCTCTCAAGGGCAGCGAAGATCCGGCTAGCAAGATCATAATCGGCAACCACCGCGATTCCTGGTGTTTCGGTGCAGCGGACCCTGGCTCTGGCACGGCTGTCATGCTCGAAGTTGTACGTGTACTAGGCGAGTTACGCTCGCAAGGATGGCGACCGCTCCGCACTATCGAATTTGCGTCGTGGGACGCTGGCGAATACAACCGAATCGGCTCTACCGAGCATGTTGAAGCGAACGTACAAGCCCTCCGAGATAGCGCCATCGCCTACCTGAATGTCGACGTAGGTGTAACGGGCGACAAGCTGTGGGCCAACGGTTCTCCAATCTTCCAACACGCCTGGACGCGCGTGCTCGACCGACTTTCCGACCCCCGGGAGAACAAGACCATGAAGGAGCTGTGGGAGACCTCGGACTCCAAAATTGGTAATCTAGGCGCTGGAAGTGATTACGTTGCTTTCCAATCCATCGCTGGTACCTCCTCACTTGACTTCGGCTTCACCAGCAAAGAGGGTCAATCAAACCCCATTGCGCGCAGCTGCTACGAGACTCTCTCCTGGATGCGCAAATACATCGACCCCGGCTTCGCTTACCACGCCGTGCTCGCCCAGCTCTGGGTTCTTCTCATCCTCGAGCTCGCTCAAGAGCCCATCATCCCCATGAAGATTGACGACTATGCCCGCGCGCTGCAAGAAGAAGGCCAGGCATTGTTGGACTGGACCGAGAAGAAAAGCGGCGGCGGCGAGTACGACATCGAGATGTTTCAGCCTCTAGTCGACAGTCTGAGTATGTTTAAGAAGAAGGCAGAGACTTTCGGGCGGTGGGAACAAAACTGGTACAACCAAGTTTATGCCACTGGTGGCTTTGAAAGTAGTGGCGTCACGATACAGAGAGTTGGACATAACGGGAGGATCGCAGGTTTCGAGACCGACTTGCTTGATCTCGCGAGGGCCAAGGATGACAAGGGGCCGCATGGTGTAAGTTCCTCGCCCCCTCCGATATGTGAGATTATCGTTGGCTAATTCACCAACAGCTTCCCAACCGCGACCAATACAAGCACGTCGTCTTCGCCCCGGACCTTAACAACGGCCTCGAAGCCAGTGTCTTCCCTTTCGCACGCGAAGCAATTGAGAAGAAAGATTGGGACGCCGCATCCAAAGCCATCAAGAAGACGGCTGATATATTGAACCGCGCGAGCGATCGGCTCGGCTAAGATATGTGTGTACATGTACAGCAAAGTTGCATTTCCGCGGTGTTTGGGCGTAGCGAAAGACTGGCTGCATAACATTATTGGGTCGGGGATATATCTCGTGTGTAGCGCCGGGCCTCGGCTTTTTTATATGGGTGTCATATTCATCTCTGTTTGGTGAGCGTCGTCATCATCGCTAGCTAGGAGATTGTTTGTTGGGCCGCCTTCTCACGTGCTTGTGCTAGCCCGACTCTGTCCACGACTACACAAAATCTGTCCTCTGTGCTCTTTTGTATCACTTACCTTCCTCGCTCATTTCACCATCTTCATGAGAAAAAACCAAAAGGTTATGATCCATGTCGGTGAGACCTCTGCTGCCTTATAGAGCAATCATTGTCTCCCACATGTTGGCTTCAGGTCCACGTGCTCAAAATTCCAAAAGGCACCTCTAACATCGGTCTGTCCTTCTGTGCGTGACTCAAGAGAGGGGAGCAAACCATCATGTCCTCCTTTTGTTCCACAAAGTCGAACAGGGATCGTTGTATGATTTCCTCAAAGACATGCAATCGCACCACATCATCTTTGTTTCTTGCGTCTCTGGCTTCTACTTGAGCTGGAAAAGAACGTACGCCAAATTTGGTCATGACAGTAGACTGTCTCGCCTGTCTTGATAGTTTTAAAGCATCAATATACATGCGACGAAGTGATGGGTTCTGTGGACTGTCTTTCTCAAAAGATACCCGACAATGGTTATGTCCGCCGCGTCTCCCTCTCTTCTCAGCGCGAAACACGATATTATAGACCTCACTATTGCCTAAAAGTGCATTACAATACCTAACTCGACTTGTGGCCGCCCATGCATATCTTCGAAAAATTGATGAAAAGTTGTAGGCCAACTTCAAAAGATCTAGCGTTCGAGTCTATGGTATTTTTTGCCTCTCGCGATATGCGCAAGATTTCATGGTTCATGTAGAACCTGGCAGCTAGCTCCAACGGACGACCTCGAACTACATCTGAAGAGGAATAAAGTCTGGTGTGAGTGATATATAAGTCGCCTGCCTGCATGATTCTCAACTTCTACCATCATCCTCGTCGTCTCGGAGTATCCAAAAACTTCTCAAAGCAGAGCCATGTCTACTCCCTCGGGATTTTCTTTCTAAAAAGCCACAAGACATAGCATGGCGCTTCTTCTCCTAAGCAAGACGAGACTGGGGACATGGTTCTCCTGTTTCCCAGGTATCTTCTAAGAACTTTCATCATACCCTACATGTGAGCTTCTGAGCCAGCAAGAGAGAAGGGAATTCAAAAACTGTGCCAGACTGGCACATGAGTCTTTGCACAGCACCGAGGTTCATTACTTTATACGTCACATCTCATAACGCAAAGTAAAACTTTCTATAAGCAAGTCGTGTGGAGTTTCTCGAAGCACGTATGGCTTCGTGCCAAAGCCGCAAAAGCTTTCACCGAGTGAACACATGTTTTCTCTGCGGAGTGAACTGTTTCACGATTTCAAAGTCGCTGGTTAACATCTTCTGCTCGAACCGATGAGCTTTACTAAAACGCGAGACCCGATGGCGTATGATCCGGAGGCTTAGGCCGTGTTGCCTTGGTTCGAACATTCCAAATCAACATGCCTTCTTTGAGTGGAAATGCGTCTGCCACGTACTGGTGGTAGTCTTCGGACTTCCGTACGAATCCAACCCCGGTTTACTGCCTCTTCTTCTCTACATCTTTGAACAGGCTGCCTGTCCCCTCTTCACAAAATGTTTCCTCAGAGCCTCGATGACTTAATGTCAAGGTCACTACAATATCGAAAAGGCAGTCGTCCACTGGATGATTATATACAGACTCAAAAGCTTTGATTCAATTCGTGATTTGGGTCATGAGCTGCCACAACAGGCCAAAATTAAAGGCATGTCTTCCCCCTCCGCTCGCATCTTTCTCTATGCTCAAGTTCTCGGTGTGAGCGGAAGTAGCCTCTGCGATTCAACAAGATATAAAGAGGCGTCCGCTGGACTGATGTACCTCCAGTCCTGTCAAGATCATATTGAAAGAAATCTCCGAAAGAGTTAGAGCAGATAGTCATGTTATTGCTTCTAGCTCGGCAATTGAAAGTCTCGCTTCTACCAGGACATGTTCGCAGCTGGGCTTGGCTGTGCACAATAAAGAATATCGAACATGTAGTCCTGGCCATCCTCTGTTTTTATTACCTGTTTGCATCTGCGGAGTAAGCAAAAGCTGCCGAGATTGTGGGGTGGGGAAAGCCTGCCAGGTAAAAGAAATGCATGGCGGTCCTGAGCAATACCTGAAAAAAGACAGCTACATGTTTCCTGTCTCTTGCATGGGGTACACCGTACATTGGCATCCTTCGAAAAGACCCCACGATTCTAGGCCTGGAGGAGGCATCCCATCGCTTACATCCCGAAAAGCTGACTACAATGACGCTTCGTTGAATCGCAAGGCACGGGTTCCAGCTCCGGGAACAGTGCCAACGATCGACGATCGAGTAGCCTCCTAACGTTTGGCGGCGCATGTTGTGTCTCGCGTACTGGTTTGCGACAGCGGCTTCGCGATAGCATGTCAGTAGTATGAACCTCTGCCGGCGCAATCTCTTGCTGCGTGAAGCCGAAAGTTTGTCTCATGGGCGAGAGCTCGCTTTCTCGGCGAGGAAAACAGCAACCTCCAAAGTACCGGCAGCCCGCAGATCCGGTAGCAGGGTCAACGTGCGAGTAATGACGGTGCACATCTCCACGTTCTTCAACGTTGTGACTGTGTGAAGCGAAGCCCATGTCCCACCTGAGCACCGCCGCGGCTGCAACCGAAAACGTGGAGTCAGCCAGGCGCTAGAGACTGCTAGCTCTCACTCATCAATCCTTCAGCGGAATCTCGGCCGCGCCGACAAACTTCTCTTAGCAACATCGGCGTTTGAACAAAACAACGCACTGGTCGGTCCTGCTGTTTTGTCATCGTTTGCTCCTGAGCTCAATTCCTCGTTCTACACAAACATGGGCATTGCACCGGCCAGCACACCACCACAGGACGCCGTGCAACTTCTAGACTGACCAAAAGAGCTTTTGGGAAGGAAATCATGAAGGATCTCGTCAGGTACCGGTCTGAAGTGCCGCTAACCGATGCGCTGCACAACACATCTCTCGCTTCGACCGCAACTCATTCGGTGAAAATGAAAGCGCTCTGAATTCGATACAGCCATCAAGCCCAAAACACCTCATCGCGTTAGCGTTCAGCCCTAGCACCCCTGAGCAAATCAGCCCACGCAGCGAAGAGTGCCGCTTGGGATAACCGACTAGTTTTACTCGCACGGCAGCTCATCCGCATGACTAGGCAAGACATCAGGCCCATGATGCCAAGTCTCGTGGCTTGCGTTGCTGGCTTCGGAAAAGTTGTAGCGTTGCTGCATTGTTCGATGGAAAAGCCACCAGCTGAAGTTTCAGCATAATGTGGATTCTTGGAAGGCTAGAATGGCTCAACATGGGAAACTTTGCTCGCTTCTTTGCTTGGAGAATTGGATGACAGGGTGGTATGATGGTTTGTATAAGGAGACTGTTGCGCCGTGATGGTGTTGAGGTGTAACTGCATCCTACAGGCGCTACAAATACGCTCACACTCGTTTTGGTCTATCGTAATCAGCTAAACGACATACTGTATTGACATACATATAAACAAACCTCCTCCAAGTATCGTCACCGCCCTCTGCAGCGTTGGTCAACCATACCTCAGCCAACGCCAACCATCATCTTTCGATCACAATGTCAGGACCGTCAGATAAACTCGGCGGTCTATCCACCAGCGTCGTCGCCATCATCGCTATCGGTGGTGTAGCAGGCCTGCTAGCCCTCATCGTCGTTACGTCTCTCATCTTGGACATACCAAAGCGTATGAAGCAGAAGAAAAACACTGGGCTCATGGCACCGGAAGAGATGGAGAAGAAGAGTGTAGAGATCGACGACGCGGAAAAGGGTGCTATCAAGCAATCGACAAGAGAGATATCGGTTCAATCCCCGAGCTTGTACTCAAGCACCTATCTTGCTCGGCCAGCGTCGCCAGAGTGTCAGTGCGCCCACCCATCGATAGTCGTACATCCTTCGCCAGTCTATTCGAATACCACAACGTTAAGATGAGCTTATCGGCATTCCACTATATGTATCACGATACCTTTCTGTGGATACTTTATCTATTCGCACACGTCTACACCGCCCGGGTAGGACCGGTCAGAGGACACCTTTACCTTCGGCGTTAAGACCTGAAATGTTCTTATCACCTTTCACAAAAATCTTGTCCAGATGAGACGAGGGCGACACGGCTGGAAGTTTGATACCCTGTTACTCATGGATGTTCGGAGTTAACTGTTATCACCGCTGGGTAACGCAAGGCTGCGCGTCATAATACTACGCGAGAGCTCCATACACCATGGTCTAATACCTGCTTGAGTAAAATTCTCGGACAGTTTGTAGTACACAAAGCAGATTGTTCTCTTCTGTCATTGCGTTTCGGGACATCATTCGGCCGAATCGCATGTGTTACACAACATGATCGCTTCGATGCAGCACGAATAGATTGCAACTGTCCACAATTGCTCGGCGTCAGCACTTAAGATAGTAATGAAGAGATCAAGACCAGTCATCAAGAAAGAAGAGTATTATTACGTGTTGAATCCTCTATGGTCTATTTAAACGTTCAATGTTGACATGCTGCGCAGTACGCCCCTATGCAGGTTAGTGCAAAAGGCAGTCGGTCTTTCCGTAGCGCGCATCTTACAACAATCTTGTGATGGAGTGGGATTAGCATTGTGTTAACGCAAAGCGTTGCCAGCGCAAGAAGTCTTAGGTAATAAGCACTAAGCAGGCGAGGCCACCGTCATCTTCGACGTTGCCCAGTTGTGTATCTAGTCCGGACGACTTTTCGCCCTATCAAGGCAGCAGTCATCGACGCCCCGAAACACGCGGGTACGACTACACGGTACTACCGCTTATTCACACATGATAAGATGTGGAGACATACTCAGCGCGTATAAATGCTGAGCATTCCTTACACATCAAAGTCAGCCATTGAACCAGAACATACGAGCTTCAACCTCTTAAAGCCTTCTCACGATCTTACTGCACTTTCAAAACCTCCCACGTCCACTAAGTTTCAATCAGCATCCAAGATGGCAGACTTCAAGCCGTACAGCGAGCAGCCTGAGCTCCACACCAAAGCGCCCTACCGTGCCGCTATGCTCACGCAGCCTGCAAACCTCAAGCAAGCACTCAAAGACGCTCAGGCAGACGCAAGTAAGACCCTCATGGGCATCGCGCAAGGTATCCCAAGTACCTTCGTAACCAAGTTGATTGCCTCCACCAAACCGGATTTCATCTGGATGGATGTTGAGCACGGCATGTACAATCGATTGACGTTGCATGAGTAAGTGGACTTCCCGGTACATTCCACTACGAAGGCTTTGAGGGTTGAAACCGCACGAGAGCATAGTGCTAATAGATGCGGCAAAGTTGTATCCACGCCGCTCAACATCATTCAGAGGGCAAATCAATGGTCATCTGCCGTGTACCCAAGCGCGATGAGCTTAGTCTCACGACCGCCCTTGATGCAGGATGTGCCGGGATCGTCATCCCGCATGTGGAAAGCGCGCAAGAAGTCCGAGACTTCATCAAGGAAATGTACTTTGGCGGTATGTTCCCACATCCCGACCTTCCCTACCTATACTAACACAGCATGTCTAGACGGCAAAGGCCACCGTTCATTCAGCCCCTGGACCTTCACGCCCGGCATGACCCAATCGCTCTACCCGAACGACCCTTACAACGTCCAAACCGCCAACAACCACGTCTGCCTCATCCCCCAGATCGAATCCCTAAAGGGTCTCGAGGCCTGCGAGGAAATTGCCGCTGTGGAGGGCATCTCTGGTCTCATGTTTGGTCCTGGAGATTTTATGATTGACGCTGGTATGGACATCCATGCATTCATGAACGGAGATCCCGATCCAAAGTTCTTCGAGGCCATGGGGAGATTTAGTGCTGCGGCTGCCAAGCATGATCTGCCAATCTTTGGGTACGTATATCGCATGTTGCTTTATGTTGGGCCAGACGGCTGACGGATGTTTAGTGGTGTGATGGGATTGGATCAGATTCCGATGGCGATTCAGACGGGAATGCGCGGTATTGCTGTGCAGTTCGATGTCTGGGGTACTACTAGGCTCTTTGCGAGTTCTTTGGAAGAGGGCTGGAAATATGCGAAGAGTTTTGAAGGGAACCCGAAACCAAGTATGGCGAACGGGCAAGCGAAGCCGGCTGAGTAGGTTGAGATGACGGGCACCGAATGTTTGTATGTCTGTCGCTGTCCTGTGAATATCTCAACGTACAAAACCGTATCCGCATATTTATGCACTGATGATTTCGAAGGATGCCGTCGTTTTATACACTGTGTCCATGCAAGATGCAGTCTGTTGGGACCTGTCACAACACCTCCCGTGTCGCCTGTCACTACGCAAACGTTCAATTCGGTTGAGAAACATGTCACAACAATTGATGAAATTTCTTGTGTGCCCTATCCAAGGCTATGTTGCATTTTCGTGTCGTTGCTGCAGTCGCCGTTGCCACTGTCAATTGATATCGGAACATGCGAAGTGAGGAGTCATATAGGGTAAGGATAGATCCGAGTTTACCGTAGTGCTGGGCGATAATCTTAAAAGCGATCGTTGTAGCGCGCCCCAAAAGAGGATATAGATCTTCCTGTCAGGTTAGGCGTCCGATGTGACGAGGCTGAGCGTGCTCCGCATCTTGTAAGTTTGCCAATCAGTCTTGCCGGTGGACGGCGCGATTCCTCGCGTGCATACACTTTTCCCGAAGTAGCTAGCTCAGTGCTACTCCAACGAGAGAAGGATGGACATAGCCCTGAATTGCCATCGCTGTGTTGTGATATAAGTAGAACGATTAGCTCGTCTCGCATATGTATCTAGGGCTTACTGCAGTTCCTTGACACAGGATCAATCTGTATACGTCAGAGCAGAATTGTATATCAAGGAATTATACCCCATCCAATCTTCATGTCCTTCCCAACTTCGGTATCGATTTCAGATTGCGAAAGAGATTCATCAGGACGCTTAGTCTGTATGTCTAATCCAAGTGACCAGTTCGGTTAGTATGTCTGCCTCCCTCAAACATTTGAGTCTCTGATTCAACGCCAGATGCCAACCGAAATGATGCGAAAGACAGCTTCGGTGAGTCCGACCTCCGAGTTTGCAGCCGTTCAATTTGACTGACATCAGGTTCAGACAAAGCTGTGGACGCGCAGCAGAGGATCATCGGCATTGGTGTGGGGGTTGGAGTAGGATTGTTCCTTCTCTTCGCCGGCCTGGGTTTTTGGGCATTCCGACGACACAGCAAGAAACGAACGCGACAGATAAACCAGCAGGCACAGACACAATCGGATCTGCTGCAGCCTAGGATGCAACAGACGGACCCGCCGCAGTCCTGGATGAGGCAAGACCAGGAAGTGGACGGAACGGCATACAGGAGTGAGGTCGAGGCCCAAGACAAGCCACATCAGTACCAGTCACACCAGTACCAGGAGATGAACGCAAATCCATACGGGAACCAATTTCAAGGTGGCCCAATGGTAGAAGCGCAGGGAACGCGGGATCCCCAGGAGATGGCGTTGAACCAGAGGCAGTATCCGCCGCATGAGATGCCAGGTAACGGGGCCGTTGGAGGGCGCTGAACCAATTTACGTTGTAATCTTATCGATTGATCCGATTGACCGACATTAACATGTGATGCGACATTGGCGAACGTGCTGCATGGTTCGCAAAGTTCCAAGATTTTGGCGGTTAAGAGTTTGGGCGAGTCCAGCCTGTCGCGTCTGCCATGCTCGCGTCGCGCGAATAACGGTCCGTGCACGACCAGCCATCACCCAACCACCACATTTCTAGCCCTCGAGAAATTGCGCAGCACGACAGCAGCTATGGATCTAATAAACGGATACCTACATCGTGATTCCCACACTGTCCTCTGCCAGCGCATACCCACACCGAAGCTGTGCTCAACACGTGTACACGACTATCAACGGCGCAGTCAATAAACCTTCCCAATCCTTTCGATACAATGCTCCTCAACGCTCAGACTCTGGCACTGGCCGCTCTTTTCTCGGCACTGGCTACCGGACGGCCTTTGGACTCGTCGAAGCCCCGCGAGATCGTTCCACGCAACAAGAGCTATTCGGTTGTCAACGTCGGTGGAGACGCCTCAACCCCGGTACCCGCAACAGCCACTTCAGTGATCAAGACGACCAAGACAGTCGAAGTCGTCGGCCCGGCACAGACTGTCACCCAAGAAGTCACTGCGACTGTTGTCAAGCCCCAACCGGTGCCCGCATCGACATCTAGCTGCAGCTCGAGCAGCGTGTTGAAATCGTCATCGTCATCGTCGACACCCACACCAGTCTCATCGACTCCTACGCCAACGCCTACATCAACATCATCCGTCAAGTCTACATCAAGTCCTAGCCCGTCGGTCCCTTTGCCAACATCAACTGCAACACCGACTATCTCGAGCTTGTATTCCAGCAGCATCTCAACGCCCATCTCAACGCCGAAGCCAATCTTCGTCACGGTGACGCTGTCGCCAGACAACGGCCCCACGGAGTACTATGATGATGGCATGTGGCACACGCATTACCGTGTGAAGACGTTTGAAGCCGCTGCAGCTGTCACTGCAGCCCCATAGCTAGCTGCATGGTTTTAGCTGCCCAGGCTTCTTTTGTGTTTTTGCGTTGGCGGCAGACTGGCTCCACCCGCCTGTTCCATTCTCCCAGTGTTTTACGATATACGAATAATGGCCGGAAGCCAGCATAGTAGGGCGAGGATTTATATTATGAAGACTAGACACGTCCATGAGACGAATGCCGATGTACCAATAGATTGAATAATAAAAGCATGAAGAAGCCGACGTTTTGACCTTGCAGAGTGATGGTGGTGTAGGCTAGTGATGACGCAGCTCGAAGGGGAAGCTTGCATGCCTGCTCCGGTGCTTGGCGAACGGTTACACCCAAGGCGGCGGTGCGTATCCACGACGAGCTCTCCACACCCCCGGACGATCCGCCTCTCTCGCTCACAATGGCGTCGCCGCCCCCCGTAGAAGACCAGGCCCGGCTGCTCGAAGATGCCCTGGCCGTGGTGCGCCAGCAGACGATGCTCATGCGGCGCTGCCTCGAGACGCCGGGCAAGCTGATGGATGCGCTCAAGTGCAGGTACGCGCACGACGTGCTCTAAGCTCCAAGGGCCCCTCTGGCAATGCGCGGTGCTAATGACCCCCATGACAGCTCGACCCTCGTGTCCGAACTGCGGACCAGCAGCCTCGGCCCCAAGCAGTACTACGAGCTGTACATGGCCGTCTTCGATGCCCTGCGCCATCTCTCCGTCTACCTGCGCGAGAACCACCCCGTCAACCACCTCGCCGACCTCTACGAACTCGTCCAGTATGCCGGCAACATCATCCCCCGCCTGTACCTCATGGTCACCGTCGGCACCGTCTACATGGCCATTGAGGATGCGCCTGTCAAGGAGATTATGAAGGACATGATGGAGATGAGTCGCGGCGTCCAGCACCCCATCCGCGGCCTCTTCCTGCGCTACTATCTGGCGGGTCAGGCTCGCGACTGCCTTCCGTCGGGCGACAGCGAGGGGCCCGAGGGCAATCTCCAGGACTCCATCAGCTTCATCCTGACCAACTTTGTCGAAATGAACAAGCTGTGGGTGCGCCTGCAGCACCAGGGACATTCCAGGGAGCGCGAGCAGCGGACCAAGGAGCGCCAGGAACTGCAGCTCCTCGTGGGCAGCAACTTGGTCAGGCTCAGCCAGCTGGTCGACTTGGACAACTACAAGAAGATCCTCAACCCGCTGCTGGAACAAATTGTGCAATGTCGCGATGTCCTGGCCCAGGAATACCTCCTCGAGGGTATGTATCGCACTGCCGACCTCAGCATATCATTAACACGCAGCAGTTGTCACACAGGTCTTCCCGGACGAATTCCACCTGCACACGCTCGACCAGTTCCTCTCCGCCGTCGCACGCCTAAATCCACACGTAAATGTCAAAGCCATCGTAGTCGGCCTCATGGACCGCTTGTCATCGTACGCGCAAAGAGAAGCCGAGTCGGAAAGCCCAGAGCAGCGCAAGAAGACGGAAGAGGAGTCAATAGCACAACTCATGGAACAGATGCGGATAGCAAAGGAAAAGAAGGCTGCTGAACCCGAACCAGCGCCAGCGCAGCAGAATGGAGACGCAGAGGAACCCTCCGACACGCAACCAAGCACCGAAGAAGACCCCGAAGAGACATCGAAACCTTCCGAGACCTCTGCCGAGAACGAGGAAACCCCAGCGACTGAGACAGATGGCGATATCGAGAAGAGACGCGGCATACCGAACAATGTCAAGCTGTTCGAGATCTTCCATGAGCAGGTGCAGACGCTGGTCAAGATGCAGCGGCTACCAATACAAGACACGATTGGCCTATTGGTTTCGCTAGCAAATCTTGCCTTGTACGGTTCAGCACATTCTTTACAACGATGATTATACTAATCGCCACAGGAACATTTACCCCGAAAGACTCGACTACATCGACCAAGTCTTGACGTTTGCGAATCAAAAGGTCGCCGAGTACGCAAACAGCGCCGACTTGCACTCGCAAGCAACTCAGAGCCAGATCCTCAGCCTCCTCCTTTCGCCGATCAAGACCTACATCTCCCTCTTCACTGCGCTTGCATTACCCAACTTCATCCCTCTGCTACATTCACAACCGTATCCGACTCGGAGAGCTGTGGCCGGCGAAGTCGCAAGAAGTCTGATGCGGAATCAGACCTACATCGCGTCCGTGGAGAACCTTGAAAGTGTGCTGGAGATCTTAAAGGTTCTCATCCGAGAAGGCATTCAGCAAGCGCAGGGATACCCAGGAGGGCCGATTCAAAGACGGGCACAGGAGACGGAAGAGACCATAGAAGAGCAAGGATGGCTGGCGCGGATAGTACACCTTATTCGCGGCAAGGACAACGATACCCAATTCAAGGTGAGTTTGGTCAAAGTGCAGACAATAGTGTATACTAACAACCCTCGTAGCTCCTCCAAGCCGCCCGCAAGTCCTTCGCCGAAGGCAACGAGCGCGTCAAGTACACATCGCCCGCCATCATCACAGCATCGCTCAAGCTCGCACGGCAATACAAGAAGCGCGAACACTTCGAAGACAACTGGCAATCACAATCATCCGCTCTGTACAAGTTCATGCACAGCACATTGTCGACACTCTATACCCGCGTTACTGGCTCCGCAGACCTATCTCTCCGCCTCTTCATCGCCTGTGGTCAAGTCGCAGATCAGAACGGCTTCGAAGAGGTCGCGTACGAGTTCTTCGCGCAGGCGTTTACGATATACGAGGAGGCAATCAGCGACTCAAGAGCGCAGTTCCAGGCTGTCTGCGTCATTGCGAGTGGCCTACATACAACGAGGAATTTCGGCAAGGAGAATTACGATACCCTCATCACGAAGTGCGCGTTACATGGAAGCAAGCTGCTCAAGAAGCCGGATCAGTGTCGCGCAGTGTACCTCGCAAGTCACTTGTGGTGGGCTACTGAGATCAGGGCATTGGGCGAGGAAGACCCCAAGAACGTGAGTGGACCCGATCCGACTTTGAAGAAACCAGTACTGACTACTACAGCTCTACCGTGACGGCAAGCGAGTGCTTGAGTGCTTACAACGTGCTCTCCGCGTGGCCGACGCATGCATGGATGCCGCGGTCTCAGTCGAGCTGTTTGTTGAAATCTTGAACAGATATGTCTACTACTTCGACCAAGAAAACGACGCTGTAAGTTGCCATCTTCCAGACTCTGGAATGTTTCTAACGATTACCAGGTCACGACGAAATACCTCAACGGTCTCATCGAGCTCATCCACTCCAACCTACAATCCAACGAAAACGCCTCTTCGCTCGAAAACCCAAGGAAACACTTCCAGCGTACCCTGGATTACATAGCGAGTCGAGAGTACGAGGGTGTAGTGACAGCGGCAAAATAATGCTTGTGAGAAAAGGAGATGCGGCGCCTGTTTTGAGTTGGAAGTCCTTGTACGACTAGATGGACATGGATATTGCACGCTCAGATACCAAGTATATAGTATGGGAAAATGGAGAACGTTAATGAAGCCGAATATGTTGTAGCATAGCACGCATGTGCTAGGCGCCTTCAGGACCACTTGCAGGAAAGATAATGATCATCAACGTCATCACGACTACGCGCAGCATTCGCCAATTCGCTAGAGGGTATAAAAACTGTCTTTATGTCTGTCTGCTTCTTTTCTCTATCACTCTCGTTGCTCAGCCTTTTCCCCAAAATCACCATGACTTGCGCCATGGTGTTGCTCGCTGCCATCATTTCTTCAAAAGTTCACTGCACTTATGGTATGGCTTTGTCTGCTGTGCCCAATGTTCTGCTTGTATGATTAGCAACTACCCAAGGAGAGGATTATTTTTCTTTGCTTCTTCTCTCGAAAAACTGCGACTCCTTGTTATGTTGGTCACTGTCATCTTTTTACATCAGCTACTATTCTGAAACGAATTTTGAAAAATCGGATGTTGGTGACTGTAGTCGCGACTGCTATATCCACTGATTGAGGCTGTGGTTCCAAAACTTAACGCTACAATGAACATGAGTTTGGACTTTGGTGGACTGCATTTACCAGAAACGGTCCTACAACAATTCATGGATTGCTAAGAGGCTTGGCTGGAGTATAAAAGATGTCTCCTTCGCGTTATAGCTGGGAAGCCTTCTACACTTTACCACTTGCTCTTTAGTCCAAAAAACTACAGCGATAATGGCTCATGTGTTCCGCCAGTGTTCCCCCAAGTTACATCGAGCAGAACAACATGGCTTTCCTTCCTCGTCTACACTTTAGCCTCTGCTTCTGAAATGGTATCCTAGTGGATTGGTGATGTGCCTCTTGGCCTTCTGAAAACTTTCAACAACATCGTACATTGGCCTTCCTGTGACTCTTCATCATTTCAGTAGCTTATACACAAGTACTACCTGATTTGCAACAATAGCCAAGGGCGGAACTCTGATGTGAAATATGCAATGCAACCGTGGCAGATAATAAGAATAAAAATTGATACATATTGATATTAGGATCAGGTGGGAGGAAAGGCTATCGAAACCTGTATTATTATGTATGAGAAGTGAGAAAAACGAAGGACGTGTCGCTATAGTATCGTGCGGCACAGCGGGAGAGGCCTATAATGCAAATGAGTTTTCGGATGCTTCCCCTTTGCATCAGCCCTCGCACTTCCTTCTCTCAAATTAGAGGATGAAAAGTGGCATGAGACTGTGCCTAGCCCTTCTTTTCAAAACAAAAGCACAAGATGGCGTCTAACACGAAAAAATGTTACCCATATTGAAAACGGCGGAGCCGGGACTGGAACAACTGTGGAATAATTCAGAAGCACCTATGAAGTGTAGATGTTCTTCTACGCGACGTCTTCTGGAAAGCCGGGCTCTTCGTATTCTTAAGCCATCGTCATATCGGGCAGCGCTCCCTTGTAGAATTCGCTACGTCCTTCAAAGTCGAAATCCAAACCCACACACCCAAACTCCACCATCTTCTTGTCGAAGTTCTGGTACGTGTACTCGATGAACATGTCGATACCTACATGGAAGTCAGCACCAATACACCTCAAACCATACTTCATTCCAGAAAGAGAAGGAACTCACCACACCCGGCACCGCCAGCAGTCCAAATCTCCGCGCCATCAAACCACCCCTCGTCAACAACCCACCGACGGTCCACCCACTCCGTGCCAGGAAACATCTTCTTCGCCATTCCCAACATGACCCTATTCGTGGTAGCCTTCTTCCCCTCCAACACCCCACTCCTCGCCAACCACATACCTCCCGTGCACGTGGTAAGAATGACTTTCGTCTGCTTACTCGCCTCTTTCAAAAACACCAAGCTCTCTTCATGGACAGTCGCTGGGTTCGGGCCACCGAGGAGAAGGATATCGAGGTCGCGCGGGGCGGTCGCGTAGGTGTGCGTGGGTCGCACGTACATGTCTGGTGTCACGTGGGCGGGGTCCATGGAGGAGGATATGTAGAGGAAGGTCATGGGAATGGCATGGGGTGCAAAGGAGGCGAATTGCGGGTTCATGGCTATTATTAAGTTGATGGTTTGAGGCGTGAGGTTGCCGAGGAGGTCGAGGCCGGCGAGGTCTGTCATTTGCGTCCCTTCGTAGAGGACACCGACGCGGATGGGGGTTTGGGTGGAGGACATCGTTGCTGAACTGGGAAGATTGAGATGTAATTGAAAACTGTGGTGATGGTTGGTCAGTCAAAAAGCTGTTCATCACCTGTGGTTACTATATACACTTCAATTTGAACGCACCGGATGAACCTTCAATTCCCGTTCCACTGCAACGCCCTAGATGATTCTAAACACTTTTGACCCTCGGAGTGTCTGCGGTCCGCCTTCGATGTCACGAACGAATGGTGGTTGCAACAATGTTGCTGCCTGAAATACCGGGTGGAGACAACGAGCCGGAGCGGATATATGGAAGACGCCGTGCCGTCAGGCAACCAGCATTAAAAGTTCAATTTAATAATACTAAACGCCTAAGATACTTATGTAGGAAATGCTCAGAATTGAGTTGTAAGTATGTACAATAAGGAAAGCGTCCAGGGAGGGGACGATATGTGAACCACTGTGCGCGTAGCGTACCATTGGTACTACATGCTAAAGACGCGGGTCAAACAACGATATAAGATGGGTAAACCACAAGAAGTTAAGGAAATTCGTGAGTTCGTGTGTAGCGCTCAAAAGAAACGAACCCTATCTGGGCGGGGCCTCTGAGCTGAAGCGACGGAATTCCTCCCTCGCCAGTTCTTTCTCCCGCACTTCGGAGCTTGTTGCGCTGCTATTATCATTACTGTACTTTGAACTTGTCTGTCGTGTAAGATCGCAAGAAGCGGGGGTCTTGGGCTCATCTGAAGCTGCTACTGAGCTGGCACGTGTTCGCTGGAGCGATGCGTCTCGGATGCGAGTAGAATCGCCGCTCATGTGGTTCAGCAAGGAGATAATTTCCAGACTAGGAGTTCGTGTCGGTCCAGTTCGGTATGCTGGTCTTGATGACTCGGCGGGCTTTTGGATAGGAAGTTCGGGTATCTTCTCAATAGCTGGAGTTCTTGCACCCTGGGAATTGGCGCTATTTGCTCGGCTGCGGATTACTTCTGTCTGTGGGAAGCTGACGCGCTTCCTGGTTTTGCGGGATGGCGAGCTACTTCCAACTTTAGAAGGCATAGTAGGCGTATAGACCGGTACCGGCGTTTTGCGTTGAGATCTTGGAGGTGGGGTCGAAGGGTTGGCTCTACGTCTCTCACTGTTTGACTCCAGCCTGGCCAAAGCGTGGGTAACCGCATCGCCTACATCAAACTCATTCAATTGGTGATGTTCAAGCTCGTAGGTCTGTTGTTGCGGGGTGCCCCGACGCGATGGCGGATTTGTATGCTCCAGAACAGAACTTGCACCCGGCGGTGGCGTGGAAGCTGGCAACGGCCATTCTGCAGGAAGCTCAGGGACTGGCGGCACATTGATATCAGGACGCGAAGCCTTGTCGTTTAGTGTTGTCTTAGATGAGGTTGCGAAAGAAATGGTAGTGTGGCGGCTTCTTGATGAGTCGCCCGAGAGACGCTTGACCTTCCAGCTGCCTGTCTTGTCGTCCACCTCTAGAGTCGAATGAGGGTATTGTAGTGAGTCAGCCAGTGTCTGCGTGTCCTCGAACACTGAAGACTGGTATCTGTGTAGTGTTTGACTTGAGTCATTCTGGTGGGCCATCGGGTGGGCAAGAGTAGGCGGGGGTATGGTGAGGTTCTTCTCGTTCTCGTCGTGCAAGTCAACGCGGCTTCTAGAGTAGTCACCTGACTTCCTTGCTCCATTTGGCACGTAGAAACGTAGGTCGACTCGGACGACAGCAAACATGATGATGACGAGGATCTCGGTGACGAAATTGAAGCAATAGAAGCTTCCCTTCGTCAGGTACCACGGCAGCTGGATGACATCGCGCTGTACATCGATCAATGGGGTTCCTGGAATCCAGGCCAGAACGCAGCGGAATATCTGTCCGATGGAAAGAATAGACACCGAGATGAGTAGGATGACAATGTTATACCTCAGTCGACCAGCGCCGAACTTCTCGACTTCTGTTCGTGGAACGAGGAGCGAGATTCCGACCAGAATAGCTGGCGCAAAGCAGAATATCGTGAAATATGTCTGCGCGAGAACGAACAGGTCGTGAAAAGCACTGAGCTTGCTTTGGTCGCGCGTGAAGAACTGCCAGATCTGACTTGTGATGAGCATAAGCAGAGTGGCCACAAGTAGGACAAGCCCGCCTCGATGAAAGATGCGGTACGGCGTTGACCATCCTAGGCGTGCATGCTGGGAGCGGACAATGCGTTGGACGAAGAACCAGTTCACTCCGTACAAGATGATGGTACCGATATAGACGAAGATGTTGGCCACGATGGCGAGTCCGATGTTCCTGGGATAGTTGGCCCATGCTATCCGCAAGGACATGGTGATGATTCGGATCTTGCAGAGACCTGCTGTGGGTTAGCCTTGGGAACACTAGTCAACATGAATGAGTGAACTTACCGAGTATAGCGCCATTAAAGATAAACTTGTGCCCGCGATGCTTGTTGCCCTTGAAGATCTTGATGTGGATAACACCAAAGATCAGGTAGAGTATGAGAAAGATGATGGCGACAGGCACGTCAGGCACAATGGCAGGGGTTCCACCCAGACCAGCATTGAGAGGCGCATACGGAGGACCTCGACCGGCTTGCCCAGATGCTCCAGACTGACTATGGTTAGTTATGCGTAGGAGGAGGCTGGAATTGACATCACTCACTGGAGGTCCTTGGGTTCCTTGCTGCGACATTCTTTGCCCGTTTGATGTTGGACGTATGAAACGTTTGCTGCAGAGGAGGTTGGAGAGAACCAAAAACCCTAACTGGGAGGTGGGAACGAGGTGGTGTATATCAGGTTCTACTGCCACGCAACTGATGCAGTCTAAACGGTAGTATGCATCGCTTAGAGCTGAGCAGCGGTCGACCCAGATAAGCAAACTATATGACGAGTATGCAATAACGATACCCTGCTCATTCCAATTGGATGGACAGTCGTCCCATACGACGTGCCCGGCCTATCCGCAGCCGTGCCTAGATGTGGCAGCACAATGCCTCACCGGATTGGGGCTATCGGCTTCTGCGGAGAGTGGATACCTACCGCACCCGTGGTACGCGAGCGATCTTTCCGCAGATCTAACGTTTGCTATTCTCAACGCATAGTATGCTTTTTCTCACTCAGTCTCCTTTCTGCTGTGTATAGGTGCTCTTGCATCTTAGAGCATGTACAGCATGTTTCTCATGACCAAGAACATTGCCTGCATTATGTCGCAATCAACTGTGCCTCAATAAAACGTCTCCATGTTGACGTTATCGACGGCTGATGGTAGTACCGGGTCTCCTCAGTGATGCCGGAGATCAGCACAACGCTGTTGCTGAGTGGATGGTCGGCGAAAACGTCAAACGAGCTCCGACCCAGATGAACCCAAACCGGGACAGGGCACTGTCTTGGGCACGGTGCTGAATGATGCGTCCATCGGGGTTTTTTGCAGAACAAAGGCCGACCTGCTTTTGTCCCGAAATAGACGTCGCATGTGAAAGCCTAGAGGAGGCCGAGAGATAAGGTGTCGCACTTGCATAAAGGAGCGAACTGGGCTACTCCAGCGTGTGTCAAGCTAGGGAAAAGGAGCAGTTGAGGTTGAGAATAGATATCTTGAGGTGTGGTGTGGCGGATGTCAGCTACCCCAGATTTTCGGAACGGTGAAACTGATCGGAATGATGCTGGAGCTCGACCTTGCGTGTGTCCTACCACAACGTTCAGCACATCCTGATTTCGGCCAATGCTTCCTCCAAACCCCGTCGTAGTTTCCGCAATTTCATAGCCTTCGCAATGCCGCCTAAGTCTAAACAACGCGCGGTCAAGCCCGGCGGTCCCAAGTCCAAGAAAGCCATCCCACAGCCCTTCACCGCAGCCCCTGCTGAACTCGAGACGCTCCTGTCCACATTCGACCGCTCGCTCGTTTACATAACACATGTCGATGTGCATCCAGCCTGGTTCAAGCGGCGTATATTCGGCGTTCCCGTCCTCCTAAATACGGCCATAACCGCGCTCGTACTATGGCGCCTGTACGCCATTGGCCCCCATTACTGGGCCATCCTTATGTCCGTCATGGGAAACCACAATGAGACTACCATATACTGGGCAAGCACGTCTTGGGCATCTCTGCTATGGCGAGTAGGAAAGCGCATGGCCATGTTCATGCTGGACTTCCTACTCTTCCGATTCGTGGCGCTCTGGCCTTTCACCTTCTTCATTGAGCAGCCAGGCAATCCAGTGAGCTGGCGATGGAATGTAGGCTTCAGGGATGAGGAGGTATATGTGAGGGTCAGCAGAGGATGGGGAGCCAATGACCTTCTCGGGGAGGCTGAGGGCGGAAGCGGTCGCGCAGGCGCAGACAATCCCTTCTTCAAAACCAGAGTTCTGCCCGCGGTCGACAAGGCGAGGTTGAGGGAGAAGACGGGATATCTGTTGATGGATTCCGACTTCGACCTGGACTTCTTCGGCATGGTTGCTGCGACGCAACTGCTCGATCGCAAGGACATCACACTCGACCATCTCCGCAAATGCGTCTTCGTTTACGTCGGCGACCCTGAAGCAGAGAACGGACAATGGGCGGTCTGGGAATGCGCCAAGCTCGACGAAGGCTCCGAAACCGAAGCAAGGGACAAGGTCATACAATTCAAGGACCGGCTCACAGCTATGGGCAAGGAGAGCTTGTTCTTCAGATGGGTTGAGCTCATCCAATACGAAAGCAATGCTCCGGGTGGTTTCACACAAGAGCGACAGATTGCGGCTGCCGAGAAGGTGAAGAAGATGTTCGAGGACGAGGGAGTGGACTTTGAGGTGTTTGAAAAGGAGATTGGTGGTATGGATGGGATGGCAGGTGCATAGGCTGGACCTAACGTCGAGTTTCAGGATAGACAAAAAGGAAGCACGATTGGGGTTTGGAAACGCCTTAGCAAGATACCCAGTTTTGTACATTTCGAAGATTTACATATGGCTCGTAAAGTCATTGCCGCGCAGCATAAAAGGATACACATAATGCGTCCTGGGCGCTCTGCTCAACTTCAGCCTCTGCTCCTCAGCATCTTGCCTAATGATCCACCTAGTATCTTGGCCTCCTTACTTCTCGATCTCGGTGTTGGACTTGCATGTCTCGATTCTCGTGTCTTGGACTCTATGGGAGAAGCTTCCCTGCGCCTCCGTACGGCAGTGCCCTTGGCTTCTGCGCTGCTGGACGAGTTGAGTGTGTCGCTGCGCTTCCGTAGACGGCGGGTAGGACTCGAAGAAGAGTTGGTTTGCGGGTGTGAGTGGGACTGAGAAGTAGCATGTGGAGCTACGGACGTAGACGTCGTTCTGCGTCTGCGCTTCTCCTCGGTGTGTTTGGACTCTGGTGTCCGCGCCGCTGCAGGGCTAGGAGTGCGTGTCCGTTCTCGTTCTTGATGTTCTTGTGTCTGTCTTTCCTGCTCGGCAATCACACTTCTCCTCTCCATGTCTTCCAATTCATCAATGGATACCTGCACCACCTTCTTCACTGGAGCAGTCTCTTCTCGGCGTCTTCTCACAGGCACGTCACTTCTCGACGCAGCATACGCATCTAGGAGCTTCTCGACCTCTTTGCGGTTCGCATCTGTGCTGGCTAGACGCACGACTTCCAAGACGAGGAGGAAAGCGATAATGTAGCCGACGAAGAAGCCGGTCCTGGCCCAGAACTCTGGGTTTATCAGGAAGGAGAAAAGTTTGATTGTGGCGAGAAACATTTTGGCGTTTTGAGAACTGATCTTGCGTTGAATGCGGAAACAACGGAAAGATCGTGGTGTAGGAGCCAGCCAGATAGTGAAGTCGAACAGAAACGAGGGGCGGCGACACAGAATGAGCGACAGTAAGCCTTCCCGACCCCAAATTACGGCGTAAATACGGCGTCGTCGTCAATAAGAAGAGAATGTACTGTGTGCGGCCCGCGCTCGAAAGATAAGAATGTTGTTACACCGCACCGTCCGCAAGTTGTTAGGCCTGCTTCACGTTGCTTTTACATCGCTCGCGCAGCAGCGAGCCCCTCCACCTTTAACCGTCCTGTCAAGCCCCCACAAAGGGCGGCATACTGAGACACTTCGAGCCCACAAGGTACGCGTCCCAGGTGTTCCGCCCCTAAACCTTGCGAACGACACCCCAGAACCGGAAAACTATTAATGGTTGGAGGATTGGATGGGCGGCGCTTGAAACCAATCAGCAGGTTTCAGCTGGGTTGGTGCAAGGGTGTCGGGGTAGCAGGTGTTTGAAGTCCGCGACACCATGCCGGATACAGAAGTGAACTTGTCTAGAAGCGAGGAGCGCGCGCCAATAGGCTGGGGTAGCGGCGCGATTGTGTATCAGTACCCAGGTGACGGTTCGCGTTGGTCGCTCGTCATCGGAGCCTGGCCGAGCAATCTGCAAATGGTGGCTTGCGTAGGTTTTGAGTTGAGAGTCAGGCAGAGTTTGGAGAGTGCCCAGGTGAGAAGCGCACAACGTCACGTGCTATGAGGTCGCGCCGTTGCTCGCGTGGCCACAGGGCGCTAGCCTTTCGGCATTCCGCATACGTGCAACAACAATTGCATTAGCTATCGCATATTGAGCGTTACAGTAAATGGCAAACTCTATCTTGTAGCAAAACGCAATATTTTGCTGTCTTGCGACCACTCCAGAATATATTCCTCGTTGTTCCTTGCCGACGTTGTTCACCCTTGCCCTAATCTATAGTCGATCAATCGTCGATTACATGACCGCACACTTCTATTACACAGCGTCAGCAGGTACGAGCAAGTTCGGAATATACTCACCCAATTCCGCTTTTTAATTTTCTCGATCTCCTCTTTTTGCCTCTCTGCTTCTGCCTTGCGTTGCTTGATCTAGTTGTCTAGCGCAGCTTTCAAGGTAACGTTTTCTGCATTAGTACTCCGAGATTTCTTCTCCAGCTCTTTGATTCGCTTTTGGCCTTCGAAAAACATATCCGTTATGTCTGTTGTAACTTGCACGCCCACCGACGTGTTAGCAAGGACATTGCCGTTCTGCACAAGCTCCGTCTGCAGCTGAAGTTCGCGAGCCTGTTTCCAGAGATGCATCCTGATGATCCTGAAAGGAGACTCCTGCGTATTGTCATGCTTCTCGACTATAGCACCGCCGTTTGTCATAGCACACCCCAGTACTCCGGCGATCCGACCACTTCCCTCGCTCGAATCCCTTAACCCAAGCCAGAAACCAGGACCTGTTATGCATGGACATGGCAAATGGATCAAGATCAGCAAGTTGATCTCATCGATGCCCCTGGCTTCAACGACACGATCCGATCTGGAACGGGAATATTGTCCGAGATCGTCGACTTTCTCCAAAGCAAGCACCGCATCGCAGGTGTGATACATCTACATCCCATACAGGAACGCCATTTGACAGGAACCTCGCGATTGAACCTCAACTTGCTGCAGTCCATATGTGGGGAGCACTTTTACTCCTATGTGACGGTGGTGACGACCATGTGGAACGCCTTGCCCGACGGTTCTCCAACTATCGACGCGCAACAACGAGAACAAGCTTTCAAGGAAGGAGATGAACGTGTCGTTTGAAAAGACATGCTGGACAAGGGCTCCGACTACGCGCGCCACACTGGAGTTGACGAGTCGAGTAGGGCTATCGTCAGGTCGTTGTTGAGTAAGCATCAGGCTCCACCTTTGAATTTGAGTCTGGAGCTCAGAGACACCGGTTACACACTCGAAGATACGAGTGCGGGCTTGGTTCTTACGGCTGAGGCCAAAGCGCGCGAAGAAAGGCTGCGCTGGGAGTTGGAGGAAGAAGAGGAAGAAGCCCGAGAACTCCAGGTCAAGCTTGAAAAGACTAGACAACGAGCTACTCAATGCTGACTCCTGAGGGGTGAGATTGCACAAAGAGATTCGAAGCAAATATCATAGTCCTTCGTTCCATGCCCACCACAAAAGCATGTTGAAGACGAAGGTGAGGTATGCGATAAATTTCTTCTTATGCAATGATCAAGAATCTGTCGATAAGCCAACACGGCCCTTGCTACTCACACGCGATATCCAAGACGCTATCGTAATAATACAATCGTGGCGTATCCAACTCCTGTTTCAAACATGCGGCCCTAAAAGACAAGACGCCTCGCTGAATCAACGCGACAAAAGGAAAGTAATGAATGACCGTGACAAAAGCAACTCCTTGCCGTCACCTGCCCCCGGGCAGAATCTCGTCTTCAAACATGCTATGATCCCAGCCCTTCTCCTCCATAAGTTTGGCCGCCTCGTCGCTAATCCAGTGGCTTTCCCTCATGGTGCTCCCAGCTCTCATAGTCTGGCTGGCACTGTAATTAATTACATTCGCCTCTTCGAAACCAAAGAATAAACTCCAGACCGTGGCGCCAATCCAGGAAAAGAATGACGATATTGGTACCCACCAGCCTTGGACAAAGGTCCGGTAGACGAGTGTGGGTATGACAAAGGGGAACTTAGGAGCTTTCACGTTGACGCTGAATGGGTGCGGCGACGAGTAAGCGTACATCGGCTGGCAGTACATCTCGCTGTGAGACCAGTCAGTAACGTTCCTGTACACAAAACGGCAGATTAGACACAACATACCAAGCAATCTCTTCACTTATCCACCAAGTGAGAAAGACTATCAAGAAGATACTCAAGCCTGTGAGCCCACCCCACGCTCTCCCCCAACTGTTCGATGTCTGGCGTAGGGTCTTCAATCGTTGCTCCCAGAACAAGCTCTTCCACCATTTCAACATGGAAAAGTTCTGAACATGGTCGTCTACCGCGCAAGGGCACGCACGACTTACCACTTTAACCTTGTCGCCATTTTCACCGTCTTCAACATGCTCGACTTGGTCTTCAACGCGCTTCATGCCGCGACTTGCATCGCGAATGCTGGTTCGCGCTGCGCGAAGGCGGTCGTTCATGCGGTGGAGATGCAACAGTTCTTGTTGTCGCTGGCGCTCTGCTTCGTTCCGAGGAGTCTCCGTCGGCAGCTGAAGACCTTGAAGAGTATCCTCGTCCACTAGGCTTTCACCTGACGGAGCGATGAGATCTTCGAGTGAGTTGATGGTCGAGTCGCCGTAGTCGGCTGATGGCCGTCTGCCTTGGGATTTGGCTTCGTCCACGAGCGCCTGCAATGCAGACTTTGGAAGTTGAGGGCGAACGGGCTCTGTCGGTACGGCTTCTGATGGTTCTCCGGCCTTCTCGGACGGTTTCTGCTTGCGCGGACTGCCTTTCTTGGGTGAACGTGAACGCGATCTTGACGTCGCGGCAGATCTTTGTACAGTACGCGGGCCTGGTGTATCGACCCAAGCACCAGTCACCACGGGCGTTTTTGGATTTAGAATGGGTCGCTCTTTCGGCATTGGTGTAGCTCCCACCTGCTCGGTACTTGTCGCAGCTTCCTTGGATTCATTGTGCTCTTGCCGTACGGTCGAGGTCGCTGCTGCCGCGTTGGGAACCTCGGCAGAGACAGGCGTCTCCTCCACAGAGGCAGATTTACTTTCGGATTGCGTCGTCTCGGTCAGCACAGGCTGCAGTGCGCTGTCAAGCGGTGCCGGGGGCGCTGATTCCGGTCTGGATGGCGCCGCCTGTCTCGGGCTTGGTGTGTTGGAGACTCTCGCTAGCCGCCGCAGTAGATCCTGTGAGTCTTCTCTTCGGTTCGGTATGCGTCTTGGAGGGACAGGCTGGGCCGTGGCAACTACTTCGCGATCTACTGCAGCTATGTTCTCAGCACTCTTGTACATGGCAACTGGCGGATCTTCCATGTCGATGCCCGTGACCGGCTGCGCCTTCCCAATGGACTGCCACGACTGGGTCCGCGTGCGCAGCCTCCGCTTCGGCGAAGGATATGGCTGCGTCACCTGCTCTGTTGCTCTCGCGCTGCTCTCTACAGTGTCTACCGTCCTTATAGAAGACGTCCGCGGACGCGATTGTTCTGGCGAGCCTTGGCGCAATCTCTCCAACCGGGCAGTGGCTGCCTGCTCCTTGACACTCTCCATCTCCCTCTGCCGTATATCGTCCAACACAGTGCTCCGTGGTATGTAAGGCGTGGATGCGATCATAGAGGCTTCGTTGAGCTCGAACGTAAGGTCCCACTCTTGCGACTGGTCGTTGCGTGGTGTGCCCTTGTGCGAGAGCGGGCTGTCTTCGACTGAGCGACGCGGCACGTTTGCGCGTGCTTCATCGTAGTGGTCGTGTATTGTGTCATCGGCTGGCGCGGGTGTCTGCTGCTGCTCTTCCTCATACGTGATGGTGCGCATCCAGTTCCGGTTGCTCCTGCTCTTCCTCCCCCATGTAGCTGGCGCATGTATCGCCGGGTCGCTCCTCGCGCTCCCGGGGCTGCTGGGCGGGCTCTCGAATTTGACATGGCCATCTGCCCCAGCTACTGCGTTGTTCCTCTCCAGGTTGTCCAGAGTCAGCCCGACGCGTGGATGCGTGCGTGCCTTCCGAAAAGCCTGTGGTCTGCCGCCCAGCGCCTGGTTCAGCCGCCGCTCGTCGCGCGCATTCTGGATCATGCGCTTCTCGAATTCGTCCTCGGCATCGTGTTCGAGATCGCTCAGCGCAGACCCGACGGAAGCTGCATCCTGCACGTCTTCCTGGGCGTATCTCTGCTCGTCCATTGCTGCGCTTCCATTGGCGCTTCGTGTGCTCGCGGGCCGTTGGAGATGGGCGTAGCGGGTGTTGATAACGTTGGCCGACGGCGGGGGAAGGGTTTGGAGGGGCTGGCGCGTCGTCATTTCCGGGCAGCCGTCCTGTCGTGATGGTGCATAGTAGCCTGTTCTGCGCGGAAGCTGGATCTATGCGTGGCTAAGTTATGTTGCGGAGGGATTGCAGCGGTAAGCGCATTGGCTTGTGCAGTTGTTGTCAACTCGACGCGTCCCGACTTTCACTAGGAACGTGCACCACACGATCGCTACAGGGATCTCATCGTCTATCTTGCCCCAGGCGAGCATGCTTGGCCGACTTGACGTAGTTTCATCATATTCGACACTCGTCATTAGGCATTATAACATTATGCTTCGTATCATCATGCACGCCCTAGGGCTCTTGGTCGTCTATGGCTGCGCATCTTTTCTTCACCATCTCCAAATCAGTATTGCCCTGCTCGTCCCTCCATGCACGCAGTACCTCCTCACGCATCACCCTTCGTGGCGCTCGCTTACCAGTAAATAGCTCGAACTGGGCGAATGCCTGCTCGGGGATAAAGTCCAGACCGTCCATGTACGTCCATAGCTTCTTTGGCGCGTCTCGCACTTGCTGCGACAGTGGTGTATTGAGCGTCTTGTATGCAGTCTCCATGACCACACCGCCAGTCGGACTCTCCATCCACTGTGGAGGTAGTGTAAACTGCGCTGCTGGGCCCCCATCTATCGGATCCGTAGGTATGCACGAAATGATGATAGTAGGCTCCCGGAGATGCTCTGGCCAGCCCTCGTCGCGCGATTTCAATATCGTCAAGTTCGGCTGCATCTGCCGCATCATCCGTGAACTGACTTGATCCGTTGAGCTCGAGGTAAGGCGTGAGAAGTGCGCTACGAGACTCTCGGCTCTCTTGTGGGTTCGGTTGAAGATGGCAATATTCATTACACCCAACTGCAACAGTGCGTAAACAGCTGCCCTCGCCATACCGCCAGCCCCAATAATGAGTCCGCACGTTGACGGACGTACCGCGTTAGCTGGGGAAAGACCGCGTCGTACGCAGGACCGGATCCCAATCCATTCGGTATTGTCTCCATAGAGAGCTTGGACCGGCCCAGACTGGTTGCGCTCGTGGAAGAGTTCAAGGTCGCTTGGGATACTGCCATCGTCATTCCTCCGACGTACAGGTATAACGGTGTTAGCAGCGCCAATCGCTCGGGCATGTTGACTCAGCGAGTCTACCAGCGCCATTACCTCCATCTTGAAGGGCTGTATGACAATGGACCCGCCGAAGTTCGGCTTGCGTACAAGCTCCTGGAGACGGTTCACAGTCGGGCTCTCGATGCGACTGAAAATGTGTGGCATTCCGCAAGCATAGTACGCTGCATTGTGCATCGCTGGCGATACGCTGTATCCTAGGCGCACACCAATGATGTACATTTGCATCGGGTCGAATGTGAACGAATTGTAGAGGGCTTGTGTCACTTCTTTAGCAGTGAGCCAAGAATCGTGTGGATACTGTGCTATTGACGCGGTATCGTCAGCCTCGTCCCTTTTCGAGGCCGCAACGACAGGCGTAAAATGCTGGTTGAAGCATACGGAGCGGCGGCCAGCTCGTCCTGTGTTATAACAAATCAAAGGGATATGCGCATCCTGCACTGCCATTCGGCGACTGAAGCTGCGAACCGAGACATCATCATCAATGGAATGAGCTGGCCGAGTAAAACGAACGACGGAGCACCCAACACGTACAGCCTTTTCGTACTGTGTCACCCAAGAGTGATCGTCCCATGGCTTGTCGGCATGCAGATGTCCGATCATCTTGGTTGTACCACGAGAGTTGATCACGTCCGCAAGCGCGCCAGAGTCCAGCGACAAGTCGATGGTCGCGTACTCAGGTACCAGGCGCAAACCATGATGTATGTACTCCAGATAGAGTGTTCGGCTGCCATCAGAGGTGGAAGTAGGCAACACATGGTATATGATGGGTACCACTGTGCTTCTGCGTACTTTCGAAACACAAGCGCTAACATCGTCCATGAGGGTGGCCATGGGACGTTGTTGACTCAAATCAAGGATGATCTCAAAGGCGTCAGCGCCAACTTCTAGGCTCTGAACGTCGGCGTCCGGAGCAAGTATGTCTTGCAGCGATACCTGTACGGCACAAGTGTATTTCCGAAGCTCAGTTGCTACATCGGACAGCGGATATCCAGGTTCTAGTGGTGGAATGGACGCTCCAACTGACTCATCCGGAAGCTCGGGAGTCGTTATAAGCGACAAGTACTTGAGGAAGGTTCTCTGCGCCCTCTTCAATGTGAGAAACGCGGGCGGCATGGTCTGGTCATCTGACGTGTCAACGTTCCCGGCTTTGGCTTCGGATATGTTATAAAACTCGTAATTAGAGCAGCGCCGCAGCATAGGTGCGGTAAAGGCAAACATGTCATTGAGTCTCTGCATGTCAGGCCGGCCCAGGTAGCTATGCAGGCTAGGAAGATCGCGCAGTACATGTACTACCGGATGTGTCCGACCGAAGTCTTGTATCAAGGTTTGCCCATTCCGCTCCAGGGAAACGCCATTGCAGACAAGTATCGCGTCGTGGTCGTGCTCATGAAGAAGACTTCTTAGCAATTCTTCTTGTCGCAGATTATAGTTGGCCGCACCGAATTGCTTGCGGTATTTGACAGTAGAAAAGCCCGTCGTGTCTTGGAACATGTCATCAATATCGACAACGCGCCTCCGGCAAGCCATCGAGGCAATGACAGCCAGGGTGGACTTGCCAGTTCCTGGCATACCGAGGAGCACGATGGAGGCATCCTTCTTGAATGTGCGGCGGCGATAACTTGCAGGAGCGGCGGGGGTGGGGGCAGCGAGAGGAGTGGAGCGGGTGCCGAACATTGCGGAGGCTGTCGCTGGTCAGTATGGGACCGATCAAGGTACGGGTTATTTTCCTACACATGTCGCCCACACTGAGCTTCCGCCTCTGACGGGATCCACCAGTCCTGGATGGAGCGGCCTCCCCTGGAATTGGCCTATTGTGCCGGCGGTAGAAGTCACTGGTGGCTCCATCGTCCTCGCCCAAGGACGCAAAGACGCGTTTCCCTACCACCACAGAAGCCATAGTTGAGACCTCCAGGATGCGCAAGACTTGGTTCAAGTACCCCTTGGCCCCTAGATCCGGTCTCTGGTATTCGGGAAGTGTGTTGTAGTTCCTGTAGTTCCAGGGACAAAAGGTAAGGTGCGCCGTATATTGCTGAGCCGGGTGTGTTTGCGACCTCTATGAATATGCATGGTAAGGCCGTTAACACACAAAGAACTCCAGTCAGCCTGGAGAGTACGGGAAGAGGTTGTAAGAGGAACAACGATTACATTTACGCGACGCCATGTCGCGATGGTGGTTGGGGTAATGGCGCAGGCTGCTTGTGTGCCATGAGCACTCGCACAGTGCAAGATCCGGATAAGCTATCTTCCCCCTCTTTTGCGCCTTCCCGACTTCGCCTGGCCACGCGGCAACTTTGCACTCCTTTAACGTGCCTTGAGGGCATACGAGAAAACTATCCGCGGGTCAATTATTACTCCCACATGATAGATCCCCGGCCTTGCAGCTGATGAGCTCCGCGGCGCTGGTGGACAATTCAAACGGTGGGTTGGCGGCGCCTGTCACCGAGCTTTGCCGCGTTTACTCATAATACCGCAGAAAACAAATTCGCGAACCATGCGAAGACATCATTGGCAATTCTGTCACCCGAGATTAGTTTCGGTACCTGCTCACTTGCTGTCTTTTCGTCCGAGTAAGGCTCATGCCTGCCCAAGCCCAGGCAAAGCGCCGTTCCGCACCCCAGCCGGAGGAGAAGCCTGCAAAACGAACCCGAGTATCACGAGCATGTGACCAGTGCCGTGTCGCCCGTGAGAAGTGCGACGGAGTACAGCCAACGTGCTCCACTTGCTCAGGAACGTCAAGAGAATGCTCGTACACCGCAAATCCTAAGAAAAGAGGTATCCAACCTGGCTACATTCGCACTCTTGAGCTAGCACTTGCCTATCTGTTCCAGCGAGATTCCGAAAATGAACATTCTCTCCATGAGAAGCTGGCGCAAGAAGGAGCATCTTCGCTACTACTGGGTCGTGGTGACTCGAAAGAGGCAAACAAGTTGCACAGACGATGGCGGAAAGCGAAATTTTACACCGATGTGGATAAGCTACTATCTGGAGGAGAACCTCCGCGTCATGAACAATCGACTGGAATTTCACCTCACACCAGTGATGACGATTCTGGCGCAGATGAGTCTGTAGCTGCTCATGCTAGCCATACCCAGGATCGCAGCGCCTACCTACAGGAGCATGTTGAGCATGCAAATCTCGATCAGCTTATGGCAGCATCATCTAAACCAATAGTGGGAGACAGCTGGAAGCTTATAGAGGTCTACTTCACCAACGTACAATCCTGGCTTCCAATCTGCGAAAAGCATGACATCTTAAAGACTGCCTACGACCACCCTGTGCAGGGCATTCGAAGCATATCTGGTCAGCCTGGATCTGGCTTGTTCGCTGAACTGTTGAGCGTGCTCGCGGTGGGATCACTTTACGGAACAGCCATGACGTGCAATTCGTTGGATTCTTCATCAGCAAAGCCCAGGAAACTATACGAGTACGCCAAGTCGCTCGTACCCAGTGAACTGGATCGCTTCGATATTGGCTACATCAAAGCACTTCTCAATTTGGTCGTCTTTAACATGTTGCGTTCACAGACTGGAGATGCCTGGTTGCTTGTTGGATGTGCCTCAAGGGTCCTTGAAAGTGTAGATCAGGCGACGCTGATGAGTAATCCCAGAGGCAGGCATGTTTATTTTGGTTGCTTCCTGCTCGATAGCATGCTAGCACTTCAACTCAAACGGCGTCCGCATTTCCGAAGAAGCGACTTGGTGCACCTCGGAACCATTGATGAAGATGGCCTGGAAGAGTGGCAGCCATGGTCTGGCTTTCATGATCCCTCACACGCAGGAAGACGAGCCCCGTTACTCTCTCTAAGCATCTTCAACAGTCTTGTCGACCTCGTCGACGTACTCATCAGCATCGAGGATACAGCAACAAAGTATCTTTACAAAGATGCGGTTGAGCATCTCGAAAGATGGAGAGCGCTGATGCCTATGAAACTAGCTCACATATGTTCCGACAATACTTTCGCTATCTTGACACCACCGGTCGCCTTACTGTTAACGACGTATCATTGCGCCTCTTTCGCTTGCACTCCGTCCGATAGAAGCCTCCACCGGCTATTGGATGTGTTAGACCATTGCTTCGAACATGCTTCCTCTCAATGCCTACCACCAGCGATCCGGTGTCTGATCGACGTTGTCAACAGGCAGGCAGCTTGTCTTGTCCTGCATGACGTATACCACATGCGGCTGCAAAGACTACAGGAAAAGGTTATAACCTATTTTGACGTGCTGAATCATTTGCAAGTGCCGGAGAGCTCGGTCATGCCTTACAGACAGCATATAAGCAATGTCCATATGGCAACTCCAGATCAAAGGCAGTCGATGTATTCAAACACAAGTCCTATAACTCAGCCAGTGGCAGCCTCTCAACATCCGGGCTCTACTCCTTCTCAATTCGATCCTCGTTGTCCGGAGCCCACCAGCGATCTAGAGAGCTTTTTCGACGAATTGGCGTCCCTGGACAGCACAACTAGGTCGGATTCGCAACCACAATTCATGCAGAACCTAGGATTCGGTCCAGAAGCGAGCATGGCCGACTTGTTCAGCGAATACACGCCCATGCAGTCTTCGAATTTCATCCCTCGCAATGACCCCGCGCCGACACATTTGGATCAATACAACTTCTACGATGCCAGCTGAGCTCAGCTGTCCAGCTGTGCGGTCATACCGCCACATATTCTAGTCTTCCGTCCTCAATGTCGTCTTGTTTTCCACCACTCGATGTCGAACATATATAACATGTAGCGACATTCATACGACCGGTGGACTGTATGGGCGAGGGAGTAAGACTTACTCATCTAAGTCTCTGCACACAAAATACTCTTCAAAGGAAACATCAGACTCCCGTCCATATTCCTCAGGCGAGTATGACGAAGCGATTCATGGCGACAAACTTCGCAGTCACTCTCGAGTCTGACATCGCCACGACGCTTGGAAGACCGAAGCTGCGTTGGTGGTATCCAAACATCACCGGAAAGGATGTCTTTCGGTATGTGAATTTACTCAACGGCGAGGATGCGAGATTGCCTTCTGGCTGGCTGCCGTCGAGTAGGAGTCGTCCTTGCGTTTCGGATTTGTGAAGGGATTGTTCTGAGGAGGCTCAATGTGCTATGCTCAGGCCACCGACGAGGCTGCACAGCCAAGCAGTAGAACTTTTGAAACAAGTGGCTACGGACCATTTAGTCCTCCGACAAACCGAGCTTTACAACAAGCTGCTGACAATAATTGGCATTGATATAGTTGTCATCTGGCCAATCCCAGCTAGACAGATGTTTGGATATCTCGTTGGTACATCAGAGCGAGGCGCAGCGCGAACGGAGCAATACCCTGCTCGAGTATGAGTCGATACGGCGCAGAACGACAAAATAGGAGGGCATATCGCATCGTCTAATGCATTCGCAAATTTGCGCTGTACTGCAATTCCAGCTAGACATGCTAAGAGTCGCCTTGTCCTAAAGCAAGACTTGCCGGCAGCACAGTCCACGATGCCTAGAAAAAGTGATACGGAGGTCCGCGCCGTCAGCTTATGCGAGCTAACCTACCACTCCTCTCAGATCAGGGTCCTGACTATACAAACTTGTATGGGTACCTGAATCTAACGCTAAGGCTCGATGTTCAGGGCAAATGGACAGGGGTCTGTATAGACGAGTACGGAGTCGCTTAGAAGAACGAGACGACATTGGTGTGAGATGCGTCCCGGTAGCGCGAAGTAGTCTGATTCGTGATCTTCGGTTAAAGTGCATACTCCGGGCTTGGACGAGGGTGCAGGGTGAATCGGTGAAAAATTGCCGTGATGTTCTTTGTTGTTGTAACATACGGGGTAATGTCGGTTTGATTAGAAATGGATTTGTATTACTTGGAAAGACGGTTGAGGGAGAGATTTCGAGATCGATGTCGTCATGCATCGTTGCTTGAATCTTGGTGATACCTTGGAGTGATGCTTGGCTATGACTTTCACGGTTGTGCGGGAGGTTTAATTCATACTGTCGACGCGTGTTGCTTGTCAACGCATGCGACTATGCCACCAGCACTGGCTCCAGCCTGTTAGACAGTGGTGGGTTGAGAAAATAACAAACAAGGCTGCGTGAAGAGACGCGCAATGGCTCCTTAGCCACATGGCGTGCCCACCCGATCTGCTGTAACAATGTTCGATGCTTGCATCGTATGCCCAAGAAACGGAGTTAGGTACGCGCCCCAGACCTTCGAGACGAGCTCGATTGGGTCATGGTGTCGTCTGCCAAGCTACTGGTGCATGCTTACCCCACACTTTCCGGATCGAGCGGCGCGTGCTTGTTGCACTTCACCTCAGCCCAGCGTCCTGGGTCTAGAAACACCGCGGACTCTCTCAATGGATTTCTGACAGCCAGTCTACTAAACCTGACCAGGAAGTTACAAGCACTACCGTAAAAGAGCGGCCGCTATGGGTACCGTTGTTGACAGAAAACCTCCAAAGAGCAAGAGCTGGTAGAGAATGAATATACACGGGTGATCAACAGCCTCAATGTTGCTACCACATGCCACCCAAGTGCATGCGGAGAACGCTAGCCGCTTGTTGGTCGCATCTATGTACGGCTTCAGCTGTGTCATAGCTCCACTTGTGCGATGACTTGGCAGACTCTTTCCCGTTGTCACTGGGCAACATCGCGAGCTACAAGCTTCGCCCTGGAAGGCCGTGCTACGAAATGAGGCCTTATTGGCTGGCATGGGGTGCGGAAAGAACTGGCCGGTGGCGTTTGTTCGAGATGTGCTTGGAAGAGCAAATGCCAACCTTACTGAGGCCTGGCGGAACAACTGGTCTGTGGCTATGTGCATGGGTGACATAGTACTTATTGTCCAGCTTCCCCTCTTATTTTATACCATCTGGACAGTCATCTACCTCGTACTACCTCCTTTCGTGTTATCCCAGTATCATCAGGTCGGCCTTTCATCAACATGCTCAAGCATTTCTCCGTCCTCGCCCTTGCGGGCTTCGCACTTGCTCAGAATGAGACCGTCCCTGATCTCGCTGCTGCGTTGAACTCCACCGACGAGCTCTCCACTCTCCAGTCGGTCATTCCCGCAGGTGTCCTTGAATCTCTGGCTGGTCTTACCAACATCACCATTCTCGCACCCTCCAACAGCGCTTTCGGACAAATCGACAATGAGACACTTTCTGGTCTCACTTCCAACGAGGGCCTCCTCACTGCCCTGCTACAGTACCACGTCCTCAACGGTACATTCAGGTCAACCGATATTACCAACACCAGCACCTTCGTGCCCACGGCGTTGACCAACCCAATGTTCACCAATGTCACTGGAGGTCAGGTTGTCGAGGCCATCGCCATGGATGACAGTGTGATGTTCTACAGTGGTCTGCTCGCCAACTCAACTGTTACAACAGCTGTATGTGCTCTTCTTAAATTGGGCTTTTCTCTCAGCTAACAAACGCAGGACGTGAACTTCACTGGTGGTGTGATCCACATCATCGACCGTGTTCTGACCCTCCCTGAGAACACTGCCGATACCCTTTCTGCTGCAGACCTTGTTGCCCTCCGTGGAGCCATCAACGCGACCCAGTTGTTCGACACCGTTAACAACACACCCGACATCACCATCTTCGCACCCAACAACGAGGCTTTCCAGAACATTGGCTCTGCTCTCAGCAACCTCAGCACTGAGGACGCTAGCAGCATCCTTACCTACCACGTCGTCGCTGAGGGTGGTATTGGCTACTCTTCTACCCTCCAGAACGGTACTACTCTCACGACTGCCAACGGAGAGCAACTTACCATTACTATCGGTGAGGGCGGTATCTTCGTGAACAACGCTCGTGTCGTCGCTTCCGACATTCTCATTGCCAACGGTGTTGTCCACGTCATCGACGAGGTCCTCAACCCCTCGAACGCGACCATTGCCGACCCTACCTCTGAAGAAGGAGAGCCAGCATTCGAGGGCGCATCTTCTGTTTCTGATGTCCCATACACCAGCGGCCAGCCCACTCCCACCACCAGCATTGGCGAGGACGCTACCAATGCTGCTGACCCCACCAGCACTCCTTCCAACACTGACAACGCTGCCCCCAGGCAGACTGGCGCCATTGGCATGAGTGCGCTGTTCGGCGCTGCTGCCGTTTACTTCTTGTAAGTGTATACAGGTTCGCAAATTGTGTAAGGCTCGCCGTGTGATTGATACACAGAGGGGTTTCCTTGTAAGGAACGATCGTTATGGAGTAATGTAATATACCTGAGTGAATCATTCGCTCATCCAGTCACGTTATTAGACATGAAATTTAATTTTACTCTTCGCAACTCGATGTTGGAGTGTGGTGCACGCGTCAGGATAGATAGATTTTCTGACATCGGTCTCCATAGCACTGCGCGACGGCTTTAGAGTCCGAGACTCGTAGCTCGATGTTATCGTGCTAGATCTGCTCAAATTAATAGCTCGATGTGATTGCGTTTCAGGTCGGCAGACTTACCCGGCGGCACACTACTCACACGACTTACTTGAGATGGTAATGTTGTGAAATAGGTACATTGCGCATAACGGTTAATGGCATCTGGTGCACAAAACCCTATACAGCACGTCACGTCTCAGTCTGACCGAGAAGCAAAGTAGCCATTGCAAATGTCTGATCACGCATGTCTTTGTGCACACACGTGGTAAGAAAAGGTCTTGCGCAGAGGTTCGCGCGCAAAGACGGAAGGAACCCCTTCTTCGCCTCGTCCATGATCATCTGGTCCGTTGGGAATTGTGCCACAAACCAGCGTTCAAGCCACCGCAGCGGCTGCCCCATTAAAACAGTTTCGGCACGTTCGGCGTCCTCAATCCTCCGAGCTTAAGAACCGCTTGGGTAAAGATTCAAACGCTAAATCTTCACGACATTTTAGTGCCGCTTTCGACGGCTACTGCATCTGGTAGTTTTGGCGACACCTTTGGCATGTTCTCCAGTTTCGTATTCTTGTCGCCATGCCACCTGGGAGATTTCGTGTCGCCAGTGCTGCGTAACCGCATCCAGGACAGTTATCAGGCTGTTTATCTGACGTATCGCTCTCCGCAAACGAAGCAAAACCAGGTGCCTGCATGAGATGTCACTATCCGGGTACCTGCCTCGAGCGGTGTTGACTCATACTAGACATGGAAACATACACGGAGTTTTCTAGAAACTCAATTCGCAACGCTTCCCATCGAGCATTCAGTTGTGGAGGTAAAACAACGCTCAAACCAGAAGGATTGTCGAAATTTCGAAGGAAGCTGGTATCGATCCTGCTGCAGCACGGACACCGTAGAAAACCCTATGCAGCCAGACTCTTTCACCTGCGAAACCCCGCAAGATATCGCCTTATCTCGAGTTCAAAGCTCTCTCGCCGTGAGTGCACATCTTGCCAGAGAAAGCGACGGATAGCGATAATCATCTCTCCACAAAGCGGACGAATATGCAGGTTCTTGCGGCGTCCGAGCTCTCGATTGGCGAAAGGAACCGCAGATTGCCCAAGTGGATCGCCAAAACCAGGGCCGCGGTCGTTCCGAGATCCGTTCGACCCTTTTACAGTTCTCCAGCCTCCACATCGCGAATGCAGAATGCACTTGGGCATCATGATCTTCGGTAGATCAAAAAGATCACTCATCTTCAGCCCTTGCGCGACAGGAGCCTCGTGCAATATTATGAGGCATATGCTGCAGAGGGTCGTTACATGGTCGCATAACTACCTAGGTACAACGGCACAACAGTGACCGGGAAAATATTTCTCGTTCCTGGTCCCACAGTCTCTCATTACCCGCGAGAGTGAGAGCACAACTCTATATCCGCGGCTTCGGTGGCGCTAAGCCCACGCCAACCTAACGGAGGATTTGCAATCTCCAGAAACAGCCGAAAGAACCGACCTGTCGTATCGTAGTGCTGTCGCCATGATTCACTCGTGGCGTACATGGATTTCTCTGATTGAACCGCTGACCTCGTCCGCTGTGGACTTACCATCTCGGCGTCTTGCTTGGGAGCTAATGCCAGGGTAGTCCGTGAAACTGTGACGGCATCATGCTGGGTTGACGCCCGTGCGGAGCGCATGTCTGGGTGCGTTGTACGGGATATATGAGTGTTGCAGGGTAGGTTCGCGGCGCTGGAATATTGCGCGCCGTCTTACACGCGTCTGGTCCAGATTTTCTTCCTTTTTGTGTAGTACTGTTCATGGGCTTATTGATGCGACATTTATTCCTATACTGTCGAGACTAGCACTCGTTCCTCTGACTTTTTCTTCCATAGCCGCAGTGTTCTTAGGGAACACGCGATCACCATGTTCCGTCTGTCAAGATCCTGGAAGGATAGAAGAGAAAAGCATCAGGCCGATGTGTAAGTTTGATCGAGCCGTCCGCGCGTGACGCATTAATTTTTGGAGGAGTCAAGGCCATTCATAGTCTTTACGATTGGCAGGGTCTTTTCAGGGTCGTGTTTCAAACTTTGCGGGTGGACCTGTAGTTGGAGTGCCTTCGACTTCACTCACTGACCATGTTTAGATATGAGCCCTCTCGACCGAGATCCATTAGTGTGTCGACCGATCGAACCTCCACCACGTCCAGAAAGGTTGTCGTTCCAAAGGCAGCTATACGTTCAACAAGTCGCTTTTCCGATGCCGAAATTCCCATCCGGAGCATACACAAAGATGCCGCGTATGATGCCTGCGCTGTACCCCGCCTGATCAAAACCCCATGGGAGCTCGAACGAGGCAGGAGGAACTCAACACGCAGACACTCAAGGCCTATATACCAATTCCCGGCGCATATGTTCAAGAAACTCCCCAGGGAAGTGTACGACTGCATCCTTGCGCAGTTAGATCTGATCTATCAGGACCACAACCAAGCTTGTACATCGTGTTATCTTGGAGACCTCCACAGCCTGTCGTTGACGAGCCGTGCATGGGACAAGGCTGCAAGTGCCGTCATGTACCGCAAAGCTCTAGTAATTACCAATGAAGAGCATGGAGGGCTTCCGAAACTCAAGACAAAGGGCACAAGCAGATTAAAACTTTTGCGGAGGACACTTCGCGAGAATGCTGGACTATCCCGACGTGTATTGGAATTACACTTGTCTGACTTCCAATTGCTTTACGAGAACGCAACCATTGAGCGAGAAGAGATCGTGGATCTTGTCGCTTCCTTGGTTATGGCTTGTCCGCGTTTGGAACGCCTAGTCGGATTCCACGTTCACTTCTCACAAGCCTTCGACCGATTGTCGCATGCGCTGTCTACAAGGCGAAATCTCAAGGAAAGAGTGTGGATGTTGACCAATGCGGATGGAGACACCGGGGCAGATGATGACGACGAGACGATCAGAGGCAACTACATCGCCGAATGTGACCCAACCGAACGTTTCCTCGACCTGAGCTCTCAACACTCCATGCTCTCTAGTCTGGTTTTGTTTCAGGAGCAATGCCAGTCGTTGACACATCTCAATTTCCGAGCTGTGGTTGGGACTTTCAGAAACTCTCCACATTTGCAAAATCTCGCGATTTCTGGACTGGCGGCGCACTCATTCACCAACATGGCTCTGAACGCTATACCGACGAACTTACAGTCACTGCGCCTTGAGAACCTCCCCGGTATCACGGAGAAAGGTATACAGCGCCTTGCTACCTCGCAGCAGGCCGTATCGATCCAAAAACTGACGCTTGTGGACCTGGAAATTGGAAGCGTACTCACCATCGCGGACATTCTTTCTCCCCGTCTTACCAGCTTGAAAGAGTTCTCGCTCGTCCAAACCAGAGCACCCACATTATCGAGGCGAAATTTCGATCCTGAGTTCGGTTCGCCATCAGTTCGATATATCCACTGGGAAATACGCCTCGAGGCCTCTCCGCTGCCTTCATTCATTTCACCCACATTTGCAGAGCTCCCAGAATCACAACCATTTCCTTTCGCAAACGTTGAACCGATATGCTGCCACGCCACATCCCTGCTCGCAGCAAGTATCCAGGCCAACGCTTTTCCATTGCTACGTCGCATTCGCATCCCTCACGACCCTCAAGGTGTCATTCAATCGCTTTGTAAACCTCTTGCGACAGCACTCCTTCCGTCCGACACATCCAAGATTGCGACGGCTTCACGCATCTCCACTCCGGACGGATTTTCCATCATTTTAGAAGAGCCTGTCGTGGATTCCGCAAAGACACACAGAGCGTCCACTTACGGGGTGACATCAACATCACGTGTAGACTCTGTAGTCGGCTCCCCGACCTTCGAATCGAATCATGCAGCGGTCGCTCTTACACCGATGCGATCGCGTCTTGCAGCACAATCGCGGATTCTCGCTGCTAGGAAGGATGCTGCCATGACAATCTGTGTGTCGAGCCCCGAGGGCGAGGTTAAAGTGAACAAGATCATTGGTGGCCATGTCGGATACGTAGGCAGCAGAATTACCTACGACCTGAGGGCTGATAATGAAACGGTAGGGCGAACCGAATGGATCGTAGGGATGAATGACTTGGTCGGTAATGCTGAGAAAGAGAACCGGGACATGTTCGAAAGTAGTCGAAGAAGTTGTGGACATCTTGTTGGTAGCGGAGGGGGCAACGTAGTGGGGGTTGAGGATCTTTTCTGAGACGCGCTTTCCATCTATCAAATCGTCTCCTTTGTTCTCGATGGCTTGCAGATATGCTGCATTATCCTTTCGGTCGTAGAACACCCGGTGTGTTCAGCTTAGTTCAAGTAATTTCTAATGCAGCCTTAGCCAGCGCATCCCGTGGGCGGCGCTTTTATGCAATGCGTCATGATCAAATATGTTCATCAACCGATGAACATTCATAAGACAGGGATGCCGGCAATGAAGGCTGAAGTGTACTCGATCAAAGACTCGGGCCGAACAATCATCATGGACGCACAGTTGCAGATGGTGCACCTGAGTTGACCTGAGCCAATCGGGACCATGCCAACCCTTGCGCAAGCATTTTGTTTCTGACAGCCATGAAAGAGTGGGCCCGGTTCACGATGCGCGAGTGGTTTTGCGAGATGGGATTTGATTTGCGCATGCCGGCGATAGCACATGCATGGGATACTGCAATCCTTGACATCCCTGTGCAACCGAAGTTCAGCTGTAGAGTCACCTATCGGTACATCTACCGGATGATACTATAGGCAAGCTCGTACAGAGTCGCTTCTGCATGACTGTATACGCGTCAGCCCGAAGAGGCATTTCTCACGACCTTGCTGATGAATGATCTCGGTGGTCGGGCGTCGCATGCTCATTGGGGAGGTTTCCAAAGTCTGGTTGTGGCTAAAGCGTCTAAGATCTGAGAAGGTACGCTAGTCCAAGTAGAGAGATACGTATCGAGAATCGCAATCCGCTATGCCCTACAATGCTTCGTAGAATTATTCCTATGTGAAAGAAATGAAACCAGGTTCATGAGGATGTCGGTTGGTATACGTGGCCTTTTAAAGACGGCTCGTTCTGGCCATCTGCACAAAGATCCACTTCCACCCGGCAATAACATATTGGTTGTAGCCCAAACCTCCCAAACAGCAAAAGCACTCAAGAGATGCTAAATCCCGACAGAATGGTCAGTCGAAGCCAGAGCATAGTGGGACAATGGCTGCATGCTCAGGATACAGAGACGGGAACATACTTGGCTAGGCCATTGCGGCTTCCGCGGAGAGAAAACCTCACAAAAGCCAGCGCGGTCGCTCCTTGACCGCTGCATCCGCTCTGCCCAAGCCACAACACAAGAGTTCCTAACGATTCAGTGAGGGATACCTTCCCAATACCAACATCTTCGAAAGACCCATATATCGCAAGTGGGACGCTTTTACACGGCAGAAGCCGTGCTCCCCACGTGTGCCCTTCAAATTGCCGGGACCAGTAAGGTGCAGAGCTGCACGTAGATATGCCGTTCCTGGGTATAGAGCATCGCGCCCGTCTCTCGAGATGTTTAACTGACACTTTAACAGTCATCTCCGCAATCGAGAGGGATGCGCTACAGCCGTGGACATGAGTAATAATCGAACCACAATCATCTACCGACTCGAGTAGACTCTCGATCATGAATGCCGTTTGCCATGGTGAAGTTCCTAGCGGGATCGCCCGTGTAAAGAGTCGAGATGTTCCACCGATCGCCACACCGGTTTGATTCTTCCGGTCTAGCCTTGGCATCACATTGATCAAAGTGGATACAGGAGAGCCACAAGAGCCACATAGCTGGAAGCCGATAGTGGAGTTCAGCGCTAGGTTGCTTTCCGCGGACTTGAAGGAATGGTATTTGGAAGGCCTGGCGTTGCTAGGGCCGGGTTCGGATACTTTCAGGCAATCGTGCACCTGCTGCTTATATTCAAGTATGTTACATTTTCGTTTGAATCGTCCCTTTTCAGTTCCCAATTACTATACCCCCGAGGCCTTACTCCAGGACGTTTGATTACGAGACATGATTACCCAAAGACGGCTTTCGCGGACAGCGGCCCTGCGATGTGACCAACGCCCCAAGATACGTGAAGGATGCGCCGATTACGACCAAGAGATGCGAAGACGAACTTCACCAAGAACCCGATGATGGCCCCAACTCCGAAAGAATAACTCGAACAACCCAAAACGCTGCAAGAAAATTATGCTACCGGCTTGATTGGAATATGCCCCTCCAGTTGCGGCATAACCTCGAGGATCTTTGGATCGACAGTCCAGTTGTTTAGGTCGGCGATGGTGCTCTCAAAAAGCGGCGTCATACGGGTGTATCCGGATTCAATATCCCAGTAATGGCACGCATCGTCCGCGTATGGCCATGTAATACCGATCAAACCAACGAGATGCACGACTGGATATTCCTGGGGATGCGCATACAGCAGCTGGCGTACTTGGGGCCTGTAGGGTTATTAGTAAAAAACCAAGATGATGTGAAGAGCTAAAGAACTTACCAGGGGACAAGGTCAATAAGCATATCGTACGGTGACGTCTCCTGCTTTCCTGCGGGTGGCATCAACCATTCTGGGCTGGCGTTCATGTTCTCCACACTGGGCCATATGAGATACTGTAGAAGCATTAGGTCCGACTCGACAGCATACAAAGCATTTACTTACGCGCATCAATTTAGTCAAAAGCCATGTAGACGCGAGTCTGACTGGCAGAGGGGACGCGGGAAGCAGCCTGTTAACCGTTCTCGAACACCACGTCGAGACTGGCTGCGCATCCTGAGGGTCCAAGAAGCCCAGCAAAAGAGTATCGACATCGATCTCCGACCTTCCAAATATCTGCGGCTCGCTCCATCCGTTCGCGAGCTGGTCTCGTTTGGTCCTCCGATAGAACGCGCAATCGAAACCGAATTTGTTGAGGGCATTCGCCGCAGCCTCGAGGCTGAGCGGAGACGGGTTCGCGGCCACAGTCACGTCAACGGGATTGTCATGGGAATAGGCCAGCGAAGACTGGCTCTGCTCTCTCTCTTCACGGGAAGAACCGCCATAGGATGAGCCGGCCATAGGGTGTGTGTGACCAGGAAAGGGCTCGCTACTGCTTGGAGTTCCAAACGAGTCGGCGTCTGGAAGGGCAGGTGCTGGACCCAAAGACTCCTGTTCTTCAGTCAGCAACAGGCCAAGAGTTGTTGAGAAGAAACCTACCGAAAGCGCTTTCTTGACCTCCTCAGCTGAATGGTGTGCGAAACCATTCTTCTCCAGCTCGGACGCCCAATTTGCTGCCGATGCACGATCCGGGGCCATTGCCAGCAGCGACACGACAGACTTCATATCATCCAACTCCTTGGCTAACCGTCTGACATGGGCCCGCAGTTGAGTTGTCGTCTTGCCATCTTCTGCGACATCGTAGACACATGTGAGGTTCTTGGATTGGCAGGTGTTGCACTTTGGCCTCACGCCGTCGCACTGCGCATTCGTCAGTGTACCGATGGCATACCCGCAGAAAGGGTACGTACCTTGGACTTGCGCTTCCTGCAGCTTTCACATGCTATAGATGTGATCTTCCCGCGAGGCGTCCGCAACGCATACGTGCCGGCAATGGGAGACGAGTGCTGCCCCCGCGCGTTGGCAAGGGCGCCCCCAAGTCCCTGTTTGGGTGCCAGCGGGGCTTTGTGATTTGCAGCGGCGGACGCTGCCAGTGGGCGAATCACGAGGTTGGTTTGGTTGGTGTCGAGGTGGAGGGGCACCTGGCTTTCGTCCCACTCGGAGGGCTCCTGACTGATGGAGTGTCAGCAAAACTCAAACTCCTCTTCCAAATGGCAGCAGCACATGGCGATGCATCCCGACGGTCGCGCATCTGGCTTGCGCACATTGTTGCGTAGACTCGCATCGATATGCGCGCCGTCCATGGTGGTTTGGACCCCGCGCCAGCAGCCCGAATTCAACAGCCCCGAAACCAGTGCCGAAGCAAATCCTTGGAAGCGCAGCAATGCACGGGTCATCCTGACGCCGCAACGGGCAGGTATATCAAATTACCGTCGTGATAGCCAGGAGACCCTAAACGGACCACATATTCTCCGTCGCCAATACGACGTGCCGATATGCACAGCCACGGGCGGTCGTAAGACGACTTGCAGATCCTTTCCCCGAGGATCATCGCTTGAGCAATCGCTTGAGCAATCTCTCACGATTCCCAGGTAATTCTTGGCATCTCCGGATCGTACCGGTACTTCGAAACATGCTCTGTGTCTCTGGTGGATGATGGGGATTGGAGCCTGCCGCAAGCCCAGAGGGACGTCGTCGACTCATCGTACTGCAAGGCCATTCACCACGCTCCAGGTACTGGTTCGTCCTTGTGAGGAGTGGTAACGGAGTGCAAGACGGGCGAGAGATGGGTCCGGTCCGGGTCCAGAGACGGGGTCGGTTGCTATCGTAGGTATGCTGGTGGGGATAGTCTGCTAAGACTGACATACTCACATTTGGATTCCCTGAGCTTGTCCTACGGCTTCCGAGGCACGACGCATCAAGCGAGGATTTGCGCTACCTTGCGGAAGTCCTTCTAAAGTGTCAGGCAAGCTGCCACTGCCATACCAGTAGTTCAATCCTGTGGTATATGTTAGTGGGGGGGATCAAGAGCTGGACATGATGCCGATGTACCCGGAGACGAATTCGATGATTGTGCCGGCATGAATGCGAGCATATCTCAGGGCGGAGTTATCAACAAAAGGAGCTATGTCGGAGTAAGATGGTGGTGGAGGGAAGGATTTGCTTCTGCAAAATTCATATGGAAGATCCGCAATGCATATCGGGCATTAACTTTGTATATCCTCTACTAGAGCACTGAGCCTGAGGTTCATTAGTGCCCGGCGAACTCCTGTGCGGAACTGCTGACACGCACATAGAACTGGGACGAAGTTTCAAAACCGTCGCCCATCTAAACACCAGCTTTCGGAAGCAGCTGGATCTAGTGTTTTAGCGCACCACACAGCAACGACCGCGGGGAAATCGGGTTAGCGGACGGCACTGTTAGACTAGGCTAGAACCGCCGCTCCTGAGAGATGCTGGCAAAGGCATGCGAAACCGAACGCGCACATGCGACCCCATGATACTATGTCATGAACTTTTTGACTGGTATGAGTCGCCCTCCATCTGATTGAACAGAGATTTGTACAGCGCAACGAACTACCAGTACGCCATGCGCGCGATCAAGGT